TCCATGAAGTATGCGCACAAGCGCAAGACCTTCGGTAAGAAGCTCATTGACCATCCGGTCATCAGAATGAAGCTGGCACACATGGCCCGTCAAATCGAGGCGACGTACAACTGGCTAGAGAACATCATCTACCAGTGCCAATCGATGGATGAGACGGAAGCCATGCTCAAGCTGGGAGGCGCCATTGCCGGGCTGAAAGCGCAGGCCACGACGACGTATGAGTTCTGTGCGCGCGAGGCCAGCCAAATCTTCGGCGGTCTCAGCTACAGCCGGGGTGGCCAGGGTGGAAAGGTCGAGCGGCTCTACCGCGATGTTCGAGCCTATGCCATCCCCGGTGGTAGTGAGGAGATCATGCTGGATCTTAGCATGCGCCAGAGTCTGCGTGTGCATCAGCTCTTCGGGCTGAAATTGTAGGAATTGGTTACAAGTTTCGGAATCAAACGTTCTATTTCGCAGGAGTATATATTGTTATTTTGCTGAACGTCCTGTAACATATCACGCAGAAACTGCCCTGGAGGACTGAATATCTTAGCATATCGCAAATTCAATGAATGATGGCTGAGCTGTGTATGGTGCTGTAGGCCTCCTCGAAGTGGGGCCAGAAAGGCTGCCAAGAGATGCCAAAAGCCCCTTCAATTAGAGCGCAAAATGCGGTAATACCATCTGAACGAACTGAAAGATCACTTATCCGATAGAGCCAACAAGTCACGCAAATAGAATGAAAGAAATCGAAGTGCCAATTGCAGGAGGGAGAGGAAGGCCGATGCGGTTGAGTGAAAGGAAGGCGGTCCGGCGGGGCGGAAGGACCGAAAATGACATTTGCCCGCAACAATCATTCATCCAATGCTTGATGCCTTCTTCCACCTTTCTTTCTCTTCCTCTCCATTTAACCCAACACTTACCATCTCTCCTTCGGTGTCCTGTTTCGATCGCAGCTGGTTTCTGGCACTTTAATTCCAGTGCGATACAAATCCACTTTCCCTACTCACCTCTTTCTTCTCAACAACCAGCTGGGTGAGAAGATCGCGCCTCGCGGAGTCGGCGAAATAACGGAAACTCGCCTCGCCGCAGCCCCCGAGGTGAAACCTCTCTCGCAACACTGCCCGCTCTGCGCGGTCTTTGCTTCTCTCTTTGCACCCACCGTCTCTGGGGAAGAAGTCATATATTCTTAATACCGAAAATTCATCGATAATATCAGAGATCTTCTACCGCGTCAAGAGATTTGTGGGAATTCCTGCTCAATATCCCTCCGACTTGCCTCCGTGACTGATCGACCTCGATATACGCTTCAGACGTTCGTCTTTACACAACACCACGATCTCAAACTTGACGAGACTACCAACTCCGGACTGTCATTCCGTTCTACTATCATCACACTCTGCGAATACGATCGTCATTCTTCCGTCACAAATCAATCGATCCTCCGTTCAACATGTCGCGAAACCTCATAGATCAGGACTTCGGCTCCGAAGAGGAAGATGACGATTTCAACCCCGCTCCGGCGGATGACTCAGATAACGAGGATGCGAAGGTTTGTACCAGGCTGGAAAATGTGTGATGTCGGACGGATCAGGCTGACGCTGGGGTTCTTTTTCTGCAGGCGACGCACCGTCGTCGGGATGACGACGACGACGATGACGACGATGACGCTGATGTACACACTGGACGGACGGCACGGTATCGCGCGGGCAGTGAAGATGACGCAAGAGGGCGCGGCCATGCGGATGACGACGATGAAGGGGACGACAACGATGACGAGGAGGAAGGTGATGAAGACGACGATGGCGAGGAAGATGAGGATCAAGATGAGGAGGATGAGGACGACGACGACGATGTGAATCCCGTGAGTGGGCTCTAGAGATTCCGGCGATCGCTTTTTTTCTTTTTTTTTTTTTCGCAGCGGTTTGGAGAAAAGAGTTATGGCTAACAGGTTTCATCTGAATTTACAGAGACGGCCCGCGAAGCGCAGACGGAGAGGAGGTGTTCTCTCTTTCGTCGATACCGAGGCCGGTGTCGATGAGGATGAAGATGAGGCCGAAGACGAGGAGGATGAGATGGAATTTGGCGGGGAAATGCACCCCGATGATATGGACACACTGCCCGTTGGGGTGGAGACGGATGATCGTCGGCACAGACAGCTGGATCGCCAGCGTGAATTGGCGGCCAGTATGGATGCGGAAAAGCAGGCGCAGATGCTGAAGGAGCGGTATGGTCGAAACCGTGCGGCGGCCACCGATGCCGTGATTGTACCCAAGCGACTGCTTCTCCCGAGTGTCGACGATCCGAGTATCTGGGGTGTTCGTTGCAAGGCTGGCAAGGAGCGTGAGGTGGTATTCTCGATCCAGAAGCGCATCGAAGAGCGTCCGCCTGGCTCTCGCAACCCGGTTAAGATTATTTCCGCCTTCGAGAGAGGCGGAGCGATGGCTGGATACATCTACGTCGAGGCACGCCGGCAGGCTGATGTCATGGATGCGCTGCAGGATATGACGAACGTCTATCCACGGACAAAGATGATCCTGGTGCCCGTACGAGAGATGCCGGATCTTTTGCGTGTGCAGAAGTCGGAAGAGCTTGTGCCTGGCGGCTGGGTTCGGATCAAGCGTGGAAAATACCAGGGCGATCTTGCGCAGATTGAGGATGTTGAGACCAACGGTCTTGCTGTGACGGTGCGCTTGGTTCCTCGTTTGGATTACGGTCTGAACGAGGATATTGGTGCCCCTGCCATTGATCCTAAGCGGAAGCGTCCTGGCATGAACCCAGCAGTGGCTCGCCCGCCTCAACGTGCCTTCAGCGAGGCTGAAGCCAAGAAGAAGCACGCCAAGTACCTTTCTGCGACGTCTGGCTTGGGTGGCAAGTCATGGAGCTACTTGGGTGAGACCTACATGGAGGGCTTCTTGGTTAAGGACATGAAGGTCCAGCACCTGATCACAAAGAATGTGAACCCTCGACTGGAAGAGGTTACCATGTTCGCTCGCGGCGCAGACGACGGCACTTCAAATCTGGATCTGGCCTCTTTGGCCGAAACATTGAAGAACCAGACTGCCGAAGAATCATATCTCCCTGGCGATCCTGTCGAAGTCTACCGGGGTGAACAGCAAGGGTTGATCGGACGCACCACCTCCACACGGGGTGAAATTGTGACTCTGGTGGTCACGCAGGGTGACTTGGCAGGACAGACCATTGAAGCACCGGTCAAGACTCTTCGCAAGCGGTTTAGAGAAGGTGACCATGTCAAGGTAATTGGAGGCAGCAGATATGTGGACGAGCTGGGCATGGTTGTACAGGTGAAGGACGACACGGTGACCCTGCTCAGTGACATGAGTATGCAAGAGATCACAGTCTTCAGCAAGGACTTGCGTCTATCTGCGGAGACTGGCGTGGACGGCAAACTCGGCATGTTCGACGTGCACGACTTGGTCCAGTTAGAGTGAGTTGATTTCCTTGGCTACTACTCATATCATGACTAACTAGCTATACAGTGCTGCTACTGTCGCCTGCATTGTCAAAGTTGATCGCGAGTCTCTCCGAGTACTGGATCAGAACGGATCTATCCGTACCATCCTTCCCACACATGTCACGAACAAGATTACGCCGCGTCGGGATGCAGTGGCCACGGATCGCAATGGTGCCGAGATTCGCCTCGGAGACACAGTACGGGAGGTGGCTGGTGAGCAGCGCAGCGGCGTGATCCTCCATATCTACCGTTCGTTCCTCTTCCTGCACAACAAAGCCCAGGCTGAGAACTCTGGTATTGTGGTCGTGCGCACGACAAACGTTGTCACTGTGTCGGCTAAAGGAGGACGGGCTACCGGACCCGATTTGACAAAGATGAATCCGGCGCTAATGAGGAACGGAGCTCCTGGCGGTATGATGGGACCGCCTCAGCGAAGCTTTGGACGTGACAGGATGATTGGCAAGACCGTTCAGGTTCGAAAGGGACCGTACAAGGGCTTAGTCGGTATCGTCAAGGACTCGTCTGATTTGCAGGCCCGCGTGGAACTGCATTCCAAGAACAAGCTGGTTACGATTGACAAGGAACTCCTGGTTGTCAAGGACCCGATCACTGGCCAGACAATCGAGATGGGCCGGGGACGGGGTGGTGGACGCATTCCCAACGGCGGCCCCGCTGCTTCCCAGTCAGCGTGGCAGGGTGGTCGAACTCCGATGGGCATGGGTGATTCTTCTAGGACGCCGGCCTGGGGTGGTGCCGCATCCGCTCGAAGTAAGTATCGATGCACAACTCCACTTGCACACATACTGACTGTTCTTTTTCACAGCTCCTGCATGGGGCGGCGTAAGCAGCGCACGCACGCCTGCTTGGAAACAAGACGGCTCCCGCACCTCTAACCCCTATGATGGCAGTCGCACCGCTTACGGAGGAGCCGGGGGCTTTGGTTCACGTACACCCGCCTGGAATGCCGGCGCTCGCACTCCCTACGGTGGGTCTGGCAACAGTGACTTTGACGCCTTCGCCGCCGGCTCGCGCACCCCAGCCTGGGGCGGTGCCGGTGCCGGTGCCGGTGCCAATGCCGGTGGCAGGACCCCTGCCTGGGGAGGATTATCCGCCAGCAATGGCAACAAGGGCTACGACGCCCCGACCCCCGGAGGCAACTATTCCGCCCCTACCCCTGGCGCCTACGGCAGTGCCCCAACGCCTGGAGCGTCGGCACCCACCCCCGGTGGCTGGGCTGACAGCGCTCCGACGCCCGGCGCCTTCAATGCACCCACCCCCGGTGGAATCTCGAAACGAGGAGGATACGATGCTCCCACTCCCGCCGCGTTCGACGGTGCGGGCAGCCACAGTCGTCCCTACGATGCACCGACCCCCGCCGGCGCAGCTGCTACTCCTGGTGCCGGCTACGACGGTGACGACGGAGGACCGCGCTACGAAGAGGGAACGCCCAGCCCTTGAAACCGCCACTCTTCACGCTTCTCACGAATTCCTCAGTAATTTCCACATCCCAAATCGACGCAGGGCGACAAACTCAGGCACAAAGAACTTCTTCCGGGAAAATATAGATCACCAAAATCCGTTGTTCCACACCATCTGACAGAGGGCGTGTCTTGTACTGCTTTTTTTTTCTTTGCATGCGATGGACGATGGATAGGATGCATCCATCGTGTAGCTTAACTTCCCTGGTCCTCGAAATCCCACACACTGATTCGCTTTCGCTGGCATTGTTGTTCTCTTCCGAAGGTTCGGGTGTTGTTTCTGCTGCTACTGCTCCCCTTTGTTTCTTTTCTTTGTGTTTGCGCGCGGCTTCTGGGTTAAACAAACATTCGTCGCAAAACTTGCATAACCATTTTGTATCATGTGTATTCTTCTATCTTATCTACTTCCAAACCCCCCAATTTTCATCCCATTTCACTCTCACCTCGCCTGTTTCTTGAGTCGGGGCCTTGTCACGCTTGCTATAGTCTAATATGTAGAAGTTTCTACACAAACTACCAACTAGGAAAGTCGAGGTTCTTGGCTCAAATCATCCAGTCAATCAATAAATTTCCCTTATTTTATGAAATAAAAAGGCAGTAGTCTAAGTCAAGGTAGGTAGGTTAAGATAGGAATCCAGAGAGGAAAACAGAGAGACGGGGAAGGGGAAAGAAGCTATATATGATACATCTGGTATACATCCAAAATTCGGAAAAGTAAGAAAGAAGAGAAAGCCGACCCGAACAAATAAAACAAGGTTGACATAAAGAAGAATAATACAGGCATGTTCATTTCCATAAGAAACTAGAAAGTTCTTCGACTCTGTGAAACAGAAAACATAAACACGGAGGGGGGGGGGGGGTCAAAGAAGTTCCGGATGCAAAATGTGTAGGGTCGTTATATGCACATCAAATGGGGACTTTTGTGACCAAGAGAGGAAGGGCGAAGGGCGAAAAGTGTTAAGGTGAATAAGGGGGAATAATACGCAAGTGTCTGAAACAGGAAAAAAAAAGGCAATGGAGGTAGATAGGTCACGGAGGGACTTGACGGGCCAGAACGCGGACATTATCCAGGAACCCCTTGATGAGGTCCTCATACTGATGTTGCTCCCCGTTCATGGCCATCTGGCCCTGGCGACGGATCTCGGCCGCCGAGACTTCGACCTCGAGTTCGTGCTCAAACTCGCCTTTTACGGACTAATTGGGACAGTTGAAGTTAGTTAAGGGGCTAGGGAGTCGGAGAATATGAAAGGAGACGGAACATACTTCAGATTTAGCTACCTGGGTGAGATCGATCTGGTAGGCGAGATGGCGGTAGCTCATCCGGTCTTTGTTGCGATCCCCTCCGCGACCTCGCGCCGGATCGACGACCGTGAGCTGGCTCACGTCGCCGTCGTAGTTCATTTCGAGGTTGACACTGATGCGCCAGTCGACGCAGGTTTTCGGGCTGTGGATGTCCAGATCGGCGATGCGGCATTTGACGATCTTGGCGAGGACCTCGTTGGTTCTTTGGTCCACAGTCACGCGGACCTTGGGCTTGTGGCGAGGGTTCAGGTTTTGTCGGATCACCGGGGGCAGTTCGTTCGGGGAGACTTCATAGAAGGTGTCGCGCTCTTTCTTGTGGGCATATGAAATGGGGATGCGGGGTCGGTCGGCCTGATCCAAGGACCTTTTGACGGCTTCATTAAGGAAATTGTTCATCGCTTGATGTTGAGCCTGGCCTTGCATGTTAGTGGTGTGAGGATTATCCGCGGGAGAAGAGGATTACGTACCACGGTCATGCTACTTTCAAATGCTGTCCGGAAGCGTGGAAATTGTTTGTTGATGATTGTCTCGGTCAGAATAGGCAGCTGGACCCGATCTCCGCGATCCATATCGATGAGTTGGCCCAGTTTGGCCTCCACCTCGATGATGGGCGCCGACCCCGCTGCTGCTGCTCCCGCTGGAGCTGCGATGGCGTCGTTGCGGACCACGACATGCCTGAAGAGAAAGTCGCACACATCTTTCGTGATCTCTTCGGTGGGAAACTCTCCGGTGATGGAGGGCTCCCACGGTCCCAAACTGCCAGGCTTTTGAGGCTCGGCCGCTGCGGAAGGCGCACGGGGGGCCGGGGCCGGGGCCGAGGCCGGGGCCGGGGCCGGGGCCGTCGTCTTGCTGGGCGGGTTATCGTTCGAAGCTTTGATGGATACGGGTACAGCAGCGGCGTGTGCGGGACCTTGAGCAGCCGAAGCAGCCCGCTGTCGCAAAATCCAGGGATTAGACGGAGTATCGCGGGCGTGCTTGGGGATGGGAGGAAAGGGATTCGGGATGATAGGGCCGCGGCCTTTGGTACGTTCCGGCCGCATGGCATAGATCGGGGGTGCATCGAAGCGACGACGCTTCCGTACCGGAGGTTCGTGCGGACTGGAGTTAGGATGCGCCTCTGCAAGAGCCATTCCATTCTCGCGAGGGGTGGTTTGGGTGGGTATGGCCGAATCTGGATAGCTGGGAGCCCGCGTGGTCTTGGGGCTCACACTGTCTTCTGAGCCGCGTCGGTCAATGGAACCAGGGTACGGCCGCGGAGTCTGGTCTCGAGGACGCGACAGACGGGGCATCGCAGTGGGTGACATTTGCATCGATGCCTCCTGGCCGACCCAGGGGCTGGAGGCGCGGTTCGAGCGCGTGTCTTGGCCTGAAGAGGGCGGGCGCGCAGCCGAGGAAGGTGATGGTTGAGCATAGGCAGCAGTCGACCCGCGTGGTGTGCCAGGCAGAGATCCGGGTCCTGGCGGTGAAAATTGCTGAGAGGCATATCCAGGCGCAATTCCGGCGGTTGAGGGACTTTCCTTGGGGTGAGATGCATGAGTCGTGTCGTGGGACAGCACCGATTGAATGGATTGCGAGCGCTGCTGAGGGGGGTTGAAGGAGGAATCACGCGAAGAACCGTAAGGACCTGGTTGTGGGCTCTGACCTCGAGCAGCTTGCGAGCCAGCCGAGCGACCAGGGGTAGGTTGATATTGATAAGGAGACTGCAGCGAGCCGTAGGAGGAAGAGCGTTCGGGAGAAACATGAGGTCGCTGCATTGATCCTCCGGGGAAACCGGCCGGATAGGAGGCGGAGGAAGCGGACGCCGCGGCGGGAACCTGTTCGCGCGGACTGTAGACGGCATCGGATGGCTTTCGTGTGGTTTGCGCCGATGGCGATTGCTGGGGGTCCGGTGGAGGATTATTTGCATTGCCAGCAGTGTCGCTATTCAACATCGAGCGCAGATCCATGGCGGGCGGGCGCGTTCGTGGAGGGACGAGGAGGAAGAGAGTGCGACGAGGCGGTATAAAGGAGATGCGTAAGGGGATTCGGGCGCTGTTGTAGTATCTGCGCGACAATTAAGACTGCTTAACGACGAAAGTAATAGGCGAAGAGGGCGCGAAGGATGAAGCTGAAGTGGAGGCTAAAGAAAGTCGAAGAGCGAATCCGGACATGGGGGTAGACGCGCACGACGACTTCTCGAGAGGGTGATATCGGGAGGCGAGATAAGCGCGATGAGGTAGAAATATAGTAGTGATCGTAAAGGAAGTGATCCAAGTCGAAGGGTATGAATGGAGGGGATGTTGGGTGGTTGAAGAAACAGCGTGAGGGAGGATAAAGAGAAGAAACGAAAGAAGGAAGCGAAAGAAGTTGGAGTTGAGCTACGCGGAGGAAGTATAGAGCAAGCAAGCAAGCAAGAGAGGGAGGAGAGCTGGCCATTTTCTGACTCCAGGAACACCTTTTGAGTTTCTACATTACATACATGCATTGTCAAGGGATGAGCTAGAATTGATGTGTCTTCTACAATTTATTTTTTCCTTGTGTTTCTTTCAATTTTAATTGCATTTAATCTTTTTTTATTTAAGTGAAGTGACAGTTAAGCTGGCCTCAAAATGAAAATGCGGCAATTCAACTTTCCTTCTTCTCCTCCTCCGCCTTCCCTTTTCTCTCCTCCCTCATCTTCGTCTCTCTGTCTTCTCCTCTCCTTATCTCTCCTTCTTATCCATCATATCATTCTCCCTCATTCCCTCATCCCTCTTGCCTCTTCATTTCAGCTTCAAGCTCTTCCTCCCAGACTCAGGTATGTCCTCTATGCTTAGTACCCTTGTAACGTGTGACTACTTGATACTAACGACTGTGCGACATACCTCTAGCATGCTCCTCTTGCTGCACCTCCCACCGTTTCTTCTCCCATGAAGCCGCGCGTCATCTCCCTCTTCTCTCAACCCCGCCGTAACGAACGCCTTGCCGTTGCTCAATCATTTCACTCTTATTCACCCATAGCGAGTCGATTTACACAATACAACCCATCATGTCGTTGATCGACAAGGGCCTCGCCTCGCCTCTCCCCGTCCACGATGTCCCTCTTCACGACCTTGAATCATCCTCCAGAGCCGCCGATCGTCGTTTCTCGTCGATGAGCAGCAGCTTCAGCACCAACAATCATAATCATAATGATAGCTTCCAGGAGTATCTCAGCCACTTGCTGGACATGGCGGAAGCTTTCTGTACCAAAGTGGCCATAGTAATCACCCCAAGTTACCTACAACAATACGTCGGAGGAACGCCCCGACCGGCTGCTAAACCACACGCCATCGCGGCCCTGGACGGACTGCGCGGCTGGGCCTGTCTGCTCGTTTTCAATTTCCACTTCCTCTTCACTTACACCTGGAAAGTCGCAATGGGCTGGGGATTCAATGGGGAGAATTTCGCGCTCTGGCAGTTGCCTATAGTACATATGCTCGTCTCTGGTCATATCATGGTGGCCATCTTCTTTGTTATCTCCGGCTACGTCCTCTCCTACAAGCCGCTCAAGCTGATTCGCAGTCGCGCCTGGGAACAGACATTTACTACGCTCGCCTCGGCTACATTTCGACGGGCCTTGCGCCTTTATATCCCGTCATTTGTGGGCATCACTCTTGTCTTTCTGGCCGTGCGCTTGGGAGCCTTCCACCCGTCCCGGCGCGTCCTGGTTGAGGGCCACACGATCCTGGGCACTAATGAGCAGCATCCACCCATCATGCGCTCCTTCACCAAGCAGTTCTGGGATGGCTACTCGACACTCGCACAACTAATGGACCCCTTCAACTGGTCTCTTTACTACAACAATTACAACCCGCATCTGTGGACCATTCCTGTCGAATTCCGCAGCTCCATCGTCCTTTTCCTCACTATCTTGGGCACCTCGCGCCTCGCGACTCCCATTCGGATCAGTCTCGTCAGCGGTCTCATCTGGTTTTGCATGCGCTTCGGTCGCTGGGATGTCGTGCTTTTCCTGTCTGGCATGCTCCTCGCAGAAGCTGATCTCATTCACGGCACATGGGAACAACTTCCGATCCCTGCCGGCACATCCTCGAGTACGACCACGACGGCAACCATCGACGACGATCCCAAACCTCAACTCCGCCGCTTTCTTCCTGCCAAATCTCATTCCTACCACTACCCTGTTCTCTCCCGCCTCTCCACCCGCCGGATCCCTTATCGCAATATCTGGTTTGCCCTCTTCATCATCGGCCTCTACCTGGGCTCCACCCCGAATACCGGCTACAAATGGACCCCGTTCTACAAGTGGACCTGGAAAGTCACTCCCAAAACCTACCCCGAACCCCACCGCTTCCCGCAAACCATTGGCGCCATCCTCATCGTCGCCAGCATCAACCACTCCCCGGAGATCCAACGCCTCTTCACCAACCGCCTCTCCCAGTATCTCGGCCAGATCTCCTTCGCCTTTTACATCGTGCACGGCCCCATCCTTCACGGGCTGGGGTACGCCCTCATGCCCCGGCTGTGGGCCATCACCGGCCGGGAGACGAACTTCCAGGCCGGACTCGCGTACCTCCTCGGGTGGATGATCTGTTTGCCCATCGCCCTATGGGCAGGAGACCTGTTCTGGCGGGCGGTAGATATCCCCAGTGTGAGATTTGCACGGTGGGTGGAGGAGAAGGTCATTGTCAAGGGGCCTGTATCTGTGTCCAGGCCTGCACCCGTGAGCAGTGGCGAGCGACGGGATTGATTCCCTTCCCCTCTGTCTACTGCCGCAGCCGCTGCTTATTTACGACTATCTAGTACTGAATGTATTACCTGCTGGGATTTCAGGTTAGCGGGCGTCACTTCATGTTAATCTCACTGGATCAGTCACGGGTTTGGCTGTACATAATTTAGAGTCTCAATTCTATTCTGGGTCTATCATTTGTTTCCTTTGTAAAGTGCATGTGGGAACGCACGTCAATGTTGAGAATGGAAATTTATTCTGTTCAAAACGAGTATACCCAGCAGGTTATGGTCTTAACTAGATCTCAACACATCTAAAAAGAAAGGAAAAAGGGATTGTTCGTTCATTCATTTACTCGTACCATGCCATATACCAAAGATCGCCTACGCGGGTCAAGTCTCCCTGCGCGCTATATGGGGCTTCCGTTGCCACGGGACGTCATCTCAATCATGCCTGTCCCAGAGCCCATCCCATCCCGAATAAGACCCGTACCAAAATCATAACATCAAGGGGGTAAGTCATAGTCTGAAAACAGAAAAGGACAAACAAAATCACATGCACATGACGATCTGTCAAAAGTCTAGCCGATGTATGAAGCTATTCACAGAGCGACTCCCCAGAGGCCTCGCCCGCCACAAACCCCGAGCCAGTCGCGTGGATGTCCGGCTGGCGTGGTCCCGCCCTGCGGCGACCAGCTGATGTTTGATACCTCGTAATCACACTGCCAGGCAGCTGCCGGGCCGCGCTCGCTCGTGGGCGTCGCGGTCGGGGCTCCCGGTGGGTGTGCGCCCGGCGGCACAGGGGCTGCGTTGTGTTGATTGATCAAGTCCCAAAGCAGGACGAAGCAGTCATCTGCGCCCGAGGCGAGCACGCCGCGACGATTGGGGGACCATTCCACGGAGTTGATGGAGGAGGCGTGTCCCTTCAGCTCCAGCAGAGCTTGTCCCGGCTGGCGCACATCGAGCACCCTTACGACGTTTGAGTCTTGCGAGAACGTCGCCAAAAGGTGCGAGTCATGGGGAGAGGCTGCAGTAGTGAGTACGTATGTCAAATGTGATACATTTAGAGGCTCACATACCTGCAATGCGTAGTAGAGGTGGTGGCCATGCTGACTGTGCAGGCGCGGAAGGGCTGCCATTCCCGGGACTCATCACTGAGAAGATCGTTGTGAATAAGGCAAACTTCGTGACTGCGGGTATGATAGGGATGCCTTACATTTCTCATTCTTCTCGGTGGGCTCATAGATGATGGTACTGTGCTCCAAACTGCGAAGATCGAACATGCGGACGCTACCATCGGCACCGCAACTGACAAAGACATCGACGCTGTTGGCGCAGAACCGTACGTCGTACACCTCCTTATCGTGCGCAATCAGTTGCGTCTTGGCGGTAAGTGTGGGAATGTCCCAAATTGTGCACGTGGTATCGATGCTGGATGTGATTATGAGGCTTGGAGAAATGGTATTCCAGTCCAGAGATGTGATTGGCGCGGTGTGCTCCGGAGACTTTGAGTTCGACAGCAAAGCCAAGGGTTGCAGCTTCGCGGTCGGTGCGCTTTGATTGCTTGACCGTGTGATCGTGTTCGAAGCCGGCACTGGTTGCGAAGCAGGCAGCGACCATAACCGGAGATGGTCGCCAGACGTTGCCAGTAAGTCTGTGGATTGTTTCTGTGAAGAAGGCGGCTCCCACAGAATCCGAGTCACAGGATATGAATGGGTGGCTTCCGCAGTTTTGACATACTCCAGCTTAATGTCTCCAGCCGCCGCATCTGGTGTATCCGGGTCGGGAGCGGTCCAGTGGGTGTCAACAATTTGGATCTGCGCTCAGATTAGTACCATTGCTCATCCCGAAAGGGAAACCAACATCATACATAGTTGTGATTATCTTCCAAGTAACTTCCCATGGCGATCTTTCCGCCGAAGGAGCCAGAATTGCCGGGTACCGGCCACTTGCACCAGTCCACTGCGTATATGGGCCACGGGGCGATATAGTTACTGTTGGTAGGCACCTGGTTCTCGCTATTATTGATTGACATCATTCCCGATGTCATCATCGTGTCGCTCAACAAGTCACCGGTTGGTCGGATATCAGCAAGGCCCAAGGGGGAGTATTTGGCTCCCAACGGAGTCTGTGGCGGGTAGCCAGCACCCGGCGACGAGCCCGGCTGTTTGTATTTTGGCTGATCAAAGCCTGCCGGGCTGGATCTTGAATGTCCGTGAGAATTGACCATGCTAGAACGCGGGTTTGTCGACTGTTGCACTGCGGACTGCGGCTGTTGCGGTTGCTGTGGTTGTTGCGGCTGTGATGACGGTGCTGCGGGAGGCTGCATGGGGGTCGCCAACTGAGGGAGAGTTGGAAGCACTGAGGGGGCTGTGTTCATGGACACTGCTGGTGGACGGTTGGAGTTGCCTGGCTGCAGTGCTCCCGGTAGATGACCACCAGCAGCGTTGTTGCCGCCTCCAAATTGACCAGGCTGTGAGCCGGATGGATGCACATTGATTGAAGGAACGTGGTTTTCGGCGCCCGACACGAAGTCTTGGGACATGGACTGTCGCTGCAGATTGGGGGCACCGGACGGGATATGCAGCTCCTCCGGGCGCCCGTACGTTGTGGCCCGGCGAGGGTCGAAGGGTTGGGTCGGATTCGACATGACAGCGTGGAACTCGAATAGTTCGAACCGTATTGTACCCTAGCCACGCGAATGAGCTCAATTGAAGCTCCACCTGAGCAGAAGTTCTGGTGTGGACGGTTGTGGACAGCGTTTATCAGGTTGCGAAGATTAGCTGGGGAGGGGGGAAATGGAGGGCGCTAGGAGCTCCGACTGTACCAGAGACAGTGCACGCTCTAGGTCATGTCAGAAGGGGACAACAACGTGAACAAATTCACAAAGACATTCTGAAGCTTGAAGTGACTCAGAATAAATGTCTGAATAGACCGAACAGGTCTGAAACGAATGAATAAGAGCAGTTGAAGCGACGGAGAAGAAGGGAAGGAGTTGGGAGCGAGAGAGAGAGATAGAGAGACCACAGGGAAGTCACGGGGAATCTCGTGCAGGCTGAGTCAGCCCAATCGCGGGGAAATCCATCTTCGGCCATCTTTTATTGTTATTTCTTGCCGGAATACTACTTACTGAGTACTTCATTTGATAATCAGCAGAAACGTCCGACTGCCATCGGGTCGTCTGTGGCTCTGGGTCTGCTGTCAGTTTGGGTTCTGATTCACCTGTTATCCTCCAGCTATCCTATCGATAATTGCAATTGCTACAGGCAACCATTACTGACAGTCATTCCCCCGCATATCAGTACAATATGGCTTCCGAACCGACCTCGGCCCTGCTGTTGCTGCCACCTCCGCCAGCGGCCGAATTTGACCACATCAAGTCTGCATACGAGGCTATTCTGTCTACTGTCTGCTCTATCCTTCATCTCAAGCTAGACGGGTCCGACCGCGTGGCTACTCTCGATGTTGCACTTGCCCTACCAGGCTTGCTCGCCCCGTCCTGTCGACCCCGCACCAGAGCGTTTGCAAGCCTGCAGTCGATCCTTGAAGGCATATACCGTTTGATTGGGGTTGTATGTATCGAACATAAGATCGAGTTGGATATGCCTGGAGGTATCGATGCACGGGTCATACTCCTCGACCATGATGTGGCTCGGAGCCCGGCAAGCATCCCAGCAGTTCCGCGCGATGGCCCGATCATCGACCTGCGGACTCTGGCTAGGTCAGGGCGACCATGGAAGTCAATTTACTACCCTGATAATCAGATAGGACAGGATCTGGCCGCAGGCTTCAGTAGCTTTTATTCTCCGGTGGCAGACTCTGAACTTTCCGACTCTAGTTCATTACATGCCATCCCAGACGCACCTCACTGGACTCCATCAGAATCTCTTGTGACCCTAGGCGATCTCCGCGAAGCCACGTCGCCCTACACAGTCGCTGTAGGGGGCACGTTCGACCACTTTCACATTGGACACAAACTATTACTGACCGCGACAGCACTTGTCCTACAGCCCGTGGAGGATGCTGATGCGGGGAGAGAACGAGTCCTCGTCGTGGGAGTGACCGGCGATGAGTTGTTGGTAAAGAAGAAGTATCCAGAATTCTTGGAAAGCTGGGAAGAACGCAGTTTTAGCACGGGTGCCTTCTTGACTGCCATCATGAATTTCCGCCCTTCCGGAACCAGTCGACCTCAGGTTGAAAAGGCCCTGGCGCCGGGTCCCAATGGAAAGTACATCCTGATGAAATTACGGCCCGATCTAGTTTTCAAGTTGGTGGAGATAAAGGATCCATTTGGTCCTACCATCACTGATGAGAGCATTGGTGCCCTTGTGGTCTCCAAGGAGACTCGGTCGGGCGGCGCTGCTGTCAATGATGCACGGACGAAGAAAGGATGGGCGCCGTTGGCTGTTTTCGAGGTCGATGTCCTGCATACGACAGAGGTGCCTCCCGACGACGCGGAGGACTTTGCATCCAAGATAAGCAGCACGGATATCAGGCGGCGGCGGATGGAGAAAGCATTGCAATGAACGATTGGTGCGAAAGTTCCCGAGATGCGCGATCTCGATGCGGGAAATTAGTGGTGATCTGAGCCAATCGTCCGTGCTGGTGGAGAGCGGACAAAGCAAAGGTCTGTTCGACAACAACGATGATGAGGTCTAGATGGCCATCGCAGAGGACGATTGGACAACACGAGATCTGATGTATCTCCAACTATCTATCTAGTCCTAGTCCAGACTGGAGCTCGACAGATCCAGATAGATGGTGGAGGACAAGTGGGCGTGGAAGGGCCCTTAGCTTTTCTCCTTTCCTTGGTGGTGTAATTTCTAGACCGTCTCGACCCCATGTACTGTATATAGCGTTGTTTGATCCTGTGCGCTTTCTCCTCCTTCTTTCTCTCTGATCTAGTCTTTATTTCTTTGTTTTCCTGGACTTACCTGGCTGGCGACGCCAACACAGACCGAAGGAAACGAGACAGCGGCAACCAACCAGCGGATGATTGCAGTGTTTGGGCTTGCGCCTGGGCTCGGGGACTACTGGACTACGGCGTTTTAAGTGCTGCTTAAGTGCCGGTGATCCTTTTTTCCCCTCTTCCTTCTTCACCAACTACTGCAAAGAGTCGAACAGGTTAACAACCCACGCGATGAAGCTACTAGGTACTACACACTACTGCTAGTCGACCCGAACGGGCAATGCGATTGTTGGCCAATCTCTCAACCTCAGATCCACTACTTTTCTTCACCTGTGCATCTTGACAAGCAACCCTCAACCATCCATATCTCCCTCCCCCCTTCTCCACCGCATCAACCGTTCCCCTCTCCTCTCCCCCTGGTCTATCTATAATCTTCCGCGACGTGGTCAAGCCGCAGGGACGATGAAGGCTTGCAACGACTGGCCGCCATGAACTGCCATCACTTCCAAGCGGGGTTCCCTTGCATCTGGGCGTCTGCACGTATTTGACTTGTTGTCGCATCAGTATACTCCCTTCCGTCGTCCCTTCTCTGCCAATCCTTCTCCTCCTCAACCAGCTTTCCTGCAGGTTCGCGCTGGATAACCGCATGCTCTTTCGATCATGTGACCCCCGGTATACGCTCCCCCCCGGTCGGCCATCATCGAGTCGTCTGATCCCGCCCGGGGCTTCTGCAGGCCCTGACATCGATAATGACCACCCGGTGTGCTCGAGGAAATGAGCTTGCGGTGGAACGCTGTCAATTTTTGGTCAGACACGTTCAACCTGCTGCTGCTGCACGCGCGTTGGCTGTGGCCCGCCGTCATCTTTTGCAGATGACAGAGAAGAAGAGAGAGAGAGAGTGTGTGTGTGTGTGTCTGTGTGCCTCCAACTAGAAGAGGGGATGTATCACTTTCGTCCTCCTCTTTCGTCACTCTCTTGTTTTTTCCTTCTTCAAGGATTTTTCATCCTTATTTCTTTTTCTTTCCCAAACATTAAATTTCGCTGCTGTCATCCGTCTTTTCTCGTTCTTTTTGCTTATTTTATCTACGACGCTTCTTTTGCTCTTTTAAAACGATCATCGCCCCCTTTACATCTCCTTAATCTCGTTGAATATCCGACACCGCAGTGCCCCTCAATTTGCGACCTACGCTCCAGACTTGACTTGGGATTCCATGTTGGTGCGAGTGGCCCAGGCAGCCGAACACGCTGCTGCTTCGCTGTGCGACAAACATGGACCAACCGCGGCATTTTGACGACTTGGCGGACGAGCTCATTCAGGACATCCTTTCGTTTCTTCTGGGCTTCGAATATCTCTCCCTTGAAGCCTCCCCCACGACTTCGCACGGTTCCACGACTTCACTGAATGCCCGATCCCCCCACGTATACGGTGAGAAGTCGGAGTTGGACCGGTTCCGACTCGTCTGCCGAAGGTTCATGCGCATCGGCACACCGCAGAAATTCCCTCGCTTTGTGCTGCGGTTCTCGTCGGATGGATTCCGGAGGCTAGAGGAACTTTTGAGCATGCAGCTAGCCTGCCATGTTAGAAATTTCACGTACATGGTGCGACCCTTCTACCAAGGAAGCGGTACCGTCTCTGAAGACCCGTCATCGTTGAGTGCCGGGAAAAGCTGATAACGGTCTAGGTTGGCCCAATGTACTAGAGATGGTTGATACAGACAATTTTCCCCTCTCTTCGACCCATCGACGTCGCCTTCACGACCAGAAGCGAATCGTCGAGGCGAGTCACGATTTGTTATTATTGCGCCGCGCGATCGGAGCATTCACATCCCTGCAGCAGGTCAAGTTGCTGCGATTGCAGGATGAGGCGGACGAGCAAATGCTGGATTGGATTCACGAACACTCATTGGGCGGAACAAATCGACTGGACTGGGAGCCAGCGTGTACCAGAGCCGTCACCAACTTGAGCATCGCGCTCTTGGAGTCGAGTTGTGACGCGGTTAGATTCGTGGGACCACAGATCAGCCCAGAGGCGACTGTGAAACTATTACAAGCCCCTTCAACCAGTCTGGCCGCATTGGGCGCTCGATTGACGAGCCTAGACGTCACCTTCTCCTCCACTCTGGACCTCTCCACGCGCATGGACACCTTATCCAACGTCTTCTATGATTTTTTCCTGGCCGCCAAAAACCTCACCGCGATCCACCTGGGCTTTCCGGCCCACGCGCCGCTCGACCTGCCGCTCGAACACATCTTCCACCGTCTGCAATGGAAGCGCCTCCGCACGCTGAGCATCCAAGGCTGGCGCCTGGGCGCCGACGAGCTGATGGCGCTCATCCGCCGCCACCGGCGACCGTTGCGCGATCTCCGGCTCGCCGGCATCTACCTCCGCCCGGGCGGACGCTGGCGCGACATCCTCGTGCTGCTGCACGACGAGATGGACCACCTCGAGCGCCTCGATCTCCGGGAGGTCGACTACACGAACCACTTCGACGCCTACGCCCACGGCCACCACAACCACAACCATCATGCACCCACCGCCCCCAACGGCACCGGCACCGGCACCGGTGCGGGTGGTGGCGGCTCCCACACGCCGCCGCCAACCCTCGCCATCGTCGTGCAGCCCACACCCCATTCCCCCTCGCGCGACGCCGTCCTGAACGTGGATTCCCTGTCGTTCGCGCCGCGCGGCAGCACGCGGCGCTCCTTCGACCGCGCCACCCTGGAGCAGCTGCGCACCTACACCCCCGAGGATCTGGGCGACACGGGCGTCCGCGTGCGCCCGGACCAGTGGTTATTCTGGAAGGCGTGGGTGCTGTCCAGTGCACGAAGTAACGTCCACCCGAGGGGTTGAGGGTAAGAACGTCTTCTCTATGGTTTGTTCATGAACGAGATCTGTCTTTGCATCTATCTTCCTTCAATTTCCTTCTGTGTTTTGCAGTTGTATGTTTACGGCGTAGAATGGAAGATGTGATTCGTGGCTCAGATTTCGATTCTGTCAATGTTGCGGAAATTTGGGTGCTTCTGCTTGCGGCGGCACCTACCGTACGTACGATTGGATGCTACAGTGCCTAGATAGTCACAGTTGATTCCTGAGGCCATCGGCCATTTCCGGAACAACGACCTGCATCCCACCCAAGACCGTGGACTTATTAGGTACAGTCTAGTACATCTTCACAACGCATCCATGCCACTCATGGAAACCAACCCACCTGGCCCATTATGGTAGAATCCTCCCCTCAATCCTTTACTCAAGCCATCCACCCACCCAAACCACAAAACGGAACGAAAATAAGTAGTAGTCCAAAAGAGATGTGTCATGCATCGTTCATCATTACTATCTACCAACCTTCCTTCCGGCCCCCAAATTATCCAGTCCAAGTGAAGTTAGATACAATATATACTCGAATATGGAAAACGCACGCACTTTCTCTCTCTCCCGCTCTCTTAGAATGAAGATCTTTCAAATGAGAAAAAAACAATTCCCGCAAACCCCAATGCTGAAGGCCTACTCTTACTAATACTACTACTCCACTCCATTTCCATTCAAGCTCACCGCCGCACTACCCGGTTTCACCCCGTTACTGCCGTTGGGCGTGGGGTTGGCCGTGCGCTCCCGCAGCCGGCGGCCCTCCATCAGCCCTCGGAGACCCCGCTTCTGCAGGCCGATGACGCTGCTGAGGTCGCCGGTCCAGATCTCACGCTCGGGCCGGAGCTCGGCGTCCGTGTTGCGGCGGTGATGCGACGAGGAGCGGGCGCGGCCGGCGGATTCGCCGCCGCCGTATTCTGAGTCGGACTGGTCGAAGCTGGTGTTCGTCGAGGCCGAGGCCGAGGTGGCGGTGCTGGCGTTGCTGATCGAGTCTTCGCGGTCTCGTTCGCGCTCGAGCTCCACCTCCCGTTCGCGTTCCCGCTCGCGTTCCCGCTCACGCGCGCGCTCGCGGTCGCTGTGGCGTTGGCGGCGGCTGAAGATGTTGGTGTTGATGCGGAGGGGGATGCCGCGCGAGGTGGAGGGGGCCCCGACGCCGCTGGCGCTGCTGGCCGTCGAGAGGGCGGCCGACGCGGTGGTGCCGTGTTCTGTGTCGGACGAGTCGGAGGTGAGGTTGCTTTGGGCTGCTGAGGAGGGTTGCGTGGTGGCGGTGGTGTTGGTGGTCGTGGTGGTCAGGGCAGAGGGATCTTGCGCGGCGGCGGTCGCGGCCGCGTGGGCGCCGTTGAGGGTTTCCAAAGTGCCACCAAGCCCGCTGGCGAACCCGGTCCCACGGCCTCCTCCCGCGGCCATGGCGGCCGCGTTGAAGACGGCCGCGGCGTTGCGGCCGTCGAGCATTTGGTGGAGGCGTTCGACGGTGGCTTCGAGGAGGCCGTCGACCTGATAAGGGCGGGCAAGTTGGAGGAGGGAGCAGAGAATCTGTGGGGTGCAGAGAGAGGAGCCCACCGCGGGCAAGGAGGATGTGTAGAAATAGTAGACGAGGACTTGGAGGGTGAGGTAGGTGTGCGGTAGGTAGAGTACACGGGGACGAGCGGTAGGCGATAGAGAATGCGCAGAGGGTATCTCGAGGTTCGCTAGTAATGATTTAGAGGTGACGGAGCGGTTACTGACAAGCGTGCTGGCGTTGGAATAGTTGCTGTTCTGGCCGATCGAGGGGGTGATGGTAATGCTTGAGTTGCGGCTGGGATACATGGCAACCGCAGGACGAAGAGTAGCAGAGTCAGAGAGTCCCCCGTCGCAGGATTCGCGGAGTATTTGAATAAAGTAGGGACCCCATCGGCGTGTCAGGATGCGCGAGTTGACGGGGATCCGTTCCCCTCCCACCGCCTGGAGCTCCATATCTGCCATTTCAGGTAGCGAGTGGGCGAGACGGCCTAGTTCGTCTGAGGCTGCAGAGAACGGTCGTCCTCCAGAGGTCAATTTGGTGAGCTTCGACTGGAGAGAAGCCGGTACAGACGGCGCACTGTAGGAAACGTAGCCCGAGGTAGGCGCAGTCCGGCACGCATTGTTGTAGAGACCGAAAGCCTCCAATTCTACCATGCACACGTGTGAGAAGTTGATACGCCGGTGATTGTAATCTTCCACCAGGCTGCGTTTTCGGTGGCCCAGAATTACAAAAGTGTTCCTTCTCGACCACAAGACTCCACGGTTCCAGCTACCCTGACCGAAGACCGAGCCGCCAGCATCAATTCGACCCCAAGTAAGGGTCTTCAAGTCCAGTGCCCAGAGGGCATATTCCTGCTTCGAGGAAGTCAAATAGGTACCACTGACAACGAAATGACCGTTAATGACGCCTCCGTTGGGGAACCTCAACCCCGGGGGCGAGGCCTGACTTTGCATGGGTTTCTCGACCAAGCGACCGTCCGGCAAGCGTACTTGAAGCTCCAACTTGACATCCAGAAAGTTGTAATTAGAGTAAATAAGCATAGGGCATCCCTCGGCCTGGGAGTCCTCAATAGGCGCCTGTGCATCTCGATCCTCGGCCGCCGAGCCGATCTCCGAGACACTCATGCCCAGCAAGGGAGCAACCACGCTGCGGTAAGCACCACAGCTGCGGCCAAGCGTGCTGGTGCTCATCCACTTCAAACTCCGAAGGTTGAAGACACTGATCTGCTCGATATAATGGTTGGAACTATCTTGTCCCCCGACCACGACCATCTCAGCACCCCCAAAACCATCAATATCCACTCCGATCGTGCCCTGGTGCGGATTCGAAGACGCCGGGTTATGGTGTATAGCCGAAAGAGGTGCGGTGGCTGAAGTGAAATGGGCGCTGGAGGGCAGAATCGTCGCACAGTGTGCATAGCGACCCTGGGGGGAATCGATGGCCGGGACGCGGGTCCAGGTCCGGGTGGGCACGTCAAAGATGTGGATATCTGACATGACCACGACTTCCGGTTGAGCATCCTGACCCCCCACTCCCCCGCTCGCGGCAGCAGGGTCCTTGGACACATTGAGAGCAGGCGACATACCGCCGTAGCAGACGAGTTTATGGTCCCCCAGGGCGCAGACACTGTGAAAATACCGCGGGCGGGGGATATCGCCGGTCGCCTCGATCTTGGTCCAGTGACGCCGGATCAAGTCCAGCTCGTATATGTCCGACGTCAGCTGCGGACGACTCTTGGAGAGCACCCGGCCTCCGAACACGTATAGCTTATCGCCCAGGATGGTTGTCGTTGCGCCCACGAGAGGGTGCGGCTCTCTGCCGGTGGTCCGACGGACATTGCATACCAGACCTGACAGGTTGATCGGACCACCGGAGTTGGAGGATTGCGGCTGCTGTTGGGTTTGCTGAAGTCGAGGCGAGATTCCCGTCGCAGATGGGTCGTCTCTGCCTGTATCCAAGAAGCCCAGGCTCGACTGGCTTCGGGACATCATCTTGAGGGTATTTCCGAGGTCTGTTTACCTTCAACCCGCAGGAAAGATGAGTGGGCGCCTTGTAATCGAGGAAACCGCTCGGTAGAACTTTGTCGCTATCGTGACTCTTTGCGCGTACGTATCGTAGGAGAAAGTGCCGCCCGCTTGTAGTACCCAGGGTCAGGAATTGCTTTTCCGGGGATGGGCGTTTAAGGAGAGGAAGGGAAAGGGTCGAAACGATCGAGGATCATCACAGTCATAAAAGAGGGTTAGACGCCACCCTTGCGTGCCACAGCAGCACAGACCTAGAAAGAAATTTTGACAGCAACGTTGGTGGAAAAGCGGTCGGGTGATCTTCGACGTCTAAATGGGACTGGGGGGGGTGGAGGGGACAGGCGGGCGGAAAGTCGACTCGATCGGTATCGGTGACTACTGTCCCCGCTGCGGAGGAGAACGGAACCAGATAGTTCAGTTGTTTCCTTATCAATAAGATAGACAATCCTTGTGACGGTGTAACAAATGCTGCGATATCCACCACAGCCTCAGCCCAAATGATTGTTCGAATTGATGGGGGAAGAAATAGAAGGAGTGGGAGTGCGAGAAGCGACCCTCTGGAGTAAAAAAGGCGGGTGGGGAAAAAAGGGAAAGGAGAAGGAAAAGGAAAAGGAGGAGAAGGATGGAGTCCAGGAAGGAAGGCGGTCTGTCGAACAAACTACGGTCCAGGCACGATAGAAGACCGACACCAGGAAAGTCAATTGCCTTTGTACTATGAGTATCATCATCATCATCATCATCACAAATGTCATTTACAGAGTTCGGATGAATGGGTCCTTGGATTCCCACACCCACACCCTCAACACATACTCACCACCAGTCCACTACGTACCACGCAGCCACCTGTCCTCCAATGCGGCTCAGCTCAGCGGTTGGCTGCCGGTGCAGTGGTTACTCAAACAATCCCCATCAATACGAACTACTGGCCCCCATATCAAATACATAAAAGAATCCTAGACAATAGCAACATTTGGCGTACTGTCAGCTGCTTCTAACCTCAGAAACAAGCCCCTCTCACCCATATGAGGTGAAGTGAGCTATGCAGGATGACTTAGCAACGATTTACTGTTGTTATCGCCACCCGGATGGACCCAGACGGCCAACCATGGCTCCAATCCTCCCCTCCGACTGTGTGCGGGGACTGGCAGCTCGTCCCAGTAAACCTACTGTACAGCCTGCAGGAACACCACGGACTCCAGTAGATACTACTGGCCAGGCTGGGTTCCTGCATACATAAAGATCAACTTCCTGCAGCCGGCTTTGAATTACTCCTTGCTACCCCATCTAGAACCATAGGGTGTAAAATATTATCTCATATTTTTTTCATAACTTTCGTATCAAATCTGCCTCCCTTGTTTCAGCACTAGTCCTGTAATCGAACTGCACCACTGCAAACATCCTTCCAATCTTTGGCTGAACTCGACATTGATTTACTGCTTCAGGTTGGTGAAACGAAGGTAACTTTGGTCCCAAGTTAGTAAAACCAATTGACAAGCTGGGGATCTGAGGGTACTCACGGCTTGACAATGCGAATGTCGCCGAACTTCTTCTGGGCCTCCTCGGTGGAGACGGGGGGAGGGATGACAACGTCATCGCCAGGAGTCCAGTTGATGGGGCAGGTGACGCCGTGCTTGTCGGTGGTCTGGAGGGCATCGATGACACGGAGGACCTCAGCAGTGTTACGGCCGGTGGAGGCGGGGTAGGTCATGATGAGACGGATCTTCTTCTTGGGGTCGATGATGAAGACGGAGCGGATAGTGAGAGCCATGCCTGAGGTTCTGTTAGCGGATGTGCAGCGAAAATAAAGCCCAGAAGAACCAAATACATACCCTTGGAGTCGACGTTGGTGGTGTCCTGGTAGTCGACCATGTCGTACAGGTAGGCAACCTTGCGCTCGGGGTCGGAGATGATGGGGAACTTGAGGTTGGAGCCGGTGACCTCGTCGATGTCCTTGATCCAGGCGTGGTGGGACTCGGTACCGTTGGCACTCAGACCGATCAACTTGACACCGCGAGCAGTGAACTCAGGCTCGAGCTTAGCGAAAGCACCAAGCTCGGTGGTACAGATGGGAGTGAAGTCATCCTGTTCCAATGGCGCATGGGTCAGTCACCGGTGCCCTAACAATATAGTTCGGAACTCCAATCACTCACGGGGTGGGAGAAGAGGACAGTCCAGCTGTCGCCGATGAAGTCGTGGAAGGTGATGGGACCGTTGGAGGAATCAGCCTCGAAGTTAGGGGCCTCAGAGCCGAGACGGAGACTATTCGAGAAGAGCCGGTCAGAATTGCCTTGATCTATACGGACACGGTCAAGGTAAGCAGCGGGTCAACTTACGGAGGAGCACGATCCTGAGCCATTGTGAATGGTATGGTAGAGATTAGTGGTGAGAAGGAGGGAGGGAGGGAGGGAGTGAGTGAGTGAGTGAGTTGAGGTAGGAGGGGAGCAGGGGGGGAAGAAGAAGGATGAAAGAGAGGCTAAATAGTTGCGGGTGCCGTGGACAACATCCCCGAATTCGGACAACACACTCTCAGGTTTCCCCTCAAACTGACTGCCCCTCCATGTACACTGTTGGAACTGGAGGGAAACCCCCCTCGATCACGCAATCTGCCACCGCTTCTGGGGCAGAACACAAGTCATTGGTGGGGAATGAGCTCATTCTTGGGGGAGCTGATGGCGGACTGTGGCGCTAGCCCCATTCGGGCAAGGAGGGGCTTATCAACGAGAACCATGGGACGGATGGCTAACCGTGGAGTCTGGACACTGGCTGGGCACTGGCTGGGCACCGGCACTCTTTACTTGATATAGTATGTAGCAGTTGACACCTATCCACAGAAACCCCTTCGATAACCTGGATACTATGTAGCCACTTCATCCGAGAACACTCAGTCTACCTGCCTAGTCACCTACTCTGATGTCCTCAACTCTCTAAGCACTCGACTTCAGACCTCAAAAGCCAACAGTTTAGCGAAAGCCCCATCAGGTCGGCGGGCTAGTCCGCGTGGATGTCCCACTTCGACCACCCGTCCGCTGTCCAACACAACGACCTGGTCAAAGTCGAGTAGAGTCTGGATCCGATGAGCGACCATGATCACCGTGCAGTTTCGAAACAACTCGCGGATGAGCTTCTGCACTCGAGCATCTGTCTCCTTGTCCAGGCTGCATACAATATGTGGGTCAGCGTGCGAAAAAGTAGAATGACAGAGATGAACAAAGAACATACCTGCTCGTCGGCTCGTCGAGAATCAGAATCTTGCTCTTCTTTAACAGAGCCCGTGCCAGACAGAACAGCTGCTTCTGGCCTTCTGACAGGATGCTCTCGTCCAGTTTGGCTCCAAGAACCTCTTCGTCGCTGTTGCAGCCCTTGTGATGCGCCGCCAGTGCATCCCACACCCCCACGGAGCGCAAAGCATCAACAATATCCGCGTCTGTAGCAGCGTTCAACGGGTCCGCATTCTGCCGGATAGTCCCTGGAAATAGGAAGGGCTCTTGGCTGAGACTGCTGATGCGCTGGCGAATCGAAGATCGGGAGATAAGCGAGATGTCTTGCCCATCAATCAGAATCTGCCCAGACACAACCTCATTAAGGCGAAGTAGAGAAAGTGCGAGACTGCTTTTGCCGCTGGTGTGTAGTGATTCGCGGTCAGCTGACGTCGAAATGAAAGCCCGAGCTGATGCTCGGAAACACTGCAACTCACCTTCCAGTTCTACCACATAGCCCGATCTTCTCCCCACCACGGAAGTGAAGGCGAATGTCGCTCAGCACAGCGGTCGCTGACTCGGAGGTGTCATACGCAATGCTCGTATCAACAAACTCAATTTGACCACAACTGGGCCAATCCGCAAGTGGTTCATGAGTCTCAAGAGTCGGGTCTTCTTCAGTGGGGGTGTCTTCGGAAAACGACTTGATCCGAGCAATTGCACCCAGCGATGTTTCCAGCAGCGTCCAGTTCTGGATCACCTCCGAAAGGACTTGACCTAGCTCGACCATCAACACGAGAGCAATACCCAGCAGACCTGGATTGGCGTGATGACGAACGCCGACAGCTGTTCCGACCATAATTACCGTTAGGGCAGCAACGATAAGATTCAGCACCAGTGAGAGCCAGCGTTGTATGCACAGGAGAAGATAATAAGGTTTCTGGGCCGTATCAAGCATAGCAAGCATCCTGGACACGGCCACGGGCGTCCATGAGAAGGCGCGGATGGTGGTCACTCCAGAGAGAGACTCGAGGAAGTGAGTGTATAAGGGGCTCTTGAGCTCGATTCTAGAGTGAATCAGTACGACAGAATCGAGGCATCCAGGAAGCCAAGGCTTCAGCAAGGAGAAGGAAGGTAGAATAGATGAAACTCACTCTAACAACCTTAGTTGGCGAGATGTGCGCAGATAAAATCGTTGAAGTAGGCCCAGCAGCGCGATGAGAAATGGCAGAGCTGCAGCAATATAAGGCAAGGAAGCGATGGTAATGGCGCCTTGAGCGAGGGCACTGAAGAGCTCTGAGTTCAAAAACGTCAATATGAAAGTGACTCCATCTTGTTCATGAGCTGTTTACTTACGGAACCCTAGCGAGATGAAACCACGGGGCAGAATCATGTCTACTAGACGCATGTCTTGGCTGAAGCGAGTTACAAGAGCTCCAGTTTCGACATTTGATAAATAAGACAAGGGAGCACTTGAGGTTTTTAGTTTTAAGTCACCGTGGCCTTTTCCAATCTTTGAGATAAAAGCTCACCTCATGCAAGCGCGGAGCACAGTGGAATGAAGGTGTTTCGAGGCAGCCGGGACAATGATGACCCATGTCCAGCTGAGGAGTTGCATATACTGTCAGCGCAAATACTAGAGACAAATGAGGATTGAACACACAATATAGCAAGCGCAAGCGAGCTTGCTTCGACTGCGGCCAATGCCGCATATATTCCCAGCCAGTATCCTGAACGCGATCCTGAGGCACTGTCGTTGCTGCTCGACCAACGTTCCACCCAAATGTCTACTCAGACGTGAGCGTTTCATGACAACTATAATATTGTAAGTAAGGGAGGGAATGACTCACAGAGAAATCCGCCAATGGCTGAATTGACAGTCAACAAAAACACAAAGGTGGCTACTCTCAGCCAACCCAGGCTAGAGAAGTAAAACTTGTACACAGAAGTGTCGGTTGTCTGTCGGTCGCTATCAGAAGGATCTGAGACGGTTCCAGCGTCTGCAGTGGTCGTCGTGAGCCCAGACTGTGGCTGAACAGTATTGGCCGCTCCTGGGTTCTCTAGTCGCCCTGTGCTCAGACTAAGCTTGTTAATGTAACCTCCCATGTGACTTCGAAGCTGGGAATAGGTGCCATGCTCAAGAACTTCCCCATCATTGCAGAGAACAATGATGAAGTCGGACTGCGGTAGGTGCTGAGCTGTGTTCACATTAGCAACGACTCCGTAGTTGAACATGTAAGGCCGTCATTTGACGAAGAATCTTACTGTTGTGGGTGGCCAGGAAAACGGTACAACCCAGCTGGCGTAGCAGACCATTCGGGCCAAAGACATTGGTGAACACCTGCTGGGAAGTCACATTGTCAAGACCACTGAAGACGTCATCAAAACAAGCGATGCGTTTGCGAGAATAGAGAGCGCGTGCGATGGCCTGTTGATGTTAGTAATGGGCTTGTATTCAACTTCTTGTCAGGTAGTTTGGTAACGAACTATTCTTTGCCTTTGCCCTCCGCTCAGTTTCGCCCCCTTGCTGCCTACAAGCGTCCGGTCTTCCGCTGGCATTCTCCCAATGTCAAGGTTGAGCGCACATGCTTTCAAGATCGTGTGATACCATCTTTCGTCAAATGAGGATGATCCGCTGTCGCCCACAATGTTATCTCGAATTGATGCATTGGCAAGCCATGGCATCTGCTCGCAGAACGCTATGTCCGGATGATTGATAACGAGCTTTCCATCCAGTACAGGCGTCTCACCGGCAAGACCTTTCAAAAAGGTGGACTTACCACTACCGACGGGACCGACAATCGTGACGAGGTTTCCTCTGTCAGATTGCTCGAGGGTCATGGTAACACCAGCTTTGTCCATTGACGAGGACTTCCATCCAAAACGGACGTTTTCCAGGGAGATATGCATGGCGGCTTGCTTTGAAAGAGGGACAGTGGCGGGGGAAGAGAGAGCAGAGAGCTCAATACCGGATAGACTTGAGGATGGTGTTGCTGGGCTTGCTAGCAGCGGAGCTAATTTTCTCTTCTCTGTAAAAAGCACATAAGCTTGGGATGCAACCTGGAATTTGAATGAAAAACGTCAAGAACACTCACCAACGCGACTCGGTTGCCTGAGGAAGTCCTGTACCCTATGTAAACATCCCATTGATGCAAATGTATCTGGGATCGCCAGCAGAAGTTGCTGGAGCGGATTGACCAGTAAGTTGACCAGTGAAAGTGATGTGATGGCTTGCGAGACATGGAACCCCCCGGATCCATTCACTGCAGCTACTATACCATAAGCTGCAAATGTTGCAAGTTGGCCAACGATCGACGGAAGGTTGACTGGGTCGTTTTGTGTCAGTCCTAGTTATGGCAGTCTGAGGACATACATACCCATGCATACACGGATTGTCTGAATCCGGCGGAATCTCTTCGAGATAGTGAGTTCTTCCTCACGCAAAGCATCAATCATTGTTCCCATAATTTCGGACAAACCAAGAAATTTCGCGTTCCTGATAGAACCAAGAATAGCGGAGGTAAAGTTCACGCGCTTCTCTGTAGCCTGCAGCCACGTCTTCTGCCTGGCAGTGACGGCATTGCCCATGCCGAATGACGCTGCCGTGAAGACTATTGCGAGTGATCAGCCATGTCTTGTACAAACCGCGTACAATTTAGCTGGGAAAGCTTACTCATTACCACCACGAAAGGAGCGATACAGACAGCACCCACTTGGGTCTGCAGGAGCCAAGTGGCCAGGCCCAACTGTAGGACATTAGCCCATGTCTCGCATACTGTAGACAGGAAGTATTCGGCAAGCATCTCGATGTCGGTGCCCATAAGGGACATGGCACTGGATTCGTCTGTGGTGCCCAAGGGAAGATTCATCATGTGTTCATAAGTCAAAGCCATGAGGCCACCTCGAAGCATAGTTGTAGCGCGGTACCCTAGATGCTGGTAGCTCGCGGTGAACACCTAGTGAAATGAATCAATAAGCCATTCGCTTCACGGGATACGCCGAATGCCCGGCCATATTTGAGAGACTCACAGCAACCCCAACGAAGACAATTGCGGTAGCTCCAATCAGACCGTAGGCCATGTCCTGAGCGAGCGAGTCGGTTCGCTCCAGAACGGTCACAATTTTCCCGACCAGGAATGGTTGCGCAATGCTGAAACCTACTACACAGAGACGGGGGAAAGCAATCCCCACTATCTCCCATCGCAGACATCTAATGACAGCCAGGAACAGAGCATTCTTGCGACTTTGGTTGCAGCTTGCCCAGGAATCAGCGAACCGAGTGGACAGATCACGAGACTGGAGCTTTTCGTGAATGGTGGGCAGCGCATCGCTCGTGAGTATGATTGAGTAGCCATTTCGCAAGAGGCTGTTCAACCATGTGAATAGACCCCGGCTGAACGGTCCGCTCACGCTCTCTCCTGACTTGGCTTTCTCGCTTGGTAGAAGCCATTTCCGCTTATCGATATTCTCAAGTACCAGTAAGACCAGCTTGATGGCGAGGGATGTTGAAAGACAGGCGGGATATGAGTGGTTGTCAGATAACAACCATGAAGTGCGTACACGAGCCACATCGAATAACAGAGTTATGAACAGGTAGGCAGTGACAAGGAATGACGGCCGGATGGAACGGACATGCTCCAGATCAACAATAGCCACGAGAACAAGTGCCGCTAGAAGTTCCAAAACGGCACCCGCGAGGGACGTATGCTTCTGGGGAGCATGCTCGGTTGCGACAAGTACGAGGAGGGAAATTTGTATGGCTGCTAAGATAGCAGCGAGAGACTGCGTTCAATGCTTGGTTAGTCCTCAACCTGCTCAAACAAGCATCTGGGAATCCCACATACCAAGATTGGGAGACGTAGACTAGAGGAAAGAACTTTAGGGGATTGTTTGTAAAGCTGGAAAAGCCTGAATGGTGACAAAAGGAGAAAGCAAGCAGCCGGGGCGATAGTCAAGATGGCTGTCTCGAATAGAACGGTGAAGTCAAAGCCTCCGCGACAGCCTGGTCGAATGACTGGACCGAACAGACTGTCGCCGCATAGATCAGTTGCGGAGGCAGAGCTCATGGCTGCACTCACTCTCTTGAGGTTGACCTGTGGTAGCACTGTCAAGTGCAGTCATGCGCAGTCATGCTGACAATATAGAAGCCACGGCGCCCATGATTAGTATAAGTTGTAGCCTGGGATGAGCTTATCACGCTTATCTTGCTAAGTCTTAGCTCCAATGACCCCATCGATGTCCAGAGACTCCAGACCATCTCTTATCGGGGATTGGTAGTTGACAAGTTCTCCGGCGGGGATCCGATGCCAACACGGCAGCCCAAATCAGGTGTTCCCGCTTCGATGAGGTGCATCCCTTCTATAAGTGTTCTATAGCTACCTCCTCTGCTCAGCCTCAACCCATATCTTGATGTCTCCGCCATACATCATTCTCGGTGGACCTTGTGGTCTGTGATAGTCTTGAGGTTGAAAGAAAAGTAGACCCGAGACTGAGCCTCCATGTACTGAGTCTCATTGATTGCGGGGTAGCAGAGGCAACGCTATGATTCGTGGTGGGTGAGTTCTTGTTTATGCCATTTTGTCTACTGTACAGATCCACATTTCTGTTGCTTGGATTATACCCAAGGAAGAAATTAGAGTCGGCTGCATCAAGCTGCATACAATGCAGGCACTTGGCATGTGCTCAAAGTATATGTCGTGCTGCGTATACTAGTCGTGGTTGTTTGTATATTACGTGCAGTATAAAATCAACCATCAACCTTGAACCTCCAGAATACCACCAGGAGGAGCATTTGACCGCTGCCTGTCATGGGAGACGATTGTAGCGTTTGGAACGTGGTCCGATTAATGTATCCAGGCCAGACACTGCAACAATTCTGCCAAATTGGAGGGTATAGGTAGTGAGTGCACGTGATGATCCCCGAGAGGACGGAAGGGAAATTTGTTTGCTTGGTCCGGGATAAGGAGCGGGCGGTGAATTCGCCCGCCCGCGCGACGCTGGCTTTCCCCCCACGAAGGTGTGTTTAGACGCGTCTGAGTTTCCGTGTTACGGCGATCGCCTCTGTCGCCGTCCTATAGCTCCTCCTCCTCCTCCTCCCTCACTTCCCCAATTCACCTCCACACTTCCCCGTGTTTGTTTCTCCTTCTGCCTTCTGTGTATTGTTTGACACTGGTGGTTCAGTCCTCTTCCTTATCTTCCACAGATATTCCCTTCTCTTCCGTCAATCGACTGTCCTGGCTTTCTTCGCCCGCATTTCCTCTCTGTTCTCTGGACAGCACACCATGCCTCCCCAGCGGAAGCGGAAGTCGGAGAGCGCGTCCCTCGCCGAAGAGAGTGCCCCAGCTGCCAAGAGAGTACGTCCCCCATCCATTTATCCCTTTCCACCACACGATTCGAGCTCCAACGCGAGCAGGATCGCGATGAGGGGCGGCCCGTGCCTCTTATTCGTGCGCGTCGCCCGCCAATGGAAATACTCTTCTGCTTCTTCAAACCAATTCCCATTCTTCAAACCAATTCCCATCACTCAAACTAACATTACCTTTTTACGTGCAGGTTGCGCCGGATACGCCAAACGACAGCGAGAAACGAAAGAGAGGTCGCCCCAGGAAGTATCCCGAGGGTTCGACTCCCAAGCGCCCGGATGGCCCCAAAAGAGGTCGCGGTCGGCCTCGTAAAGACCCCAACTCTGGTCAGTGCCTTCTGCACGAAAACTCCTGCTTTCTACGGGTCACTGCCCAGCTTAAAGACGAGTTGCGGGCAAACACCACGTTGGTCCGTCCACACTGAGCCGTCCACTAACTTTGCAACAGTCTCCACTCCCTCCAAGCCCAAGGGACCCAAATCGGATGGCACTTTCGGCCGGGGTAGGCCTAGGAAGTCGTCGCCGAACCCGAAGCCGACGTCGACGCCTTCGCGGAACGGTACCAGCGAATCGACTCCCAAACAATCTAAAACAGAATCGCCAGAAGTCAAGTCCGCTGTCTCAGCCAAGTCTGCTGCCTCAGCCAAGTCTACTGCGTCGGCCAAGTTGCCTACCCCAGTCAAGGCTACTTCGGGACCCTCGTACTGGTTGATGAAGGCAGAGCCGGAGAGCCGTATGGAGAAGGGTGTCGATGTCAAGTTTTCTATCGATGATCTCCGCGAACGCACGGAGCCAGAAGCCTGGGATGGTAAGTCTGCCTTGCTGTTGGCCAATCCTGCTGTCTCGATACTAACACTTGAACAGGTGTACGGAACCCGTCTGGTGAGTAGTGAACGAGAGCTTTGGCACAGGTATCAGCAACTGACTTTGTGAATAGCGCAGAGACACATGCGGGCCATGAAGAAGGGTGACCAGGCCTTCTTTTATCATTCCAACTGCAGAGTACCCGGAGTTGCCGGCGTCATGGAGATTGTGGAAGAACATTTTGTCGATGGTGAGGAGACCTACCCCGGGTGCCAGATGGTTGGCTGACGGTGATGTAACTTCAGAATCGGCCTTTGATCCTGCCCACCCCTACTACGACGCCAAGTCGAAGCGCGAGAAACCCAAGTGGGAGGCGGTCCGGGTGGAGTTCCGGCGCAAATTCAAGAACCTCGTGGCCCTGAGTCAGCTGAAGGAACACATGGCTCCTGGAAAGCCGCTGGCGAACCTTGAGATGCTGAAGCAGTCCCGGCTGAGTGTGTCGTCGGTGAGACCCGAGGAATGGGAGTTCATCTTGGGACTTGCCGAAGAAGAGGAAGTTGAAGACAAGGAAGCTGAGGCGACCGAGGCGACCGAGACGCCTGAGGCGGCCGAAGCAAACGACGCCAAGGAAGCGACTGATGCGACTGAAGCGACTGAAGCGACTGAGTCGACTGAGTCGACTGAGTCTCCTAAGGGCGCCTCTACTGAGAAGCCCGAGGAAGCGTCGCAACCAAGCGAATGAACTGGTGGATTTATTGATGTACTTTCAGAGCCGGTTGTGGGATGAACGAAATTTCGGGTTATGGGTAACATCACGTCGGTTACGCCGGATTTATGTACAATCAATCGGCGTTTCTACAATACATTTTTCATTTGTGGATCCTATTATGAATTGTAAACTGTAAGAAGTGATCCCTTGCTATTGCGGTTGTGAATCGAGGCAGCATTTTGTCAATCATATCATGGATGGCTGCTGGGGTTGCAGTCTGGGTTTCATTGGCGTCTCCGCCGCATCCGCGGTTGGATTGATTGAATGGATGGATGGGACACTGCCCGCAGTGGACAGCGATGCATACCTACCCCAACACTGACGCTGATTGGATATTCCCAATGCAAACTGCATGTAGGTACGGTACGAGTCAACTTGGAAGACGCTGAGGGGGTTGTCTTTGGGGACTTTGCCAGACCCGATTGTGGGTGTGAGGAAAGCAGATAACAATTCCATTGCATTGATAGAGTACTAGGTACTTAATAGTACCCCGTAATAGTTAAGCTAACAGGTACCTGTACGTACAGTTAATAGAATCGCGGGGCCCGGGAAGAGCAAGTCTATCCGAAGAGGGGCGACTTGGCTCGAGCACGACAACGCTGATTGGTTGGGATGCGGCTGTTATCGCCTCCAGCGGGGATGGCCAGCCTGAAGCCTCAGGAACCCAGCGGTTGCAATGCAATTGCGGGGACTGCTTCAAGGTTAGCTTCGATAAGCCAGTCACTTAACTAACGAAAGCTCAAGCTCCTCCAAGGTTATTATAAAGTCAACCTCCCCTCTATCCCACCCCATCCCCATCCTCGATTGTCCTCTACCCCTTGTCTTCTCCCCTCTCCCCACGGTCAATGCCACGCCTGCCCTTCCTCTCTCCCCTCTTCATCGCCTCTCGACTCCCCCGCCTTGGTTGTCGTCAGCTCCCCCTCTTCCCTCCAGCGGCATCTCTCCGCTCTTCTCTCTCCACTCCTTGCCGCAATCCATCTCCCCTCGTACCCCGCCACTCCCTCCACAGTACCCCATCCACCATGGCCAGCAGTAAGGTGAGCGTGCAATTGACTGCGCCCAACGGGCGTCAGTATGACCAGCCCATCGGTCTGTTCATCAACAACGAATTCGTCCCCTCCAAGTCGGGCGAGAAGCTCGCCTCCATCAATCCTTCGTAGGTTTCCCGCCAGAACCTCTGCAACGGTGGAAGCTTGTGCTGATCGAATGTCCAGCGATGAGAAGGAGATTGTCTCCGTCTACGCTGCGGATGCGGAGGACGTGGATGTCGCCGTCAAGGCGGCCCGGAAGGCTCTCAAGGATCCGTCGTGGAAGCTGCTGCCTGCGACGGAGCGCGGCCACTTGTTGCTGAAGCTGGCGGATCTGATCGAGCAGCACCGGGAGACACTTGCTACTATTGAGACGTGGGATAACGGTAGGTGGCCTTGTTCCGGCAGCAGCAGCATGCAAGCCGTCCGGCGGTGATATTGACCGTTTCCAGGCAAGCCGTACTCCGTCTCTTTGAACGACGATCTCGGTGAGGTCCTTAGCTGTCTCCGGTACTATGCCGGCTGGGCGGACAAGATCCATGGCCAGACCATCAGCACCACCCCGGCCAAGTTCGCCTATACACTCCGTCAGCCCATCGGCGTGGTCGGCCAGATCATCCCTTGGAACTTCCCGCTGGCCATGGCCGCATGGAAGTTGGGCCCGGCCCTCGCTTGCGGTAACACCGTGGTGATGAAGGCGGCGGAACAGACCCCGCTCAGCATTCTCTACCTGGCCAAGCTCATCAAGGAAGCGGGCTTCCCGCCCGGTGTGGTCAACATCCTCAACGGCTACGGTCGCGTGGCCGGTAGCCCGCTGGTCACGCACCCGGACGTCGACAAGGTCGCCTTCACGGGCTCGACCATCACGGGCCGCGAGATCATGAAGCTTGCCGCCGGCACGCTGAAGAACATCACCCTGGAGACCGGCGGCAAGTCGCCGCTGGTCGTGTTCGGCGACGCCGACATCGAGCAGGCGGCCAAGTGGGCGCATACCGGGATCATGTACAACCAGGGCCAGGTGTGTACCGCCACGTCGCGCATCCTGGTCCACGAGTCGGTCTACGACCAGTTCGTCTCCCTGTTCAAGCAGGAGGTGGCCACGACCAGCAAGGTCGGCGACCCCTTCGCGGACGACACCTTCCAGGGCCCGCAGGTCAGCCAGGCCCAGTACGAGCGGATCCTGTCGTACATCGAAGCCGGCAAGTCCGAGGGCGCGACGCTCGTGGCGGGCGGCGAGCCCCACAAGAACGTCGCCGGCAACAAGGGCTTCTTCATCGCCCCGACCATCTTTACTGATGTCAAGGACCACATGCGCATCTACCGCGAGGAGGTCTTCGGCCCGTTCGTCGTCATCTCCAGCTTCACGACCGAGGACGAGGCGGTCACCCGCGCCAACGACAGCACCTACGGGCTGGGCGCCGCCCTCTTCACCAAGGACATCGAGCGCGCCCACCGCGTCGCCTCGGAGATCGAGGCCGGCATGGTCTGGATCAACAGCAGCAACGACAGTGATTTCCGCGTGCCGTTTGGGGGTGTCAAGCAGAGCGGGATCGGTCGCGAGCTGGGCGAGTCCGGCCTGGAGGCGTACTCGCAGGTCAAGGCCATCCACGTGAACATGGGATCCAAGCTTTAGGTTTGCGAAATGAGCTGAGCTCCTGTATGATAAATAAAAAAAAAATGAGGGGAAAACCACACAAGGCGATAAAACCAAAAGCACCACGCAAAATATCGGAATATGTTCTGATCGCCTTCTTCTTCAGTTCTGATGCGAACGAGACGCAGTAGAAACCACGAGATGAAAAGGAAAGGGAAGAGGCAGCCAGATCATCGGGTCGTACAAATTACCCCCTCCCCCTCACAGAACAGTGACCGTAACCAGCCCAGCATGACTTGAGTTGTGAACCCCCAAATGTCTTGCCTCGACCTGCGCAGTCCAGCATCACCGTGCCTGTAAGAAGAGAACTAGACATTGAGCCACGATGTGGCCTAGTCAGATTGGCGGAGCAAGTAGTCTGTGTAATTATTGCAAATCTTCTGATCGGATTGAGGAGACACTACTGGATGATCCTTGATGTTGTCTGTCTCTTCTTCCTGGGTGATCGGTGGGGAGTTGTGAATCCGACTTCCAACTGGGTTTCTTTATCCACGGGTGGCAGTTCACTCCACATTCCACCCTCTACCCTCATGGAGAGACATAAGGACCGCCAGACGACGAGAATAGCGAAATGTGTGCACTGTAGATCTAGGCCTGTGTATCTACGACCCGACGTGCGAGATCTGCACGCTCAACTAAAATGCTATAGAATCTATGCCGACAATGGACAACAAGACTACACCAACAACCATCCACGACAAACTTACTGCAGGTGACAGAATCACGACCACAGTAACCTGAACCCACGCCTTATGCACTTCTACAGTACCCAAGCGAAGACACACACGCACGCACACACAAAGCAAGAGAGAGAGAGAGAGTAAAAAAGAACAAGTTACACAACCCCAGGGCTACATGCATGAATACTAAGAGCAGAGCAGAGCAGAGCCGATCAATCCCCATCGCAAATCCTTCCGCAGCATGCTTCCATCACAGATAACCCACCTGTCTGGCGGGCTGGATCTCATCTCCATGCATCCCTGCGATCCTAACACTTAGCAGTAACAGTGGTGGTGGTAGAAATGGTAGTACAGAATACGAACGAGATCTGGGTACTAACATAACCTACATACCTACTAACCTCCAGGACACTGGATACAACGTAGGTAAGCACCTTTAAGCGGCAACCAGCTGCGGCCTTTGTATCCTCCAGTACCTCCTGTGGACTCGAACCTGAGCCTACCCAGTTTTTCATGCATGGCCAGATCAGCAGCGAAAAAAAAAAAAAAAAAAAAAAAAAAAAAAAAAAAGACAGCCGCACCCTTTGCTTCTAGGAATACCCCGCGAAGAACAAGGGCATAAGACCAGCTTCTCCATTGAAACACAGCAGATACAGACATTCCGAGTAATCATCATCCAACACCACAACCTCACGCAGCCCCAGATCAACCCCAAGCAACAACCAACCTGGAAACAAGAAAAGCAAGACAGAACCCTATCCAGCAGCATACACCCATGTCCAGTCCATGTCCAGTCCAGTCCAGTACAGTACACCCCCTTATTCCCAATCCAACCCAACTCAACTCCTCCTCCAAGCATGCAAAAGCACTCCCCGAAAGAAAATCCTTTCATGTACACAGGATGCATGGTGGAAGAAGCAAGGGGGAGACGCCCGCAGCACCGACCCACTGTAGAACCCAGAAACAGGACAGTCAATCATCGAACCTCGATTCTGAGATCGAGAAAGAGAATGCGGATGCAAGATAGATGCTTGCTTACTGTTACTGTTACTGTTACTGTTACTGTACTTGTACTTGCATGCATGCACTGCACTGCATTGCATGTATGCATGCATATGTATATGTGTGTGTGTATGTACATATAGTTACAATGACTGTACAATGTAAACTGTAGGTGTAAGTGGAAGTAAGTTCTCTGCTTCTGCACTGTTGGGTTAGAACGGTTGCTGGGTACGGACTTCACGAGCATTGCAGATAACCCAGGAGCTGGAAGCTGCAGGGTGAAATCTCGGGGGTGATCGGTTATGATTGGCTAGTGTTAAGTGTACACCATATGTGGACTGATGGATGCCATCTTTCTCTAATCCAGAAAACGGACCTGGGGGGGTGTGTTGTTGGCTCTGGATATAGTTGTGCTAACAAGAGGTAAACTAAAGCTGGAGACTCATATCTATGCATGTTTTGCACACTTGATTTGAAGTGAGAAAAGGCATGCTCTAGATTAATGCAAGCAGCTTCTCAGTAACGACAGCCTCACGCGGTGCACCAAACACCCAAAAGCACAGGAAGAAAGAGAGCAACACCCTAGGTATCAGCATCACCGACCCTTGAGGCATACATACCATTGCCTTGACCGTCACCCATATTGAACTCGCAGAACTATGCTATATTAGCTACATCCACTACACTCTCAACTTCGAAGACCCTGAACGGACAAGCTCACATCTCCATACTAGCAATTTAAATCAGAGATGTAAAACTCGAGATGTAGGGGAAACTACCTTACTCTACATCCTCATCCACCACTTTCACATCCTGATGCATGTACAGTTGAACTAGCATTGGCTCAGGTGCATACATGAGCTGCCTAAAATGCACATCCCACATCCACCCAGCCATATCCTAATACTACATCAGACAAGAGACCCACACGAGCACCTGACAAGAAACCTCTGAGACGGCGTTCTGCCCCAATGCAGCAGCGAAGGGTATGAATCATGAAGAATCCAACATCGGGGCGAACGCCACCAGAAAATCCTTATAGTATAATGTTAAGTTGGAGTTTCGAGAAGACCGATTATCTTTCCGATTTTGTTCTTTTCTAAAAATCATTAGGTGGTGGTAGTATACAGTAGAGGTCACCTCAGTATATTGGTCTAGTTCTGGCCTCAGGCAATCAATCGACTTGCAACCAGCGATCCAGTACAGGGCACAGCCCGACTACTCTGGTCAAACTGTTCACGCTGTCAACTGCAATCTGTAAACACCATATGACCTTGTCATAGCAAAAGTAAAAAGTACCATCTCCTTAGTATCAATGCACAGTACTCTCAAGGATAAGCACAAGAGAGAAGTCGCATTGAACAGTCAAGTGGAGCATTCGACCCTCTCTCCAGGTCTCTAGCTACCCTAGACTACGCACTAAGTAGTAAGCAGTACACTGCATCCAGAAGTAAAGAACGCCTCTTCCCAACATGCCCGAACTATACCTCTGAACTGCCTCGAAACTACCTCTGAACTAATGCATGAAATTCCCAAAAGAACACAGATTTCCACCACCTCCTCCACCAATAGCAACAAATACTCCCACCAATTTTCACCTCAGTGGGCCGCACTGATTTGCCACCTGAGCAACTCCCTCCTCATAGGGTACGAATTAGGTACCTATCTGACCGACCCAGGTACTTAGTACTACTCACGGCGAGGGTACACACATGTGTAGCTTGCCCCTCACGCTCTCCCCGCCTCTGGATGCACATCTCAGGACACTAGTCGTTGGGCCATCTGTTGTGTCTGAGAGGAAGTATGTCGTGGCAGGATCCGACTGGGGTGAGGGATATGGCTCTCGATTCGACGCAATTGACGCACTGTCTTGCTGACATACAGACCAGACCTATCTGAGTTACCCGTCCCGGCGTAAACATATGCGTCCATGTTTTTTCTTACTTTGTCTTATTCTGATGCAGGCTTCGGTTATACGGTGCAGCGAACTCGTTGAGGTTGACCACGCCATGATCCCAGTATTGCGGGCCCCCGATCTCATAGTCGAGCCGGTCAATGAAAGTGGGCCTGACTGGATCGGAATTAGTTAGGTCGTCATACCCTGATTAAGTGGTGTTTGAGCAATCAATCAATCGAGCCAGACACTGCGTGCCATACCGAAAATTGGCGGTATGATGACGGTAAATTACCGTACAGCCGTAATACGACTTGCAAAACATGGTACGTTTAGCTCCATACCGATTGACAGGGTATTCCACACCCTTTCCCCTCCCCCAAAGTCCTATCTGCAGTTGCTGCACCTCACCCCCATGTGAGCTGCGTTGTCATGCATGAAGAATCGATCATGTGAGGCTGCCTGGACCTAATGGGCTCGCCCTTGAAATGGTCGCTGCTTAAGCATCCAGGGTGGTGCTTGGACGGTGTTTGGACATCGAAACGCCAAACAAGAGGGCGAGAGCCCCCAGAGCTGCACAAATCCAGAATCGATGTGATCCCTCATCATTCGCAACGGTCGGAAAATTTCCAGGCCAGAGTGCGGAAGGGAGTGTTGTCTTCTCGGGCATGATTGAGTGGTGTACTGTACACCGCATTTTCCATTCGCTCACAGACAGCGCGATTCAGTGGTCCACTTTGTAACTTATCTGTCTCGAATATCAGTCGTGTTTGCCTCCTGCAGGTACTGCCCTGTCCGTTTAGGTGATGCATCGCCGTTGAGCTGGCGTCTTCATTCCCCGCCGGGTGCTGGCTATGAACCACCGCTCATTAAGGTTGCGCCCTTAGGTTTGTCTACTGTGCGCCGGACGACCCAATGTTGGGCGCTCTCCATCTGTCCGACCGTCAATCAATGCAGCGGCTGGCCATGCGCTGCATAGAGGCTTTCCCAAGGACCCAAAGACTCCCCGGGCCCCATGGATTAATTCAGAATGACCTCAGTCTACCTCGCCCTTTTACTGCTTTGGGTTCATGATTAGCATCATAACGACGATCACCCCAGATGGCTGGAGATCGAGTTTATTCCGTTTACCGTGGTTTAAGTCGTCGGCATCCGATCACGGCATCGCTCTGCTAGTCCAGCTGAACATCGCTGAGTGATGGGGCTGTGATTTACCAACCAGGGCGATTAGGTTAGATGGACAGAAGCCCAGCAGGTGGTCCATCGTCTGGCTTAGCGCGGTCTTCCTCTCCCGAAGGACCGAGGAACTTTGTGGAAGCATTTCAGGCTCTCAGCAGCTGCGCAACCATTCCACTAGTTGTATCTCCCACCTTGCCTATCTGGGGCGATCCGCCCTTCGCCGTCAGACACATGGCGGGACTCCAAATTAAGAATGGATACTGGCCTGGAGCTCTGCCCACATTCCATGGACCGACCATGACACGGACCCCAGACGCTGGCCACAAATCGGGGATCAATGCAAGAAAACAGCTCGTAACCTGTCGCTGTCACGGCTGTAGGCCCGAAAGGTACACTAGGTGGGCCTCGTCCTCTGGCTTGTAGGTAAAATGGTAAGCATTTCCCTCCAAAGTCCCGAAGTTTGGGACCCTGGAGCGGGCGGGTATGCCGTGTCTGCGTCCAAGGAACACTTTCGAGGGATCGAGGGGACTCGCCTTGCTTGCTGTCACGCAGACTGCTTAAGGCGCTGGGAGCAAGCTGCCGCATAGCACAAGCCCCAAGGAAAAGCAGCCGGGTGATTTCCTATTTGTCCGCAGTTATCGGCCCGTCTAAGATAGACTCCACCAGGAGCCTTGTTTGGGACAAATTGAGGCGGAACACGGGAAGTCTGCCCGCATCCTGTCACTGCGCACATCTGGGTCTGGGCCGGTAACATGGTGTGACTTTCGCTGCCTGCTCACAATCAAACGGTCTTGTTGGTGGGTACTGTACTTTTCCTTCGTGCTTCAGAGATAGCTTCAATCCAATTCCAACCCTTTATCTTTCCCTGAGAATTGCTTTTTCTCGGCACCTAAAACCATTCTGAGTGGCCACGTTGGCTGTGACAGGGCTGCCTGTAATTTAGCGTCTACAGGTAAATACCGTAGGCAAGGTAGCTGATAACTCACTTGACAGGTGATAGCTCCAATGGGTGGGGACAGGCTTGATGGTGAATATCCAATAAATAATATACCCACTCCGGAAGCCTGAGGGCTCGAATCGCTCACTAGACGAAGGGGCGCATGTATGCATCCTGTTCCTTTTCTGGGCCGTTAGAGACCATAAACGCGGACATATTTCTGAATTGCCAGAAGTAGGCGCTAATAATTGGCACGACACGCAGCAGCTTCTGCAGCAAAACTGGAGAAATTCCCGGGCCCAGACTCTAGTTTAGATCGATTCGAGTCGTAGTCGATAGATGGCATCCAGTTGGTTTTTTAAATCTAGTTGGTGCTAGCAATCGGTGTGTTCGACCGTCGACGGCTGCTTTGGCACGGAAGTGGTGGCCCGATGGGCAGTTATCCACTCCCCTCCCCCTCCCACTCTGGCCTTAGGGCCCTAAGTCGAAACTGGGATGGCTGACCCAGCTCGACCCACTGACCATGAGGAGAAGACTGCTGCTGCTGCTGCTGCTGCTGGCGAAGGAGCGGGACAGCAAAATAATCGCGTTTTCACTGAGTTTCGTGTGGGGTTTTGTCTTGGCAACCGTGTGTCACGCACCGACTGAATAGCCGTCACACTCAGTCGACTTCCCATCTTCCCCTCAGTGCGCTCCCAACATTCTCCGTTGACAATAACTGTTGCACATATATCCAAAGCCGGCCATAACTTTTCGATACAGCTCAGACCACGGGTGCTCCCGAAACTGAATTGTCCAAAACCTTCAGCAATCAGCATCCTTGTTGATCGATCATTCAGAATGTCAGACTTCCAGAGATGGACGGTCTCCGAGGTACGCGGATTTAGAACTGGACCTTTTTCTGGGCGAATGAACATGGTCCATGTGGGGTATGAGCATAAAAGCATGATTCTTACTCTTGTTTCTTGATTCAGCCGTACGTCGACATAGCAGGCACTTTATTGGAGGGTCCGTTCCATGATGAGACCAGGAATGAGTTTCGCTTTGTCGACATCTGGGAACAGAAACTATACGCTTTGAACCTTGCCGAAGGGCCAGACTCCTTGCGGATTTTGGACACGTCTGCTTCCATTGGGTGCGTCGCCTGTCCGATAGCCTTTCTTACAGGGTGTCTACTCCCAGCACGGCTTCGAGGCTAACCCGCTGGTCGGGACTGCAGGGTGACTGCCAACATCGCCAATGCCGGAGATGCTCACAAGGACCAGATCGTCGCAGCCGCTAAACATGGATTTGCCCTGATAAATCGCGACACCGGTGAGCTGTCGTATATCCGCAGAGCATGGGACGACCCGGACAAGGACCACAGGTAGGTGTCAGAAGTCGGGATCTGCACAACTTGAAGGCGTGAATCTGACTCATCGACAACGCCATCAAAACAGGATGCGTTTCAACGACGGAGCAGTCGACAGCCACGGGCGATTCTGGGCCGGGGCCATGAATGACCCCAAGATCCAGAAGCCTACCAACGAAGGGGCACTGTTCCGGCTAGATCCTGACTTGAAACTCCATCGGATGGTTGAACAGCTGACGATTCCCAACGGGATTGGCTGGAACCTTGCGGATGACACCATGTACCTGACCGACTCCCCTACTGGTAAGATTTTTGCCTTCGACTTTGATGCGAAGACCGGAGCGATCAGCAACCGCAGGGTTCACTTTGACATTGGGGAGCCCAAGGAGCCCGATGGGTTTGCCATCGATGAGGAAGGCTGCCTCTGGAGTGCGATATATGGCGGCGGGAAGATCATACGCATTTCACCGGAGGGAAAAGTGATTGGCGAAGTGATCCTGCCTACACGGAACATTACCTGTCCGACATTTGTCGGGACCGAGCTCTTTATCACAACTGCTAAGGATGATGTGAATGATGAGCAGCTTCCCAACTCTATTCGATATGGAGGACGGCTTTATCGCGTGGATGTCGGGGTCAGAGGAAAACCTAAGAATCAGTTTCGCTTCCAGGACTGATCTCATGGTGATAAACTATCATTCAAACAGTTGTAGAAAGAAGTATACTTTGACGGGGAGTTGCTCTGTGTGTAGGCTTTTAGACCCAGTGACCACCTAAAACGCCACAATGGAGACGCGAACTCGTTTGTAGGGCGCACATTTGAAGAGCAATGTTGTGTAGCAGAGCGAGCATGGAAGGCACCTGTAGATTGTCCTGGTTCAAAGCGTTTAGGCAAGTAGTCACTAACGGAGCCTACTCGACTCGGACGGAGAACGGGAAATGACGTCTGGCTGCGATGGGAAGAACGAACTTTGTGAGACACATAGCCTGATCAGAATATATCAGTTAAATGTATCCGGAGTCCGAGAATAGAACGGGGAAGGACTTGTGCAGGATGCATGTACACTTTTTCACAGGCACGGAGTCAGTGAACAATGCTGTTTGAGTATTGTTGTTGTTGTCTCCATGCGGGGGAGTAAATGCAAGGGGTGGGGCAGAAGAAGAAGAAGAAGAAGAAGAAAGAGAAAGAGACCTCGGAGGGTGGAAGAAAGTCAGCAGACCCACTCCTTCGGTCAGTAAGTGAGGTCAATCAATCTATGAGTATGTCTAGCAGGCATAGTTGGAGTGTGTAGAAGGGATTGATGTCCAAAGCACTAACTTACCGAGTCCGACTGCTATCGCGACTTCCCCTTCAAGTTACTATAGGTACAGTACTTCTATTTTCCAACATTTTTCCATTTCATACGCCTTTTGACTATCATGCTCTCCGCCTAAGTACATTTAGATTGAACAGTCCTACGTAGAGTACAAATGACTCCATCACATGGTATCATACATGCAGCATTCCAGACTAATGAGCAGATTCGAGAAGTCACAATTCTTGTCTCTTGGGAACAAGATATGAGCCCTTTACCGATAAGAAGTACAGTACTGTTCAAATCTACATTGTCTGGCTCAATCGCGCCATTGACTAAGAATCAACAAGACAGGCCAGCGGAGGCACCTAATCGATACAATCACAGAAAAGAGAGTCCCATCGATGTGCTTGCCTCTCCATATGTAGCTAGTAGTATGCAGGTATACGCAGACATCGCGGTCAATGCGTACTCCCAAATAGAGGTCGCCGGCAACGACGGATCGAAGCGTGCAGCCCTCCGGAGTGAGAACCACACCCAGCAATTACGGTGAACCAAAGCAAGAATCATTCATGCGTCACTCTGATCTCCTCTCCGAATGGGAAGCAATTCCCAGTTCCCCGAGCTCCCCTTCTCCCCAACTCCCAAAGTTAATCGGGAGCCCTGAGCATCGAGCGGAAGGAAGCCAACAGGTGGTGTGAATGTTATTGCATGCATGTGCAGCACAGAAAATGCACGCTACGGCGGTGCCACCTTGGGATCTAGACGGGGCTAGCCCTTTTTCCTGCAGATGAGTTCAAGAATCAATCCCATTGTCAACCATCGAGCATGATTAGTTACTTTCCTCAACCGGGCCAGCATGACCATGAAGCGTAAGTAAATTCCACTACTGCGCGCCATTGCGAAGAAAGGTGCAGCGGGATGGGTGATAGCGCATCGAGCGAACCGGGGACGACAAAAAGCTAAGGTAAGTTGCCTCACACGACCTTCCGCGGCTGCAGTTAGAGGAAGCTATGGTCGAAGCTGTGTTGGATCTGTGAATCTAGCGGTGGTTGCCTGAAGGTATGACATTATCAAGAGAATGACTGTACCCTGACTGTGTATACATACTAACCTACTTTATGCTGTACATTTAGCACGCTTTCGAAAGCCCCTCAAAGAGAGAGAAAGGACGGAAAGGGTACGCACCCGGCCAAAACGAATACTCGTAATTTTCACAGCTGCAGGGCCCGAGTTCGATGTGCACTAACTGACCATGCACACATAAAGTGGAGACCTGCGATGCACGACTCCGTAGGATGTAGGCTTCAGTCAAACTACTCAGACTCCGTTAGCTAATGCCATTCCACTGGGATTCTTCATCTAGTTTCATTTAGCGGCGGACCACAGCCGAGATAGGAAATGGCATAGCGATGGACTTTTCCTGGCTTGTGGGCACTGCTGGTCCGATGGTTTTCTCGATCATTCTCAAGTGATAAGCGGTATTAGCGGGGAACGGCAGCCCCAACGCGCACGCGAATGGGAGGGAGAAAGAATCATAAGCAGAAAAAAAAAAAGAAAACAAAAAACAAAGAAAAAGTAAACATGCCAAAAACAAAGCCATTGACAACTGAATTTTTACTCGATGACCATACTTTGTATAAGAAGAAATGCTGGTGGATTGTGGACATCCAACTCAGAGTCATAAGTGAGCCAGCCAGTACTTTAAATCTCCAAATGTTTGTTTGTTTGTTCGCTGTTTCTTATCACTCCATTCGAGAAGACCTTCTCACCGTCTCTTCATATTTCAGGACCACTTCGAAGCCCGTTCCGATCGGGCTCCACACTCCCTTTCCAATCCCGCCAAGTGATCATGGATCCCATCTGCGTAGACTAGACTAAGTATTTGCATTACCTACCTATCCGCCATGTTTCTCGTGGCACACGTTCTCCGATCGAACGGCCCACTCCACAAATGTGCTCAGTAGTGCTCAGAAGTGCTCAGAGGACTGGCGGGAAGCAGCCAGGAAACACGAATGCACCAGACTGGCATCAAGGTAGCTTGCAGACGACAAAAGGATGAGGGGGCGGAGAGGGTCTCCGGTGCCAGCAGCGTCGACCTGAATCAAACGGATGAATCGCCATCAGTCCGGAATTTCTGGTCTCCACTTCCCGCCTACAGGTGCTTGCAAATGATGAGTTGCGTCCGGTAGTTAGGTAGTTTACCACAAACCTTCCATTAGTCAAGCAAGCGCTTGGGAGTATCTAGAGTTTGAGATCCTGGAAGTGAAAGATCAAGGCTCAACCTTGAGGCTGGCTGAACCTCAACGACCTCCCATGGCGCCGGAACTGACCCAAAACCTAGGGTAGCTTACTGGTGGTCCCTTTACAATCACTAAGTGGTCTGGTGCTTCCAGAAGGAAGAAGTAGACCTCGTTCTTCCTTGGTCTTCGTCATCTGACCAAAACAGCCCGAAAATAAATGAGCGAAATTAAACGAGCCACGAGGATCCACTCGCCTCTATATGAAGGACCTTGTGCATTCAATGTTGTCTGATGTCGCCTCACAGAATGAATGAGTGATGAGATTTTGGAGATTGCGCCCGGAACAATAACTGATAGCGTCTGTCCTGTCCTTCGTTGGCGTCTACAAGCTCGATACGCCGACTATGCGACGGCACCCATTTGATAAGCCAGTAGAGTCGCACAAGATATCAAATACTTGTTTTCCCTTTTCTGGCAAAAAAAGAAGCAAATGGACAACCTGATTGATTAACAGTCCATATTCTCTGACGGGGTTCCAGCCATTCAGGTCCCCGCGGAACACCTCGGGCTTTCTGCAAGTAATTTGTTGTTTTTTTTTTCTGCAGAAGCAGCTCACCGATCCTTACCGACATACGGGGGACAGATCTAGAGCTTTCTTTCTTGTTGCTCTTGTTTCCTTTCAAACAAGATTCGGACGTTACACACAGCGTACTTTATGCATTGTTGCCTACTGGCTGTCGGAAGTGTCGTAGTTGATCCGTCTTGATGCAATCTGTATTGAATGCCTAAGCCCAGGTGCGCCTGTGAGAGATCCCGTTTGCAGATGGCTGACCGGGCTGTTGGCCGTCCAATATTATCAAGGGCTTAGCAACCACACTCAGCGTATCCAGTTCGCTCTTGGGGTCGATGCGACCCGCAGTGGGCTGTGTTGAAATGATTGACAGCCGTAGCTTGGGGTCGTCCCCCCGGTCAGCGTAAGATGATATAAGTATAATATGATCGTGGAATTATAACTTCCCGTACCACGGATCAGGTTGGGTGAATCATAGTCGGAGTACCTTATCTCTATCTCATAGAGTAGATGGAGGAATCAAGAGCAGCATTGCCTTGCGATCTTTAGAAGCTTCATGATCTGTGATTGATGCCCAATGACGTAGCTGAAACACATCTGAGTCCTGGCCGCCTCCTCCTCGCTTTGGCCCGATTCCGTAGACGTACTCCTGCCTCCCGTGTGAATCTTAGAGGGACTGAGCAGCAGTGGTGCCGGAAGGAATACAACAACAGTCCTGTTCGTGGACCACTCAGAAGTCGGCCCCAGAGGGATGATCCGAGAGGCTTGATGACCTGTCTGCTCTGCTGCCTGCGTGCAATCAACCCGAACGGACGAGACTTTCCCATTCAAGGTTCCTGACCAATCCCGATCCTAGTATCGAGCTCAGCCCAATCGACTCGTTTTTGGTGTTAGCCAAAGCTGAGCCATCATGGATCCGATATGGATATTCCTATTCCAGTCACACGGCTGGCCAAGGATGCGGTCCGCGAGTTTAACTCAAGACAGTTGGCCGAGTGAACAACGGGGATCAGCAGATGACATCGTAGTTCCGGTGACTATCCGCAGATGATGGAGTCTTTTCATGTATTTTTTAGTTTGAGTTTGAGCTATTGAGTACCGGCCCTTCTCCGGGTGACACCCGCACTGGCGGGAAGAGATGAGGGGAAGGCAAATATCGGGGAAAGGGGGACTCAAGATCGAGGACTGATTGACTGATTGGGAACTGAGAGAGGGGGGCCGGGGGGTTAGACCCGGCTGCCCAGAAGGAAGGATTGAGAGATGATTGAAACTTGAAAGCATGTTTTCTTCCCGCATGCATGCAAAACATCGTGATTCGGGACAAATCTGCCACCTGAATGGAAGAAGGTGTGCTCGTCCGCCCCATTTGCCGCTGCAAAACTAGACGACGGGCTTGTTTTAGCTTTCTTTGGCAGGTTGAGGCAGATGGCTTTTCCCTACTCCGTCATGTTTGAGATTGATAGGTAAATAACTTACCTCACTCAGGAGATAGATAGACATGGACGGATGATGGGGGGCCTGTCCCATTTATCCATGGTTACTGATTATCGCGGTACGATCAGTCAGTCAGTCAGCCAATTGAGATAATATAGCCATTCAGTCGGTAGTAGTCATAGACATCAACTGAGGGCTTCGGGCCCCAGAAGGCAAATACCCTTCTCCCACGCCTACCAATTTCTTTTCCTCTTTACTATGTACTGTACCAAGTGTCTGTAGAATATATCTATACCAACTTCTTCCGAGTTCAGCAGCCTGTACAATCCGGCAGTACTGTACACTCTGTCTTCATCGCTTTGACATGGCCAACCTTGCCTAATCTGGTTATCCGTATCGTTTCCCCCCAATAAATGTATTAAAGACATGTTTGCACCTCATCCTCATTACGACCAATAGAGGCCGGAATGATGGGGGTGAACGAGACAATTGACATCAGCAAACTCTCTGAGGGTAACTTATTGGCCATCTCAGTGGGGGCCAGGCAGAATGCCATTATCGCAACCGACTCGGCTCGCACACCAACAAACAGGACCAGAGATCGTCCTGAAGCAGGCAGGATGTCAAAGACGAAATCCTTCCGAGGGCCATTCTGTAAGTTAGTTGATTGCCAATGGGTCGACCTTCTCTTCTTCCACCCCTCTCAGACTCTCAGTGCTCCCCCAGGCGGTCAGTGGCAACCGGCAGATGTTCTGGATTACCGCTATAATACAGGCGGCATGCAGTATGTGTAACGGTCGTACGTATTGATATATTACAGTACAGTACTGACATACATTACTTACCGCTTGATTGCTACCTCAATCCCACAGGCTCGGTCGGTACCTGCCCTGTACTTCTTTCCACCCCGACCGACAGCGTGAGCCAGCGGGTCTCTTGCAAGTCCCCCTCCTCAAGCTGCTGCTGAGCTAGTCTAGGGGAAGCACGTACTCTCGGTGACCTCCACCGATCCAAATTGACGGCGCCCATACTAAAAGCTTCCGGTTCACCTGCATGTCCCCAATCCCCAATCCCATGGTTAGCCGCCTCTAGTGATCTCACTAGTGGACGATGAAGTCTGTTAGGTAAGACTGTTCCTCTCAATCAGGGTGATTCGTTTTCCCAAGAATGGCAAGACTTCATAGAGGCCGAGAATTCTGAAAGAACCACTACAATTCCAAGCCCCCAAGGTAGTCGCCTCAAAGTTAACCAAGTAAATTAGTATAGTTTGTGTGATGGGAAAATGAATCACCTAGCACGGAGGGTGATAATGTCATGGCCACAACAAACGATAGGTTGACCGAGAGTTACTGGCAACTTATAATAGCATAGGTAGTCTACTGATAGAGAAGGCCTGGGGCTTTGTTCAAATCTGGAAGCTCTTGGAAACACTGTTCTCCTCGGGGCCTGGATGGACCCTTTTTTATCTCTTCTTAGTTTTTTCTTTTGTTGTCTTCATGGTCTCTGCGATTTCAAGTTTCCCACCCGACAATCAATACTTAGCACCTAGTTTGGAACAGCTTTTACCGCTTAGTCTCGAGGGAGGGTTTCCGTCTTCCCCGAGACCCATCACGATGGCGCTCTCCTCCTTCTCCTCCCTCTTTGGTACCAGGTACTTTTGACGGATGAAGACTAGATCGTTGCAACTGCACCCGGACTAGACAAAAGTCCCAGACAGGTATCTATGCATGCATGTACAATACGTCTGGCTGTCTGAGTTGATTGTACTCTGTATATGTATGAGTATGTACCTGTGTGTCGTGGTATCCACTATAGGTTGTTTTTATGGATCTTCAATTGGGCGTGGCACTTTAGGATTCTCGAGGAAGTAAGTTACTGTAGTCTAACTCACCCAAGATTGAGGTAGAGCTAGTCCGGTGGATAATCAAGATCCACGTATAGTTAGATGCATGACTCCTGAGTCCGAACAAGATTTGGTAAAAGAGTGGGAAGAAAATAAAAGCAGATATAAAAATACAAAGGTGCTGTATATAGGATGTATGTATGCTGTATGTATGCTGTATGTATGTATATATGTATTGTATGTATATATATATGTATGTATGTAAGTATGTATTGTATGTATGTATGTATATATGTATACATGGATGGATGAATGGATGGATGTATTCATGCATGTATGTAAGTATGTCGGTAAGTAAGTAGTAGGGACAAGACCGACCTAGTTAGGCTTGCAGTCATGGAAAATCCACCTCGAATGGTCATTTTTCACTCTCTCTCCTCCCCCTTACCAGCTGCGTGAGCTGCCTGTGCGTCACTCTTTGTGTGATGCCATACTCTCTTTTATTTTCTTTTGTTTTCTCTTCTTTTCTTTTTCAATTTAAATTGATTGATTTTTTTTTTTTTGATTAAAATAATCTTTTGTCTAACGCAGAGTGTCTTACATACTTGTTGTTCATCGTCGACCCAAGATCCTCGCCCCCCTCCCTATTCCCCAACCCATGCCTCTGGGTTCCTCTTTTTTTCTCTCTTAAACTAATTAGACTAACTGAATCCATGGGTCCCACAACCGCTTTGCTGCTGCTGCTGCTGCTGTTCTTATTTTGATTCCCCATTTATTATCCACTACCAAACATCGCCTTCCGTTTCACACCGCCGAAAATATTGTACTTCTTTCTCTGCTGTCAACAGCTCACTTATGCTTGTGCTGGGCAGATCCGTTCCGTTAGCAATAATCAGATAAAACAAATCAATCCCAGAAGAGAAAATTATTTAGATTTAGTATCATACCCACTTGACTACCTACCTACCTTCCTACTTACTTACCTACCTACCGACCTGCCGACCTACCTACCATCACTATCGCTTCCTCCACCTCTAACACTACCTTTAGTTATCATTTGCGTTCTCCTTGTGATTTAAACTTACTTTCTACTTCCTTCTTCTTTTCTCACTTCATCTCCAAGCCCGAGACTGAGGTGTCGACTAAATCACGAACTTACCTTCTCTCTCTGTCTCTTCTATCAACCGTGCCTTGCCTCTGATAACTCGGCTCCACTATACAGATACTGGATACTATTCTCAATTGACTTGAATTTCTTGTTCTCTCACATCATATATTGGTGATTTCAACGATATTCGGTGGCAGTCGGGTGAATCTTGCTGGTCACCGAATCTCTTGTAGTGTTTATTGACGCTGTCAATTCATTCTCACAGGATAAGAGCAAGAACCGAAAGGATTGGGTCTATAAGAATTCCCACTGCGCACGCATCCGCTGCCCCCTGTTCCTTTCTCAACCACCCAACCCAGCCTGTACTTCCCTCCTTTTTCTCTTCTTTTGGGCTCCTAATCGGCCTTTCCGTCACCGTGGCTACCCTAGGACTCAGTGTGTTGGCCAATCTTCCATACTCCAGTCCGGTGCATTCTTCGTCCCAATATCATTCGCTGCCTGGTTTCCCTCTCGCCCAACCAACCGGCTCCCTCTCTCAGGCTCCTCTTCGTCAAACTCCAGCCCATCTGGAGAGAGGAGGAGCCCCGCCATGCCCAGGATCATCTCAACAATCGGTACTGAGAGATTTGGAGCACATGTCGCCCCCTGTTTCTGCTCCCTCAATAGGCGATGCTCGTTCGTCTGAGAGTCGTGGTCCCCTTGAACGGAAAAGACCTCGCCTGGACGATGACTCGGATAGCTCAGATCATGTTCGTTCGCGACCTTTCTCCTGGCAATCATCTGACCCGTTGGGGTATGCATTGAATTCGACTGGGCAGTCTCGTCCCATTGGCGTGGAATCGATTCTTAATCATCCCTCCAAGGTGCCGGCTAACAAACCAGAAAACGGTCGGGAAAGTCATGGTGCATCATCATCTTCACACAATCGACATCCGTCCTCGCCGACGATGCACCTTCCCTCACCAAAACTCCACCCAGCTAAGCGACTTTCCTCCTCTCCCGGGGTCAGAAGCCATCCGATTATAGCCCCTGCATCGCCATCAGCTTGGTTCCCTCCTCTTGGGGGTAGCTTGAGCTTGAAGGCTGGACCGGCCCAATCTCCACTCTCCCAAACATCACGCCCGAGTTCGTACCCTAGAGGTCCCAGCTCGCCCCATTTCATCGACTCTGTTCCAGGGCACCCCGTATCGACCTCCCCTCACCCGACTTCAGCCCCAATCCTGGCCCCAGTCTCGGTGCAATCAACTCCAACTTTCCATAGCCGCCAAGCGAGTGGCAACCACACCCCGCATCCGAGCTCCCAGGAAACGAGTCCAACAACACCGGTGTCGACTTACAGTCAGTTTGGTCGATCGTCTCCGGCGGTAGCAGCGACTCCCATGCCACATCAGACACCTTCGTTCGGAAACGCCTCATATACGACAGGAGATTCGGCGAGCCGGCTACCTCCTGCCATGGCAGTACCGCGGCCTGGGGACGAGTCGGCCGAGGCACCGCCCCCGGGCATGATTCCGTGTTTCGTCGATACGAAATCAGGCTCGTCGCAGCAGGCAGAGAAGCGGAAGGCTAACAGTGACGCATCAAGACGATTCCGCAATCGCAAGAGGAACGAGATGCAAATGGAACAGAAGATCACTGCGCAGCAGGACGAGATGAGGAAACAAGCCGAGGCTCTACAAAGACAAACACAAGAGATTCGGGCTTTGACCCAGGAGCGCGACTTCTACCGCTCCGAGCGAGACTTCTTCCGTGACCATTATACTCGCCTGGTACCTGCAGGGCAGATACCTACGAGGCCAACATCCCCGCATGCGTTCCGAACGTCTTATCTCACGGCTCCTGATCAAGATCGAAAGGTTGCTTGGCACGGACCCGAGGCAACTCGCGAAAGCCTGGAATCCGCACATGGATCAACAGCAAGTAGGGCTTCCATCGCCGATTCGAAGATGATGCCCTTGTTGACGGCACGGCCACCTGTCACATGGGCTACCTCTTCGGCTTCTTACGCCACGATGCACGCAGAGCGGGGCATCGTACCCGTTGAGAGACCCCCTCGAGAATTAGCACACGTTTCTGGGGCCTGGACACAGAGCTCCTGATGCTCCCATTCTGGGCTGCGAGAGGTGACACAGAGACATCATCCGCATGCCCTCGGTCCCTCATGCAATATACCTTGGGCAGTTTTTCCCAAGGCGTTCACTTCTGTTAGGTGAATCACTCTCTTATGTGTTTCTGCCTACATTTTCTTGTATAAGATTCTGGAATCCTCATATTTTTAAGAAGTTGGAGGAGTTATGAATTGAAGTAACATTCTTTTCTTCCTGATGGAGTGAAGTGTGCAAAAAAGAGATATTTACATGGCTTACATGCCGGACGGTTTAGAACTTTGATGATAGCAAATGGAAAAGGCGGCAATTTGTTTTTCCCGGAAATCTTCTCTTCTCTATGTTTTATTTGTGCTGGATGTGACTTGACATCGGAATGAACATCTAAAATTCCCCTTTGCAACAATTCCGGGGCTTTTCCTTTTCTTTGTTGGTTGTTTTCTTCTTGCACGTGGGAGGACTACTAAGGCCCTTGGTAGGTTATGCTGGGATTGCACATGTAACACTATATCGCTGGCCGTCCGCCTGGTGTGATGTTGTGGCACCTCAGACTCTGCCAGCTCTCGCACTCCTGGAGACGAATTTAGGATGACCTTCGAGCCTTGTGAGCAAGAATGATATAAAGGTTCTCCCTGCTTCTACGGCGCTCTATTTTGACAATGGACTGGGGTGGGAACGTCGTACCACTAAAACATGCCTGCATGGAAGCGACTAACGAGAGCTGCAAATAGTCAGACAAAGGCTATCGAAATTAAGGTCGTAGCATTGCACACGACCTGGTCTGCCAGGGCATCTCCTATCATCTAGATTCAGTATGAGTTTTGTTCAGCTGTAGTGATCAACTAGGTAAGGTAAGTATTTCTCGAGAGTTCCCGGTAGCAATTAGTCGACACCTGAGGATTCCGGCATTGAGCTATCTATGGAGGTCCTCAGGCAGCGACTACGTAGTCAGCCGAGTTACCCAACCAGAAGAAGGGAAATCCCCCACGTGGTCTGCCCCCGGACGAAGATTGATTGAAGAGATGATCCACACCCACGGTATTCTCTCTCCGGTACTACGGCATCTCCCGCACCTCTCACTACGTACAGTACAAGAGTACTTCAAACCGATGTACGAAGAGTACTCGGTGACTGTGCTCCGAACCACCTCCCGTTTCCACTACTCTTATACCCACTTAGCAGTTAAGCACTCCTCAAATTTCATTCTATCCTCGCACGTGGGCTACCAGTGTCGCGTGCTAGCTTTCTAGCTCCGACCGGTGTCGCACATTTAGAGCCATGGGTGCTCGCCGGCCGCAATGAAGGGACTATATGAAGCCCCCCAGCTCGCTGGGGGAAGACCTCGTCAATTGTTGTTTCTTGCTAACAGGAAGACTGTGATTGCGGTTACAATGGGATTTTTTACCGCTCTGCTCTCCCTCTACCTCCTCTCAGGGTATGTGAAATTTGACTCCCCCCGATTCCTATACATGTGCTTACCGCCTCCTTCAACCTTGGTAGAGCATCCGCCGGTCCGGTGGTTAGATCCTCCAAGCAGAACTCCTCATCCTGCGACAGTGTCAACGGGGGCTATAATTGCTTCTCCGAGATTTCGCATCTCTGGGGCCAGTATTCCCCTTACTTCTCGGTTGAGGATGAGTCCGTCTCTCCCACTATCCCGAAGGGCTGCCACGTCACCTTTGCACAAGTGATCTCCCGCCACGGTGCACGGTATCCCACTGCATCCAAGTCCGCAAAATATGCCAAGGTGATCGCAAAGATTCAGGCCAATGCGACATCTTACAAGGGGGACTATGCGTTCTTGGAGACCTACAACTACACCTTGGGGTCGGACGATCTGACTTCCTTCGGGGAGCAGCAAATGGTCGACTCGGGAATCAAGTTCTACCGGCGCTATGAGTCTCTGGCGAGGGACGGCACTCCTTTCGTTCGCGCATCTGGGTCAAGCCGGGTGATTGAATCGGGCCAGAAGTTCATCCAAGGCTTCCAAAACACGAAGCTCAATGACACCTTGGCCCTGCCCGGTCAGCTTGCTCCCTTGGTCAATGTGGTGATCTCCGAAAGCACCAACGCCAACAACTCGCTGGATCCCAGTACCTGCACGGTCTTCGAGAACAGCGAACTGGGGGATGACGTTGTAGCCAACTTCACTGCCCTCTTTACGCCACCCATCTTGAAGCGGCTGGAGAAGAACATCCCTGGAGCGAACCTCACGGCCAAAGAGATCGTCTATCTTATGGACATGTGCTCCTTCGATACTATCGCACAGCCCAAGCCCGAGACTCAGCTCTCCCCGTTCTGCGATCTCTTCACTCATGCGGAATGGGAGCAATACAACTACCTCCGTTCCCTGGAGAAGTACTACGGGTACGGTGCTGGAAACCCTCTTGGCCCGAGCCGGGGGGTGGGCTTCACCAACGAGTTGATTGCTCGTCTGACACATACCCCGGTCCATGACGAGACGAGTACCAACCGCACTCTAGACTTGAGCCCAGCCACGTTCCCCTTGAACTATACCCTCTATGCGGACTTCACCCACGACAACGGGATGATCCCTATCTTCTTCGCCTTGGGCCTGTACAACGGCACCAAACCCTTGTCAAAGACGAAGGTAGAGTCGATGAAAGAGGCCGATGGGTTCTCGGCGGCATGGACCGTACCATTCGGTGCGCGTGCCTACGTTGAGATGATGCAGTGCAAAGCACAGCCAGAGCCTCTTGTGCGGGTGCTAGTCAATGACCGCGTGGTGCCCCTGCACGGCTGCGCGGCTGATAAGCTAGGCCGATGCAAGCGGGATGACTTTGTGCGAGGATTGAGCTTTGCTAGATCTGGTGGGAACTGGGACCAATGTTTTGCCTGATGTTGATGCATTTTCGTCAGCCATTTATCTCTAAACTACTTGTACTGGTAGCAATGCGGGCTACCCGGGCTCTGTGAGCAAATCAATTTTCTTTCTCAATACAGCCTAGCTAGTGCAGCGTTAGCCATACGTGGTAAAAGTGTTCAGACACTAGAGTTTCAGCAACATTCTGAGCGAACAAAATCATTGGGCTTATCCGGTAAGTTCCATCTCGTTCATTGTCATCTTGCCTTTCTCGTCGTGGACCTCTTGTCTACAACTTGCTACCGGGGCTTTTCTTCCCATCTTTATCTCTCGTATCATTGACGAGATGTCTGACATTGATGATCTTTCAGCCCTTGGACGGCTGCTCCATTGGAAGATTGAACATTCTGCCGCTTCTAGGCCATAATTGACGGGGTCCAAGTCGAATTGACAAGAAAGATGCGCACGATCCGATCGAAAAATGGTCGTCGTCGCGCGTTCCTCACCATTGACACAATGGGAACTCGGAGATATCATGCGTCTCTCCCCTCCCAAGCGAAAGAGTGTTCTTTCGCTCTGGAGACTATAAATATGTCGGCCCCTACAGCCCCAAAATGAGTCCTCGTCGTCCTGATCACACGGTACCTTATCCACACGACAAACCCACTGAACAACTCCAAACCTACTTGTTAAGGTAAGTTTCACCCAACATGGAACAACCAGCTCATCACGGACTCAACGCCGTGCAGAACCCTTCAAGGCGGCTGCTCTTCTTGATCTGCCCGGGCGGCTATAGTTTTGTCCAACAATACCCAACCGTGCTCGCCCGCCTGGCCACCTGGGCCCGACTCGTCTGCGTGACTAGCGAAGCCGACTTCGTGAGTAAATGGAACGTCTGGATCAACGACCCGACGTACCGCGTGGCGGGCTTTGTCCTGGTCGATGGCGCGGTTTTCCAGCCAATGTGTCGATCCTTGATGCGGAGGCTGATCGAGCTCCCGCGTTGCATCATCCCCTATCAGCGCCCGCTCACCTCCTCTACGCCCGGCAACACTCGTCAGTACGACCAGACACCCAACCCGGACTTCCGCTACGCGGTGGCCCTGAACGCCGCCCTCTGGGCTGGCAGCCACCCCACCGCGTTCAACCACTGGCTGGCCGAGACCTGGCATGTCCTGTGGGAGGTCATGCCGGGCGTCAGCGCCGCGGCCGCGGAGTTCTCTCTGGGGCGGGTCGCGCGCGAGACCGGGGACCTGATCGTCGACGCGTGGTTCGGGGGGGCCTTCGAGTCGCGGGCCGTGTTCGTGACGGGGCCCTCCGAAGACCCCATCGACATCTGGAACCGCGACTCGGTTTTGCAGACGTCCGAAGATGTCCTCCTGCGGACCCGCGAGGAAGCCGACGCAGAGTATCAAGCACGCATGGCCGCGCCGCAGACAACGACCGGCCGGCCCGCGTGGGACAGCGGGGTCTTGTGCCCGGATGTGGAGCCCATCTACACCCGGAGCACCGACGAGACCCCGGTGACCTACCTCCTACGTCCGCTGCAACAGCCCCCGCGTCGTCGTCGTCGGCGAGAAGGAGGAAGAGAGCTCCCCCGCATTCTGCAGGAGCACTGTGCGGCGACGCTCAACATCAGCATTCCCGTCGGGGCCTCGCATAGGGCCGCCGTTGCATTCATCGGGGTCATCGACGACATTCCCGAGGTCGGAGGCCTGATCCTTGATGTCTGCAACGTCCACGACGGGGTGATCCAATGGGTCGCGCCCGAATCCCCGGTGTCCGAACCCCCGGTGTCCGAAGCCAGAGACGAGCCACTCGTTGCGGAGCATGAGATCGTGTGGGAGGGGACTCCAGCAACCTTCTGAATTTGGATTAACTCCGCGTCGCTGAACCGTCGCCCAAAAACGATTTCTGTCTGCTTCGGTTCGATGTAAGTGGTGACCGATGTTTCCTTGGCCGACTGCATACTGGTTTCTAGCCCATGCCTGTCACAGGCCTATGCCCTATCAAGAGTGCAAACCAACCATAAAGAAATACAGTCTTCAACCTCCAATTAAACTTCATCATAAACATACAGCTCTCAACCCTTGCTTGATAAGTAGTATACAAATTATAAACCATTCAGGGCCCAACCAGACAAACCACAAGCGAAGCACCAAGATCAAACGAAAATCTACCCCCTCCCCTCCCCATCTCCCAAGCTCCGCCCACGACTCTGCTCATCCAACCCCCCCTGCTGCCCCTGCTGCTGCGCCCGTCCATCCCCTCCAACCAACCGCTTCGGCGTCTGATTCCCAACCGCTAGCCACGAGTCAGTACACCCTCTGCCCCGGAGACAAGACCTCAACCCAAGAGAAAGGGAAGACATACTTCGCTCATAAAGGATATAAGAAGTATACATCAGAATCGGCAGCGCCACGATCGTCGAGAGCCATCTGTTTCGGCACCCACCGGAGTCGGGGTCTGTTAGTCATGCTGGCCCTGCTGTCTGGTGCATAGGTAGTACTGTACTGTACTGTACTCCCACCCGTTCTGGTTGATCGCTTCGATCCTTTCCTGAGCAGGGGCATTGGAGGGGAGGGGGGCCCCGGAGGGGGTAGGGCAAGCATATGCTGATCGTCCGTCACGGGAGACGAATATCCCCACCCCAAGTAGACGCATGGCTCTCCAATCAAGATAACACAAGGAAAAGGGCAAAGGGGGGCGGGGGAAACTCACTTCCTCGCGGCAGCTTTATACTCCTTCGTCTGCCGAATGTCCTTCGTGGGGAGCGGGGGCCGGGTGCCTCCGCCTACTCTCGGGGGAGTATTGCTTCCTGGGATCCGGGATGCGAGAGGCGTGTGGCGGAGGTGGGCATCGGGGAGGACGACGCGTCGGGGTGGGGGTTTGGGGGTGGGTTGCGATGGAGATCTGGGAGTGGGAGTGGGAGTGGGTTTGGATGGGCGGGGGGTGGGAGTGGAGGGGGGCATTATAGATTGATTTCTTTCTGTATCGGGTTTGCTCTTTGTTTGGTGTGTGAAATATGAAGGATCAGGGGACTGAGGAATGTGTTGATTGTGTTTATGTTTGGATGTCCCAGGAACAGTATTAAAGAGATGTCTTGATGTTGAGGCTGATGTTGTTTGGTTGCTTGCAGCCCGGAAGGGAAATTCTTTTTCTGGGGACGCTCGCGGCCTGGGCGCCTGAGGCATGATTGCAGGGAAACAAACGCTGGGCTGATGGTGATGTGATTGTATAGGTTAGTCGCTCACTCTACACTACACTACACTACACTACACTACACTACACTTTGCAGCATGCTTGAAACCACCTGTCACTGGTGACAGCCTCTTATCTTCAGATCTCGATGGATTTGCATCTCCTCATATTCCCGAGTAATACAATTCCGCTGGCCTCCGTATCCTCATTTCCAGCTGTCTTCATCTGATGGACAATAATCCCCCCCAATCCCGATTCCAATCTAATAGTACAAGCACACACATACACACAAAATCATCCGCAGGTCGAAGGCCAACAGCCAGTTTCCATTCCCAGCTTACAATCCTCACAGCCGAGCGACCCATCTCGAATACCAGTACAGACATCAGTGTGTAAGAGCGAGCAAAGAGGATAATAGAGGTAGGTATGATCGGATCCCGAGTTCCCAGAACCCAGCACGGCAGCAAAAGCCATATCTCCTTCCATGGCATGATGATCCTCGTCCTCTGATGATGATGATAAAAACACAATCGCTATGCTCAGCTAATTCGCAAAATTCAGCGCAAGGGAAAAAAAAAAAAAAAAAAAAAAGAAGTAAGAGTGCTCAGCCGGTAACATATCTCGAATCTTAGTCTGTTAGAACAAGCTTGAGCCAGGTGATGCTGTTTCCTCCCCTGTTCTGCTCTGTATTCGCGCCCCCTCTGACAAGTCCATCCGCCTCAGCAGGGGTCGATCTCGTTCGTTATTCCGATTCTACCGTTCCTTTCAATCTTATAAGGGCCTTCGGTTTTCACCCTCATCGTGCTGGTGTTAAACTCGTCGTGGTCGGATTGTTTGTCGATACTGTTCTTGAAGCGGAATCTTTCTTCCCAACGGTCGTTGACGTCTCGCAGCCCAAGGGTAGAGGTACAGATTGAGGAGTAATCTGACGCCAGCACAAAGCGTGCATTAGGTGGATAGCAGCGTATGAGACCTGTGGGATAATCGAGGCCGGCGTGCCCTCCCTTCCACCCACCACCCCCTCTTCTGTCCGGTCTCACTTCGTGAAGTCGATAGTCGTGAAGAAAGAATGAGTGCGAACCAGACAGAAGAGGGAGTTGCGCTGGTGGTCTGAGTGGTGTGAATCGCGGTAGGTGGAAGGAGAGAGACTGCGCCACCTAGGTGGTGGGCTCCTTCTTGCGGGCGTTCGCGCGACGCGCCCTCTGCTCGGCATGATTCTGGAATTCCGCCATCAAGGCTGCTGCGGCTCGCCGCCGTGGCCGGCCACCGGGAGTAGTGCCTGGGACTGCGGTGCTGCCTTCGGTGACCGGAGTCGAAGCCTGGGGAACCGGGGCCGTGGCAGGTGTAGGCACAGGTGCGCCTGCAGGCGTAGCAGTGGTGTTCTTGTTCCCGCCCCCAGGCGTGGCAGGAGTCGCCGTCGACTTGGCCGGAGTCGAGACTGGATCACGGCGCAGGCCAGAGAGTTTGAGAAGCTTCGAAGGCCGGCCCTGTGGGGTCTTGCTGTCTGGAACTCCGTTCGTTTCAGGCGCGGTCTCGATCTCAGAACGGGTGCGCTTCTTCGATGAGTCATTTGGAGAGCTGGCGTTCCCCGCCGCTGCGGCTGCGGCTGCGGCGCCCTTCAGAGTCAATTTGATGCGCAAAGTCTTGGGCTGGTCTGTCGCCTGGGGGGGCGTGTTCTCCTTGCGACGTCGTTTGGCGGCTTGTGCGGCCTCGGTGGCTTGCTCTGCGCCACGGCGTCGCTTGCGCGGAGCCGGGCCCTTGTGTTCCACGCCCGAGCCGGATTTCTCCTTGTCACTCGAGGTCTTGTCATGCTCAGCAATCAGGGCGTGAATGACAGCAGAGGGCATGAATCGGTCCACTTCGATGCCGCGTTTACGCGCTTCGTCCCGGGCCTTGATCTTCGCTCTTTCCTCGTAAACGTTTTCATAGGTGAACGGCATGTGCGTCTGGCGTGGGATGTTTCTCTCGCCCATCAGTGGGGGGAAACCAAAGATACGGTCCTTTTCCAGCTGGTCGCGCGAAATGAGGCGGACAGGAGGCAGCGGCAGCTTGTCATCCCCGTAAGTATTGTTGGGTCGATACCATTCGTACTCGCCGCCAACATAGACCAGTTCCTCGCCGAATTTATTGACTTGGCCTGTGTACGTGAAGCCGTCTTCGTCAGTCCACTCCTTTGACTTGGGCCCCGAGAAGGTTGGCTTACTGGCCCCTCCCGCTTTGACCTTGGTCTTTGTCTCGTCTGAGGGTTGCTCCTCGGTGGGAGCCCGTTTGTTGCGTGTTGCACGCACCGGTCTCTGAGGTCTCGACACTTTCGGGAGTTGCTCCTTAGGCGGACTGGTTTTCTCGGCCTCGTGCTCTCCTTTCTCTTTCTCTGCAGCGCCTTTCTCTGCAGCGCCCTCCTCCAAAGTGCCCTTCTCCGCAGAGTCCTTCTCCGCAGATTCGTTTGGCTTTGCATTTGGCTCCGTAATTACCTCTGCATTTGCCTCCTCTGCATTCGTCTCCTCTGCATTTGGCTTCTCTGTGATTTCCGACTCGCCGCTCATCTTCTCTGCTTCGTTCTTCTCTCCATTCTCCACCATCTCAATCTCCGTCTCATCAATTTCCTTCTCCGCAACGTCCGCTTGATCATTCGGCTTTTCTTGAGCCTCTTTCTCCGCGGTGTCTCTCTCGTCCTTCTCTCTCAGCTCCCTCTCTTTCTCCTCCCTTACCTCCCTTTCCTTCTCCTGTGTCTCCCGCTCCAGGCGCACCTTCTCTCTCTCTGCATGCTTGACCTCAAACTCACCACGAAGCTCAGCCAGCCAGCCATCCGCTTCCGCAACAGGCTCGAATTCAGGAGCGAGAGCCGAATTCGCTAAATCAAAGATCTGAATGCCCAAGGCCACTGCATCCCACTTCAAAGGTGGGCCCTTGGGGCCATCGGGTCGAGCCGACGCCGAACGCGGAGGCCGGCGGAACCGCCGCTCGGATTCGATCGACTCCATGGCCTTGATAGTCGGCTTGCGCAGTCTAGTGGAAATGCGGTTGCCAGCTGACGTCGCCGTGGTCAGGCTTCCGGTGGGAGAGCCGGGCGTTTCAGTGGTCCCATCGAGGCCAAAGTTGTTGCGGTACATGTCGGTGTCATACTCGAAGTGGAAGCTATCCCCGTAAGGGGTCGCGCCGGGAATGTTGTTCTCGTCGGGGATCGGAGTCCCGAAATCCTGCAGGACCTTGTCGTCAGAGGCTGGAGTGGTGGATTCGATGCTGTCCGCGGTCTCCCGCTCAAACGGCAGCACGGGGGTGAGCGACTCTGCGCCCGAGGAGAGGTCGCTGACTTTGGCGTTGTTACTGTTCAGGAAGTTGGGGGCTTGGCTGAAAGTTCCGGGCTCAATCAGCGAGCGACGACTGCTGCGCTGAGGCCGCACTCTCCCCTTCTTGGAGGCACGGGAAGGGACGGACTTGGCGTTGCCCATGTTTGAGGATGTCGTTGGACTTGAGATCTGTTGAATCGGAGTGGACTGAGTATATTCAGTGGCTGGGTTCAAGCGACTGGGTTTGATGGTACCAGTAGCTTTGCGGTCCGTACGGCGCGCTCTGCTGGTGGAGGCTTGAGGGGTAGACGGGCGAGATTGTGCAACAGGTGTTTGAGGCTTGGGGGAGCTCTTGTCCTGCGTATCGGCAGGCTTGGTAGCAGTTTCTGCAGGTGTAGACTCAGTCTTTATCTGAGCAGGGGTTTTCGCGACGTTGGAGGTTGGGGTCTCAGCGCTCTTGGATTTATGATCCTTGCGCGTACTGACAGGAGTAGAAGTGACACGGGGTGTAGAAGCCGACGTGGACAAGGCACGCGGGGTAGAAGAAGCAGAGGAAGTAACACGAGGGGTAGAGGTAGAAGTAGGGAGAGCAGTGGTCGCCAATGAATGCCGCTGTGGCTGAGGTTTCTTCAGCAGAAAGTGATGCAACGTTGATTGCGACTGCTCGAGACGCGGTTTGGACTGAGCAACAGCCGGTTCACCGGGAGATCCGGTATTTGAAGTCAGCTCGCCGTTTGAAGTCACGGCTTTTCGATTTCGGTCCCTCCTCTTGGAGACACTGTCAGTGGGTTGAGATGAGACCACGGGTCCCTTGGAAGTAGACGGATTAGGAGTCTCCGTGGATTCGTTTCCTTCGGGAGTCTGCGTAGTCTGATTAGCAGATCGTTGCGTCTTGCGTCGTTTGGCCGACGGCAACGATTCTTCAAATGAGGTGGTGACAGGAGTTGGAGGTAGAGAGTAAGATGACTGAGAGTGATTTGAGGCGTGAGATTCAGGTTCGCGGGTCGTTTTACGTGACGCACGAGATGAGCTTCGTCGAGTCTCACGCTGGAGGCTGGGTAAGCACGGTTTTGGGGATATGGGTACAGGGAGAGAGAGAATGGATGAAGGGAAAAGCAGGCATGGAGGAATCAACATACAGGCGTTGTTGGGTCGAGAGAGAACGCGGCGGGGGAACCGAGTTCCCTTGCCAGTGAAGCCCTACCCACCACTGTTGTGTTATTAGCATCGCATTCAGTGAATAAAACTACCCCCCGCCCTCAAAGTCACATGTTCCTTTCAGAAATGTTCTGGAGTGAATGAACTGTCGACTAGCCAAACTGGACGCCCTTATATTCTTACTTTTGACGGTGTCTGGATCACCAACTTTCGCCACCCCTTTCGTGACTTGTGTTCAGGTATCGTGCCCCAGTTCAGCCCTAGTATCGCAACACCACGTTCACCGGTTCGGCGTGCAACGGAGCTAGCTGATAGGCAATGAGTTCTGATTGCTTGGTCGTGGGTGATTGTCGCTACAGACGGTGGAAGCTCGCAGTGAAGGCGACGGTCGGACTGGGCTTGGACTTTGCCTGCAAGGTTGGGGCGGTGGTTGTCAGTGAAATGCGAAAACCAGACAGGAGGACCGAGAGGATTTGCGGTAAAACCGGAGAAGAATTACGGAGTACAGTACCTACCTAGCAAAAGGAAGCGGCCACCTTCCTGGGAAAAGCTGACTGACACCACAACCAACCAAAACGACCAACAACACCGCAGGCAGAGAGAAATCCCCCTACTTATTGTGTGTACACTTTCGACATCCAAAGTGATTTTTCGCTCAGAGTCGGGGCGGTTTGCGATCGAGAAACCCGCGTGACCCCGATCGGTTGGGGCGGAGAGGCGAGGGAAACCCCGGGACGTTCCAAGGCGAACTGCAAGCGCAGGGAGGTTCGTCGCGGAACTAAAGGAGAGGGGTCAAAGACATGGCGCACAGGGTCAGAAGCGATATTCCAGTCGATCGGAAGTCTTGCTACTGCGCAAACCAGTAACAGGACAGTCAAGAAGTTTGGGGGGATGGAGAGAGCGGAGAGGAAGAATTATGTTTGGCAAAGGCAAGGCAGGGCAAGGCAGAGCAAGCAGAGCAAGCAAAAGCAAGCAAGCAAGCAAGCAAGCAAAGCCAGGGCCGAAACCTCCCATCGAGACGGCCGGGAAATTAGGGCTTGCGCAAAGCCAGGCGGGCGGTGAAGAAGCCGCTGGTCACTGGACCGTTGCTTGCCCCAATGCACGCGCGCCGGGCGCTTATCTTAGCGCCGAATCTGGCCGCCCGGGCTTGCGTGTCGGTCGTCGGTCGGCCTTTTTCTGCCTTTCTGGCCAAGTAGTTAACTTATCATCTGGTCTCTCCGCCGACCGACCGCATCCAGTTCCTCCACAGCACCAGCTTCTTTGTTTCCTGCGGTTTACTTTCGGTCGTTGCGTTTCCCACCTCTTCCCCTCCATTTCCCTCCTCAATCACACATCACAATGCAGCTGTGGCACTCTCTCCTTCAGCTGTCCGTGCTGGCCTCTACCGCCCTGCCGACCGCTGTCGCTGCTTCCGCGTGGGGATTTACTGATGCCACCGTGTCAGTTCACACCAAAGGCGCTGGCGTCGGCGCGGGATTCAAGGAAGCGTATGTACAATTATCGCCAAGGTGAAAAATTCCAGCAAAGGTTCACAATGCTAATCTTCTGGCGCCATTGACAGAATTCCCGACAACAAAGCCCTCTCCAAGCCGGTCTCCCTCGGATCTGCCGACACCTTGAAGGTGACTTTGACAGCGCAGGAAGGCCGCACCGCCAAACGCGCGCACCAGGTTTTCCTCTTCCTCCAGGACCCTGAGACCGGACTGGATATCTCCTACCCCTTCAGCGTGAAGGATAATGGCAAATCCAGAATTGAGCTGGTCAGTGCTTTTCCAGTAGCTCTAGACGGGACGAAACAAAGCTGACGTGCATGCTAGACCCAGAAGGACCTGCCCGTTCAATTCCTTTCCGTTTCCGAACCCCTCGATGCGCGAGTCCTGATCGGATCCTTCGGCGAGGCCGACGCCTACAACGGAGCTGCGTTCAAGCTGACGGTGGCCCGGAACCCCGACGAGCCTGTGCCCACCGTCGAGTCGTCGCGCTACGGAAAGCTCCCGGAGATCCACCACATTTTCAAGGCCGATGCTCAGAGTCCCCCCTTGGTCATCACCTTGGTCTTCCTCGCTCTGGTGCTTGCTGCCCTTCCGGTTCTGGGCGGAGTGGTAAGTCGTTCTTCTCTGTTACCGCCTCGATGGAAGGCTAACTTCCCTCTGCTACAGTGGCTGGTCCTCGGCGTGAACCTGAACCACCTTCCTACCGCGTTCAAGTCGGCCCCCCTTCCTCACGCTGTCTTCCTCGGCTCGCTCTTTGCCATCCAGGGCATCTTCTTCTTGTACTATACCTCCTGGAACCTCTTCCAGATCCTTCCTGCTGTCGCGGTGGCTGGTACCGTCGCATTCGTCAGCGGCAGCCGTGCTCTCGGTGAGGTCCAGGGCAGACGGCTTGCTGGTCTGCGTTAAATCGCTCAGTGTTGGCGGTCGAGAGTCTGGGGGTGGCAATTGTCAGTTGTTGGGGTGTATCCGAGGTCATCTAGCTCGTTGTCGATGACTACTTGCTGTATCAGTGTAGAAGAAACTGTACATTCCAGCTATCAGCTATCAAAATTCCTGCAGGACGAGACCAACCTCATAGTCGCTAGCAGCACCCCGTATTCTACGGAGTAATTTACATATGAAAACATCGGGAATGGCTGACGTCACCCGCGCGGCTAGTATTTACCCCGATCGGGTTAGCCTGACAGATCGGATCCTCTGCAGAAGAGAAGCAACGGCGGTTGATCCGCCGCAGTCTTCACAAGCTGAGGCTAACACTGCAACAACAAACATCACACTGACTTCCCCACACCATGGGCTCATCAGCATCAAAACCCGTGAAGTCCGCAGCGGCGGCAGCTTCACGGCGTCAATATCCCAAACAACCCACCACCGCCACCAGACCCCCAATCTCCACACCCGCATCAGCACCGCGCGCGCCACAACCACAACCGCAACCACAACCTAGACTCAACGAGCAGCCGAAGCGCAGTCCACGCCCCAGCGCGCAACCCAGCTCCCCGAAACCTGCAACATACCACCCGAAAAACCAAGAACAAGCGTCCCTGGAGAAATCAAGCGGTACGCGCCCCCTTCTCTTCCCTTCCCTTCCCTTCCCTTTGCCTTGCCTCCCCTTCATCCCGCACCCCCCTTCCCCGGAATTCGTCAAGCTAACACCTACGCAAAGCAATCGACATCGACGGCCGCGACCCCGACTTCGCCGCCTCCCTCCGCAGCATCGGCCCCGTGACCCCGAACCCAACCTTCTCTCCCTCGAGCACCTTCAACCCGGCGCAGCGGTCCTTCGGGGGACCCGGCGCCCCGACGGCGGCCTTCGCGCCCGCCCCGAACCCAGCCCTGCTGACCGTCACGGCGCGGCAGCGCATCACCAAGGCGGCGGAGGAAGAGGTCGACAACCTGGGACGGCCGGACTTTGTCGGGCGGGAGTATCTGGATGCGTTGACGATCCGGCAGGTGTTGGCCATGCGGGATCGCCAGGGTCTGCCGGCGCGGGAGATCGAGCGGGTGTTGCGGTTGAAGAGGGGGGTGGTGGAGCGGTTGGGGGTTAAGGGGGTGGTTGGGGATCTTGGGTGAGCTGGATTGTGGGTGGGTGGGTTTGGCTCTGTCTTGTGACGGTTGCGGTTTGCCTCTTGAGGTGCTTTTTCTTAACGAGGACTGTGCTTGATGGGGCTACGGTGGAGGTGTAATGGGTTGGGGGTTTGGACTGTAAACTAGCAATGTAATGCTTGTCTGCCATTTTGGAGGGGAGGTACGCACTACCATGGCTCTGTTCGCCGGGTGTGCGAAAAGCACTGACAGCGTCAATTGTACAATACTTTTTCATGTGAAGTCACTGCGGTGGAGGGTGGTTGGGGGGGATGTCATGCACTGTGATTCTGAAGGGCGGCAAGGCCAAAGTCACCTGCCGACTGAGACATCGAGACATCACTACCTGTTCTCCCTGTCAACCTCAACTTCCACCTCAACCTCGTTCACTGCCTGACTCACTCTCCACTCATCAAATAAGACACTATACATTTGTCGACTACTTCTACAGCGTGAACAGCAAAAGTCTAAGTCGTCAACATCAGCCCCAGGTATCAAATCTATTATCCTATAGACATCTACTCCCATCGAACCATCTTCTATCCTCACCCCCTTCTTCCATCTTCCAATCCACGCCACACACTCACAACATCATATATACCAGAAATATTTACAAGAGAGACAGCACATTTCCCCGCAAACAAACAAACCTCGCTCACCCCCGCAGACGAACTAAAGCAAAACCTCCCCACCCGCCATCGTCCCCCCCGTCAACGGCCGACTGATAATCCCGGCCTCCAGCAGATCCTGCGCCAGCCGCACGATCAACCCATCACAGCCCTTGGCCGCGATCACGTCCACGGTGACGGGGAACTTCTCGTCGTGGTTGGTGATGCTGCTGTACGCGGCGACCTCGCCGATGGGGAGGACGAAATCCGGCACCTCGGCCATGTTGGAGATGCGACTGCTGCCCCAGCCCAGCGGGGCGCCGGGCAGAGAGCGGTAGAGGTTGCGCGCGGCGCCCGCCTCGGGCCCGGCCGAGCCCACGTACACCATCAGCGACGAGGAGCATTGGTCCGGGTCGGCCACGCGCCCCAGGTAGTTCGACGCCATCCAATCCATGAAGATCGTTTTGTTGGTGATGGCCTCGTCGAGGGCGGAGGCCGGGTACGCGTCGGACCAGTTCCACCGCGAGACGGGGACGGGGTCGACGAAGGGGAGGCGGCCGTCGTGTTTTGCTGGGGGTGCGGTTAGTGGGGGGGCTGTCGGTGCCAATGGGGTCGGCTTTTGTGGTAAGTTGGGGTTGAGGTGCTTACCTGCATAGTCGGCATAGAAGGGGTCCCGGACCAGCGAGATCTGCTGCTTGCTGATCAGCATGGCGTAGGTGAGGTTCAGCAGCGTCGGGAGGGTGACGTCGGAGGGGGCCTCGGCTGGTGGGTTGGCCGTCCAGTCCGCGGTCAGGTTCAGGGGAGTGGTGGTCGTGTTGAGGAAGGCGGCCAGCTTTTGCTGGAAATCCAGCAGCATCGCGTCGCTGGCCGAGTCGTTGGTCGCCGGGAAGCTCAGCGTGTACAGTGTGCTAGGGTACTTGACGGCCTTGCCGCTAAAGGAGGTGTAGTTGGTGCTGTACAGCGCCTGGTTGGCCTGGTCCCAGAGGTACGGGTCGCGCGTGAGGAAGCCCGCCGTGTCGAGCACCGGGGATAGGGACATGACATTGTCGAGCGCCACGAGGCCGTGCGACGGTCGCGAGCCAAATATGCCCTGCACTTCGGCGGGTCCGCGGATGGAGCCGCCCGTGTCGCTGCCCAAGGCCAGATCCAGCCAGTCGTACGAGGCGATCGAGGCCCCGGCCCCGGACGATGAGGACGACGGGTCCTGGTAGCCGTCCCCGCGCGGGTTGAAGGGCGCGTGGAAGTCCACCCAGTCCGCCGTGGCGGTCTCTCCGTTGGCGAATTGCGAGGGCTTCTGCAGGCCGACGATGATTCCTCCGGCCTCGATGATTCGCGACACGGCCGTGCCGGTGACGTTGTTCTCGCCATACAGATTGTACCAGGCCCGGTTGCCGTTGCTCTGTCGGACGCCTGCGAGGCTATAGATGTCCTTGATGCCTACCCGGACGCCGGCCAGTGGTTTGTCTTCGGTGGGGGTGTAGTAGAGCCGAGACGGCACGCCCACTGTTACTGATGCTACGCCGGCGACCTGGGCTGACAGAGCCTGGAATGTGCCGTCGGGCTTCTGCAGAAGAGGCTGGTTGAAAGCTCCGGCAAAGTCACTGTATAGCCGGTACACGGGGTACAGCTTGCCGGTGGCCTGCTCGATGAAGTACGGACCGGAGGGAACCGATCTGGATTCGAGGGGTACCACAACGCTCGTTTGGCCTTCTTTGAGCGAGGTGATGTTGGCGTGTCGGCTGCTGCGGACAAACACAGCGTCGAGAAATGCGTCCGTGAACACGTCGTCCTTCGTGGACCATGTGGAAAGGAGCGAGGATAGAGAGGACAATTCGGCCGCGTCCTCTTGCACGACAGTCACCGGGGCGAACCCATTGACGCTTGGGACGTGGGACAACAGAGCAGATGAAATGGTCACATTTCCGGCAGCGTATGGAGAGATGAAGTAATCAATGTCTTGAAGCGTGACAGACATGCCGGTGGATACCAACCGCGCTGCCACAGAGCCGATCAATCCCATCAGGCATGGCGCAGACAGGCCCAATGCAGACCGCGGGAAACGAGCCATTGAGGAAAATCCGGTTCAACCGGTGGAATACAAAAAAGAAGAAGGTATGTTCAGCTGGCTACTCATGATTAAGGTCTCAGCTCCCTATTTATAAGGTTCCTCCCTCCATCGCGGAAGTTTACTGCGCCAAGTCAATAGCACGCAGCCGAGGATGGAGAGTGTCTATGCCCTGGTGCATTTACCCCACCGAAATTGGAGTCTGTTTTCGTACCTCCACTCTGCTGAGCCGACCATCGACCCCATTGGCGACGCATTGGCGATGCGATAAGTGTTTGGGTGTATTACACAGACTGCCCGGCACGTTGCAAGCAGGAACATCTCAATCTTATCAGTTGATGTCTTCTGATGCGGATAAGATGATAAGATGAAGCTTGATGATTGGGCGGGCGGTCGGGTGCAACCGAACTGCGCCCTTCGGTTAGGAACAGAAGAGTATGGGGTGGAGCAGCCATCGGCCCGATATCTGCAGCCACTGTTTATCAGCACAGGGAGGGCTACATACACCTCTACACGCGAATCCCCTCACTCATCCTCGGACCATTCCTGTTCCTCCCACTCCCACAACGGAGCCGACTCATCGTCGGGATCGTCAACGTCCTCGGCGTGGGGAATCGACTCGTCAATGCCCCTGATCTCTCGCAGCTTGGAGCTTTCGCTCTTTTTCAAGGACAGTACGCCGTCTATATGCTCGTCGTGGTCCTTGCGATGACCTCTCTCGTAGCCTCGGATAAGCAGATACTCCAGATTAGGTGGCAGGTGATCAGCCAGCTTGAAGTCTGACGGTTCGGTCAGATTGACCCCTTTAGCCATGTATAGCAGAGTCTTGAGCCCCAGGCTCACATGGGTCATGGAGGTGAAGTCTCGCAACGAGCCTTTCTGCTCCCACAGCTCGTCCGGCGGCGCGCCCGTCCAGCTATGCTGCGCCTCTGACCGTCCGCCGTATGTATCAAAATCCGGCTCCGTGTCTTCGTCGTCATCGTTCCAGAATTCACTTATGTTGGCCTCGAAATCTACATCAAGAACTTCCAAAGTCTCCCTGTGCAAGAGGAGCGTCTGGAGGAAAGTCTTGGGGTTCTCCATCGAGCTGCTTCCGTCCGAGGACGCCCGGCCGCCCAGAGAAAACTGGAGCTCCCGGAGACTTTTGCACGCACAGATCACCGAAGCGAGATACATGGTGTCGACAGCAGAATGGTTGATGTGGATCCGACTGATGTTGGACGAATTCGGCTCCAGCCCGGACTTGCCATTTTCGTCCTCGCACAGGACGTCGGTGCTGACTGTCTCGATGGCCGGAAGCCGGTCGACGAGGGCGAACATCCCGAGAAAATCCATACTCGTGTAGAAGCGCTCGTCGTCCATCCACCCGCGGCCGGCGTTGATGACGTAGACGCGGCGCAGCTGGCGCAGAAACGGCGTCGCGTCGCCCTCGCCGTTCGCCCGGCGCAGGACGTAGTCCAGCGGAAACGCCACGCGGCTCTGGTCCGCGAACCGCCCTTCCGTGTGATAGAACCCCGTGTAGTTGAAGAAGGGCTGCACGAGCGCCATGGACTCCAGGTTCGGGGCCACCGAGACGAGCAGCGCCGCCACCGCCTGAACCACAAAGATCCCGTGCATGCCTCGATACCTGGATTCCATCATCAGCCAACCTTATTTCTTGCTTGCGCTTGCGGAGAAGACACCAAAACACTCACGTATAATTCCAGTCCCCCTTATTCCGCTGCTCGGACGACTGCATCAGCATGTTCAAGACCTGCGCCGCCAGTTTCGTTTTCTCGTCGTCTGCATCTGCGTCTGCACTGTTCTCATCCACCCCGATCGCCCGCCGCACCGCCGCCTGCAACAGCCCCATCATCCCGGCCTCGTCGCGGAGCTCCGCCTCCCGGTCCCCGGGATTCTCCTCGTACGGCACGTGCGCCTCCACCACCCCCTGGTACTCGAGGTGGCGCACGTACCGGCCCAGACTCGGCCGGCGGATGATCGCCAGCAAGAGATCAAACGCGCGGTCGAGGTTCTTGCCCGGCTGGACGCGGACGCGCCGGAAGCGCTTGCGGGTGGGGAGGTCGCAGAGGCGGTAGAGGGTGCGGCAGGTCAGGGCAAGGGCGAGGCAGTCGTGGTGCAGGTAGGCGAGGATGTGCAGGTGGAGGTCGGGGGGGAGGTGGAGGAGGGAGGGCATTTTGGCCTGCTGATGTGAGTTGTATGGGATGGTGGGAGTTGGTGCAGGGTGTGGAAGATCTAGAGAGTACTACGTCTGGAGAGATGCGGGCTATATATACGTCGATGTTGTTGGCGATATACGTAGTTAGTCTAGAGTCTGGTTCCGACACCAGGCAGCGCAGTGTTGCCTGGTTCGGTTGGGGAATTTTTGTCTTTGCCAAGATGCGAAAAGTCCGGGAAGAAAGATAGCAGAAGTGGAGACAGTTGGGTGGGTTCTGGACCTCGAGGCCCCCCCGGGGGGTTGGGATTGGTGGGTTCCTGACATGCAGAGTTGTGTTAGACCGTGGGTCGTGAACTACTTGTCAAGATGTAACCCAAATATAGACCCTGAGTAGTTATCCCTATGTACAGTACGATCATGATAGTCTGCATACTAAAGCTACATTAGATAAAACGGTAGAGCGGTAGTCAAATTCTATTGGGCTATATTCCCAGCAGGAGCTACTCTCCCCACTCCCCCGGAGAAGATTGAAGGATACCAGGATTTAAGCTGCAGGCTTAGGGTTGTGAGTACTCCGTATAGCACGGTGCATTGCTGGTGGGATTCTTGTGTGGTGTGGGTATTGTGCGTAGTATATTGTACAAGCGGAGCAGCCAGAGGCCATCCCTGCTGCTGCTGCACAAACCAGCAGAGAGGTCATTGTGTGCAGATGCAGGCGATGCCCCCCTGCTGCACATTCGAGAATGTCCCGGGTTAAAGAGGCAGCAAGACACTACACTCAAGCTCTCTTCAGGAAAAAAAAAAGCAAAGCACTGACTGCCAGGGATGGGAAAAAAAGAAATCTCCCCGACTGGGAGTCGAACCCAGGTCTCCCGCGCTTGTTCTCGGTTGAGATTGACAAGCGGAAATCATGACCGTTAGACCATCGAGGATTGGTGATGTCGTGTGCTCACACTTTTGTCTTGAGTCTGTATCAGCTGGTCAGATATAGCACTGGATTATTGAAAATGATCAACGTTCATGGGTTTGGTGGGGGGTTTTTTTTTTTTTTTTTTTCTTTCACCTTTGGCTCTTTCTAAAGTGGTAGTTCCCGTCTGTTTTGGAGGTATAAGCTTCAAGGGCAGGCGCTATGCTTTGCTCATCGGTCATTCTGCTAGGAGTTCTGAGGGATGAATTGATGTAGACTTGCTTCACCAGCGGCTGGCGATGTTCAGGCTTGCCCGGAACCCCTTGTCTCACAACACCAAGTAGATTTTTGAATGGGGAATTCATCGGTATTGCACGCGGAGAACTTTGGTCTACGGCTTCAGAACCAAGAGTTGATTGCATTCCCTGCGCCCGGACCAACTCACACTCTAGAAAGTCTACGGCGATGCACGCTGGCCATCAAGATTGCTGTAAACTCCATCTCCCAATCTCAACAACACGAAAAGGATTCAAAGACCCGACCCCGAATTTCACACACCAACCCTAAGCTAGGTACTCTAGCTGGTTTATCCCCCGCCCCCACAAACCCCAGACCAAGCCCGCAGGGGATCCACGAGCGAACACGCATGTACCTACCGATATCGACTCATCGATGCCACCCACGTGAGGACCATACATTACATACCCTAGGAGACCATACAATTGAATCCACTAACCGGAATCACCAATCCCACTCCAGTCCACACCCCACCAACGGATCTACTCGGACCATTCAATCCGGGGATACTGCATTCGTGTCTACGAAGAGAACAGGAGTGTTTTGAGTCTTCACATCATCCAGCAAATCTACGAAGCAGGTAAAAGTCACGAGCGAGGGCAGCGTTTACCCGGAATGAGAATACTTTGGATGTGGTGGGTGGCACTGGGTACAGTACAGTACAGCACTAACCCCCTGCGCATATACAGTAGCCTACTGCACTGTGCGGTACTGTGCGGTACATACTCCGGCTTAGGGAGCAGCAGTGCTTGCTGCCATCCTGCATGATTACTGGTTGGAATATTGAAGGTCTCTGGTTCCATTCTCGACAAAGTATTCTATTCTGTTGGAACCAGTCAATTGACTATGGTGTGATTCAATATGTAGAACATACTGGATGGGGACCAGCCTACACGAGTGTACACGAGTGTACGGTACTAATACTAGTAGGTTACTAGCACTTAGGAGTACAGTACAAGGAATATCAGGTAGGTGATGTCCCCCGTGCCTGCAATGACACGTGGCTGATGTCATCCTCATGAACTAGAACCAGAACTAAAACCTTGCGGAGAAGTCACTGTTCGTGCGGAGGTGAAGGAGGTGGGGGGGCAAAACTGATGATCGCGTGGGCATTAGGTAAAGAAAGATGTGTAACTTAGGCCAAGTGCGGGTGCGGGGCGGGGCACAGAGTTTATTTTCCCGGATGGAGGGGGGGGAAATTCTCAGGTTTTCTCCTTCCAGTGTAATTCTTGGCCGTTTCCCTAGTCAGTACCGCCGATGATTGCCTGGAACGAGAAGGCCAGATTGGGAGGAACCTGAAATCTGGCAGATGATGTGCCAAAGAATGAGGTAGGTGGGTCAAGTGCATGTCAGTGAGATCGGACGCTAAGTGGGAAAGTGGGTGGGTTATGGAGAATCCCCAGATCGAACTGATCAGCCTCCAGTAGATTACGGTCAGACCACTGTGTGCATTTGTGGTCGTACTAAATACAGCCCCAATTATCTAAAGTTAATAGCCCAGACACCAGCACCGCGGAACAAGAAATGAGAAATCCATCATCGCCCCCTCGTAGATGTACGTCATGCGCATATGGTAAACAGTACTCCGAGTCAATCAACGCTTCGCTTTCACAGATGAACGCCGTGCGACACCGCAACAAGAAGCAGATAAGAAACCGGCGACAAACGTCACCACGCGGCGTGCCCGCCGTCGATGCGCAGATCGCTGCCCGTCATGAAGCTGCTGGCGTCGCTGAGGAGGAAGACCGCCGCGCCCCGGTACTCGTTGGGCGTGGACAGGCGTCCCAGCATGTTGTGCTTCGGCCACTCCTCGCGACGCTCGGGGAACTGCACGAACAGCTGCTCCACCATCGCCGTCACGATATACCCCGGGGAAATCGTGTTGACCCGGATGTTGTACTGGCCCCACTCCATGGCGAGGTTGCGACCCAGCTGGATCACCGCAGCCTTGCTGGCATTGTACGCGGGGCAGATGAGGCCCTCCAGAACAGTCAGCGGGACACGTACGTGATGTCAAGATGACAAGGGGGGGGGGGGGGGGGTGACGCGGTATCCCCGACCAAAAAAAGCGGGGAAGTCACGTAGAACAGACACATACCCGATTGGCGATTGTACCACTCATACTGGCAATCAGTGCAATGCTGCCGCCGTTGCCAAAGCGAATCATCTGCTTTGCGACGGCCTGCGCCGTCATGAACACGCCGGTCACGTTCACCTCGAACATCCGGTTCGAGTCCGCGGCCGTGTACTCCAACGCCGAGGTCTCCTGCTGGATCCCCGCGGCGGCGACCAGCCCATCCATCCGACCCTCCGTGTTGGCGATGGCCTCGATGGCAGTGTTCAGCAGCTCCGTGTCGCGCACGTCAATGCGACGGTAGTGTAGCGCTGTGCCCAGTTCCGCTTGCGCGCGTTTCTGAATGATAGCGAACTCGGGGGACTAGACGACGGCACGTTAGGAAGTGTCACCGGGTGATTTGTGTAGGGCAGCTCACGGGTTCCTCGAGACGGTCAAGCGCATACACCTTGGCCCCAGCTTCGAGCAGAGCTTCGGCCTGCGTCAAGCCCAGACCGCGGGCTGCTCCAGAGACACAGACCACCTTCCCAGCCAGGCTGAACTCGGGCATCCGCGACGTGGAGCCGAGAGCGGGGCCATTATGGGCTGGGACGGGGACCGGAGCGGGCGCAACGTCGGTGGTCTCAAGGGACAGGGACATGATGTACTGTGCTTGAGCTGTCTGGGCTAAGAGGAGAGGTAGAGCGATAGGTATAGATTTCCAGAGTGGAGCAGTTCGCTGGAAGCTGAAAGCGGGCTCGCGCAACGGCAGACGACAAGGTTGATGGTTTGGGGGACTTGACGATGGGCGCAGAAGCTTTTTAAATGATTCACAATGGGTCCAAGGGTTGCCTCAATAGGAAAGCAGGACAGTACCCTGTAGTAGTCCTGGCAATGGGGGAGGGGGAAGTCATGAGGACAAAGCAGAATCCGGAGAAATAGAACCGGCAGCGAGGGGAGCGGTGGCCCGCAGTCCAGACCCGGGGGATGCAGTCGTGGCAAGTGTGAAGCATGGCAGCCATTTCCGATCTGTGAGATGGAGGAAGAACAGCAGACAGGCTGTTCAAAACAGCTAGTCAATTCCCACATGGTGATGTTGAATCATGATGAAGTAACGATATTGTTACCATCAGCAAGTTCTCCGCGTAGCCTCCGCCAAGCCAAAGTCACAATCCCAAAAAGCAGCAGATAACCTGGTACAGTACAGTATCACGAGAATAGTACCCGTAACCCCAGGAGCTCAAGTCCCAGGCCGGTGCCAGTCCTAACTCGGGTTACCGAATCAGGAAATCCGGGGAAGGAGGCAAGGCCGGGCTATACGGAAAGGAAGCAAATCTTCAAGGTCGGGTCGAGAACCACCCTTGGGATGGTCACGAGGGCCAATTGGTACTGGGGCTGGGCGGTTCTGGAAGCCTGACTTCGATCAGTTATGGAAGATTCGGCGTGGCTATTTTGGGGGCATATCTTCCTGCCAGCTAGTCACGGGGTTCTTTGCTCCAGATCCCGATCCCTTCCACCCCTGTAGAGATTAGTGACTGGGTATGTGTATGTGTCCACATTCCACGGTATCCATGCCCTTATCGACATACACATGAAGCCCTGTAGTGTACCTGGAACCTGGACCTGGACCTGGATTGTTTGGCTGCAGCGGATTGTACAGTACTATAGTTCCTGTACTCGGAGCCAGGATTAGAACCCACGCCGCCCAATAGCCGTTCGGTGTTCCTGGATTAATTGATATTAGACACCATTAACCAAAACCAAGGGGTCTGTCTACTGTACCATCCAGCCCAGAATCTTGAGACTCATTCCTCATCCTTGTCCACAGAACACACAGTTTGTACTCCACCCCTAAATAGAAGGGTAAGTAAGATAGGCAGATCCGAATCGGCCAGCCGAATGGGCGCAAAGCCAACCCTGGGGCGTGCGCAGGTGACCCAGCCCGGAGACCCGCTTTCCCCAGACTATTTAACAGAACGCATAACGCGGCGGGTGAGGGGGAGTGGGAGGGGTTGAGAATCGATGAAAAGGGTGCTTCTGTTTCTGTTCTGCTTGCAAATCATCGTCAAAAAATAAGTTATCATTAGTTTCTTCCCCACATACTACACGACACAAGCACTATCTATTTCCCATCTGGGGAACCCGGGCCAGCAGCCCTGAGCATCCCGTTGGGGATCTCGGAACCTTCGGACCTAATGTTGATTCATCAATTGCAGCAATTGCAGCAATTCCAGCCAACGATAGCCGCCCTCATCTTCCTTCTTCCTTCCGTAGCTTCATGTCCCGAAACTGTCAACCCCAGCACCGTACTCTGTACTGTGCATACGTACCTGATCCCGTGAGCACAACCCACAAAAATCTCGAGGTGGGAGTTTGCAGAGTCCTCCCCAGGTTCTAGACAACCACCGAGGATAGCAACGGGTGGTCCGTGCCCGGCCGCCGACGAAACGTACGAATGCCTGGCCAGATTTACAGTAGACGTGTGACCAGGGAACAAATTACTCACTTTGCTCTCGGGATCTCATCTGCCATCCCCGGGAGACATCCGGTAGCTCTACCCTTCCTATTGTACAATGCGACAGGGTGACGTGTTTCTGACCATTGACTTTGGATGCCAGCGCACAATAGCATTGTCAATGCAGGTGTGCTAGCTGTTGCTGTAATGGAAACGGAATGGACAGCAGGAACTGACTCGGAACCCCGCCTGAAGGATGCAATTCTCTCTTTCCAGGGACTGGAGGTAAGGAGATTTCAAAGTAAGATTTATCTCAATCCATTATGTGATGTATATGAGATCTACAGACATTATAACATGATTCGTATCGACATGACTCTACAAGAACATGAACGTGGCCGTGAACATCGCCGCGACCAAGGCCATCACGCTCTGCGCACCAGCAGCCCCCCTCGTCGAGAGTCCGCTAGCTGCATTCTCCTCCGTGCCGTTCGCGGACCCATTGACCGAGGTGGGGTCGTCCCCAAGTCCAAAGGGCAGCCCCTGGTAGCTGAAGGTCAGGTTCTGGGCAATGGACTGGTTGTAGCATTGGCCGTTCGCGACATCCAGGTTGGTGAGGTCGTTTGGATGCAGGAAGAACATGTACTGCGATTGATTCAGGTTCTTGAACCCGGAGGTGTCGTACGGGAACTTGTCGCCCGAGTCGGTGGCCGAGGTGTTGCGGAGCCAGATACACTGGACTTGTCCGGGGAAGTCGGTCACCATCTCGGGGTAGTCACGCATGACATCGCTGTTGCTGGTATCCGCGATCAGGATGAACTTGCGCTCGGGGAAGGTCTCGAAAACCTTCTTCAATAAGAACTTGCGGATCGACAGGGTGGCCGAGACGTCGCTGAAGTTGAGGGGACGGGTGTCGAACGAGCCGCCGGGGTAGTGGGTGTAGATGAACTGCATGTAGTTTCTGGTCACTTGCTCGGGCGTGGTAGTCTGCGACAATTAGTTTCCAAGACATGCAGAGAGCCCAGAAAACTTACCAGGTAGTGGAAATGCATGTCCGGGATGTTGATGGACCAGTTGCGGTAGAGGTCAGGCATGTTCTCCCACGGCGTGAAGGGGCGAGCGAACGAGTTGAGCAAGCCTTGTTCCGGTTCATAAATCTTGGTGACCCGGAGGATGTCGTCAATGTCAGACACGATGGTGAGACCCTTGGGTGGCACCAAGTAGGCGGTACTATTTCCGATCGATGCGCCCTTCACGTAAGTGTTGAGTCTCTGGATCGCCGAGGTCTCATTTCCCGCGGTCAGGCCGTTGCTGTCAATCGGCACGAAGACATCAAAATCACCTTCAACGGTGGTGTTGTAAGGAAGAGTCAGGTCTTGTGTACCGCCGGTGGTGTTGGATGCGCCGCCGCCCCCGGGCTCTCCACTGGCTCCCTGACTCGGTGCCGGCTCGAGGTGGATGGTGTTCACGGCAACGTGCGGCTGCTGAACCACCAGAATCTCGGCTGTCAGATTGCGTGCCTGGGCCTGCTGGGACTCCGGCAGATCCTCAATACTTGTGTTCCCAAGAAAGACATTGGCAAGCTTGTTCAGGTCGGAGACGGAGGTGTTAGGCTGCTTGTAAACGTTTCCGTGGAAGCGGACGTTCCAGCCGGAGCTGGTCCAATTGGCGTAGGGGTCGATGTTCAAGACATTGGTGGGAAGTGCTGCCAATTGAGCGCTGTTTAGGCCGAGGGAGCTCACGACAGCATCTCCCGTGGGAAACCCCTGGAAGAAGTTGGGCACCCCCGATGCGACCCACGAGGGGAGGTCCGACCCAAGCCCTGAGAGGACGCTGTTGATATCCGAATCCACATCACTCAAGATATTCCGACGCGCGACTGGGACGACTGGAGAAGGGTTGTACTCGACGGGGGAAGGGGTGATGACCGGGTCTGGCGGGGCGGCAGCGGCATTGTTGTCGTAGTTGGTGCTGGGGAAAGCAGTTGGAGCGGGAATAGCGGAGGCAATTGAGAGAAGAGAGGCCTGCACAAGGGCCTGACGCGCAATGATCGACACCCTCATCGTTCCAAGCACCCAGTGGTCGTTCAGCCGGAAATTCTCAGAGGCCTGCGATGGACTGGAAAGAGGAAAATCATCGAGGGGCGACACGCTGGAGAATTAAAGGCGATCAACTTCCTCTGTAGATGGATGGGGAAAGAGTGGCAGGTGACGTCACAGTATTGGGGATCGGAAGCTCCACCGCCACCGACCGGTTCATTGGATGGCTTGGCTCCACGCAGGTCCCTTTCAATGCAGGGTCCCTGGATTTTTCCAGCTATTGCTTCGCTGACTGGCGTCATTTTCATTTACATTCAGGTTGTTGGCACTCAATGTGAAATACACCAGATGGTGTGGTGACACGTCTGTGCACGTGTCACTGCCATACGTCATAGCTTTGCATGCTTACAACTCTACCAAAATAGATTGTATGAAGCCGCAGCACATTTATTGTCTAGCAGTCCAGGTAGTGATCACATAGCTTAAGTCAGTATAATTTACCAGTCCCACGCTATATATAGCTATGGAGGCTATCGGTGCAGAGGAACATCTCGACGTGGCCTATAATCGATCTAGGAGAATGTATCTTGAGAGGGTTAAGGCCATAGGCAGTCTGGTGGTAGACTACCTCTGAAATACCCTATACTCATATAACATACAAAAGTCCAAGAGTTTGGCAATCTCCCCCTCGGACCTAGTAATATACCCTAACTTCTTAACATTAAGGATTTCTGAGTATTTCAGAAAGAAATCTAATATCTTCCAGCCTTGTCATAGGGGAAAAATACATAAAAATACCTAGTCTTCGAACAGGCCCTACTTTGTCTAAGGACAAGTAAGTCACAGCCATATTAGCCGTCAAATGCGTCTTCAAGTATGAATCCAACAACAACCATGGCCATAGAGCGAGGTTTGCTCCATCTAAAGAGTACTTACTGTATGTACTACCGCGCAGCAAAGCCGAAATCGTCTTCTTCAAAGTCACCCAGTAAGCAAGCCTCTCTCGTCCAACAACGTGCATTACCGCCTTCATCATCCGGGCGGGCGTATCAAGCCGATCCCAAACATTGGATGGAGTAGGCGGCACCAGGCCCAGTATCTACGGGTCGATGGCCAAATCCTCGAGAATAAGCGGGATGAAAGTCAGTGCCCTTGACTAGGTATTGAAGGTCTGGAAGGAACATTGCACGCACTGGCAATGGCAATAGCACCAGCATTCCATCCAACTGGCCGCCGTGGTGGACCTCCAATTCGGGGATTTGTGGGTCTGTCATGTAGGGCGCGCGCGATGGAAAGGGCGTGCCAGGGCCCACCGAATTACTGAAACTATAGACTCATCTTCCGTAGGGCGTTAAAAATAGCTATGTAGTATCCATATAACTTAGGTACTAGTGAATCCTTAACCAAATGTTAGGCGCCGTCGATACAAGCAGGACTTCTCTTCCCGAAGAAAATTCACGGAAAAGCAACTGACGCATTATCGCAGCCGTTTGCAGACTGTCAGAAGCCGTGATGGTCTCGCAAGTGTTTGAGATTGCAGAGGCCGAAATACTATCCGGGCAAGTGTCGCCAATGAGGAAGGCCGTGGACTTTAGTAAAGTATTATTTTGCAAATCTCCTGATGGTTTACCCTCATGCGCGTCCTGACAGATACATCCGGCTACACAGCTCCGAAAGAAACAGATTGTCCTAGCAGGCACCATCTTCGCCTTCAATGGCTCTCTGGGTGCTTCACTGCCCTCGGGAGCCTCGCCGGCAATAGCGCAGGCATTTCAAGTATCTGAAGATGATGCCCGCCTCGTGCTCCTGAATTCGCTGTACCTCGTCGGTTTCGTGGTCGGCCCATTGTTCTTCGGACCCCTGAGTGAATACCTCGGGCGCCGGCCCGTCCTCATCGCCACCTATCTAGCGTTCACTCTGTTCACTCTGGCGTGTGCACTAGCGCCGGCGTTTGAAGCTCTGCTAGGTTTCCGGTTTCTGTGCGGGCTCAACGCGTCGGCCCCCAACGCCGTTCTCAGCGGGCTGTACAGTGACATCTATGAGGATCCGGAACGACGCGGCCGTGCCATGGCCATTTTCATGTTCGTGGCGATGGCTGGCCCGATGGCGGGGCCTTTGGTCTCCGGGTTCACGGTTCTCCTCTCGTGGCGTTGGGTATTCTGGGTAGCGCTGATGGCTGCTGGTGCTGGTGTTCCAGTCATCATATTGCTGCCAGAGACATACCTTCCCGTAATTATTCTGAAGAACGCGATGAAGGATTGCTCTCAGGGGGGAGACCCGTCAACCTCCCGGAGCTCAGGCCTTTTCGGCCAGGAAGATCTTCAGTCGGCCGTTTCTCATGCTTGTGAGAAAGCCCATCGTTGCCTTCACATCCCTGTACCTTGCTGTCGTGTACGGCATACTGTTCTTGTTCTTGATTCATTCCACTCAACAATGGCAGGGCTGTACCGTCTTTCGACCAGTGATAATGGTTTGGCATTTATTCCCAGTATGTATATCGCTTGACCCTTCCGCGTGCGGCACTTTGAATACTCAATAATGACTTGGCTTTCTTTCTTTGTTCCACCGATAGTGATTTTCGGCTCCCTCCTCGGCCTATGCCTTGTGCTTGTCTACTCCTCGATTCATAGCAAAGCCATCGCAGCAAACAAATCCTGGGCCTTGGTCGAAGAATACCGCCGTCTGCCACTTGCATGTGTCGGGGCCGTTTCGTATGTGCATGGACCTCAACCAATCGCCTTGTCTTCGATTGACCAATGCAGAATTGTCATAGCGCTTTTCTGGCTTAGCTGGAGTTCGTATCGCAGACTCCACCCAGCTCTACCCATGATGGCTGGGATCTTCTTTGGTTTCGGCTATTTCCTGGTCTTCGCCGCCATGTTGAACTACCTGACGGATGCTTATAAGGAAGCCTCGGCATCCGCGCAGGCGGCCGCGAGTGCGACTAGGGCTATAATGGCGGTGGTTCTGCCTTTCGCCGCGACCCCAATGTACACCCACTTGGGCATCCACTGGGCCAGCTCACTTCTGGGGTTTTTGGCTTTTGCTCTGGCCGGGATACCATTTGCCTTTATTCGGTACGGGTCGCGGCTGAGGCAGAGCAGTGGCCTTGTTGTGGAGGAGTATTCAAATAGACCATAGTCCTCAGAATTTTTGACGCGAGAAGCCGAGGGATGTTTCGTACCGTTCAACTGCCGATAACTGTGGTAGAATTACCGGATCCAAGGGAGATACCTCTATGCATGCAGGGTCCCATCGTTGCCCTGCTCTCGGCGAAATCTAGCCAGCCATTCCGGAACATCAGCCAATGTTTGGTCCCATTGGTCTTCAGAACCAAACATCATACGCCTCGCTTCTGACTGGAACATCTGGTCCGTCGGAACCACGCCGCTGCTCATCATCTCTCGCGCAAAATGACTCAGATGGCGAGTAAGCACTTCAGTGTAACAATCCAACTGAGGCAACTCCGGCTGCAGAGCTCCCGGGTCAGGAGGCGTCTTAGGCTCGCCCAGTGCGTTTCGAAAGCTGGCCCGGGAGAGCATCTGAGAGAGATGATCATTGACAGCACCGTTTGTGGCAGAGAAGGGAACAAAGGTCCGGGACTCAAAGTCGAGCAGATACGGAGGCACGCTGTGTCTCACTTGTACGGCGATGTCCGGCGGGAACTCATGGTCGCCTTTCCACTGGGCCATGGTACAGCCCTGGCGGAAATGCATGGTTAAATGATCAGCTCGATCGTCCCAGCTGGTCATCCGACTATCGCAGAATCCACAACGGGACGAGAAGTTCGTGGCCACATTCTTCCAACCGTCGGTGAGTGGCATGGTTTCCAGGCGGTGGACAAGGCGCAGATGCTGGAACAGGTGGTCTTTCCGCCGGAAGGTCAGGATCCTAAGGATCTTTGGATATTGTCTATTACCTGACCCTCTCTATACTCTGATGAATAAGAACCACTCGGGCTCTAGTATGCGACTATGCATTGTTCTCTCCCCTCTCAGCCACGACTCTTGCCCATTCATGCTCTACTCGTCCATACATCATATCCCCCAACCATTCCTTGAGCTTGCCCGTAATGTCACCGGGTGCTCCATCCGGTCCAGTTGGGATGCGAATGTCTTGTTGACGGTGGTGAATCAACGAGATGGGAGTGATGAACCACTATAGAATGATCAGAATACCACCCTCCACAGCCAGACAGGAAAAGCACAAAAACAACAAGACTTACCGCTGTACCAGCAGCAAACGACTCCAGAAGACGGTTCTCCGCCGCGGCCTCCAGAAGATCCCCGATGGTGAACTTCCGCTCCGAGACCTCCACCGCGCCCTTCAACCGCTCTCTCACCAACTCCAGACAACTGCGGCGGGTGACCCCATCCAGGATCAGCCGATCATCCAACGGGGCCGTGACAAGCTCTTTCTTCCCATCCTCCGGACGCTTCCAAACCACAAAGAAGTTGCTCCCGCCGGCCTCCGTGCAGGATCCGTCCGGCCCATACAGCCACAGGATCTGATGGTATCCCTGCCGGAAGGCCTCCTGGGTCGCCAGCACGGCCGGCCCATAGTTGGCGCCCACTTTCGCATACCCGAACCCGCCAACCCACGAGCGCACCGTGTCGTCCGGGTTGGTGAGCAGGCGTTTCCCGCCGGCCGGGGTGTCCAGGCGGGCCATGTAGCCGACGATGATGTAGAGGAGGGCCTCCGTCGGCCGCGCGACGCCGAGCTGCGCGTCCGTCCCGATGATGGTCGGGCGCACGTACAGAAAGGAGCCCGCGCGATCTCGGGGAAGCCATTTGGCCCCGTCGACGGAGAGCAATGTGTAGACGAGCTTCTCGAGCTCGTCCGGGTCGAACTCGGGGAGGGAGATGCGCTGGGCGGACATCAGCAGGCGCCGGGTGTTGCGGTCGGTGCGGAACATTCGCAGTCTCCCGTCGTCACCGCGGTAGGCCTTGAGGCCCTCGAAGCATTCGTACGCGTAGTGCAGGCACGAGGCGCTGGGGTCAAGGCTCAGAAGGCCGTAGGGCTTGAGTTCCGGCGCGGACCAGCCGTGCTCGGCGTTCCAGGACGCGGTGATCATGTGGTCGGTGCATATTGTCTTCTGGGTGCTGCTCAGGGTTTGGGTGTCTGGTACCTCGCGTGGAGTCGCTGTGAAGGTATATGTCAGTCGAGAGGCGTCGAGCGGTTGTGAGGAACCCATGGTGGTGATGGTGATGGAGAGAGTTCAAGCGGTGATTCGCAAGGCACTGGCGCTCTCTGTTACTCAATCCCCTTTCAATGCATATATATACATCCTGGCCGTAGCTTTAGTCATTTTCAATGTCCGTTATCGGTATGTCTTGAGTAGGGCGTGTCTGCGCGCCCTGGGGGTGACATTGAGCGGCACGCCCTGTGGATCGAGCTCGGCGGCACGCCCTACACTCGATCCCCATACGTACCTAGTACTGTGTTTCGTGGCTTCAATCTGATTAAATCGCTTTTGTCTAAAGCATATATGGAAGTTTGGGTTAAGAAATACCACTCAACCTTCCTGTACTTGATCATACACCGGCCTCAATAGGCGAACAGGTATCGACCACACAAGCGTCTGAAGCAAGTCCCCTAGACACATTCAATAGGAAAGAGGATGTTTCTAAACCCAGCTAAGTGAACATTGTGGTAGAAAAATCCTCCAGGTACTGCAAGACTCTCAAGACCCCTGGAGTTATTGCGCTCACCTGGTTTGTTCCAACTATGCTATCTGCTTGTTAATCATTATGCCGCACGAATGACGGCCACTCTCAAGGCAGCAAGCTTCATATGAGCCAATTTAGAATGCATGTGCACTCCTCCCATGAACATTTCAGAGACATCTTTTCCGATGGCATTCTCGAGTAACAGACTGCCTCCAGGGTGCTCGGGCAGAAAGCTCGATACATCATGGACCACTCCATCGATAGCAATCAGTGCGCGCCTGCCGTCTCTTGCTTGCACTATGCAGTCCTTCCATGAGACTCTTGGCAAGTCTTTCATAGAAAAGCCCCAGTCCAAGTGTGACTTTTGGTTCTTGTGCGCCTGTCGCAGACGGCACTTGTCAACATCATGTGTAGAAAAACGCTTCAGGTCGTATGCAAGGCCCATCTGCTCCCACAACCAGATCACCCACTTAGTTGGATCCCACTGCCACCGGCCCGCTCCGTTGCGGTAGTCCGTAGGAAACTCATGGTGGTAATTGTGGTGTCCCTCTCCAAGCGTAATGATAGCCGTGACCAGGTGATCGCGGGGAGAGTTTCTATCATGAAATGGTTGCTCCCCCATCCAGTGGGCTAGGGAGTTCACGCAGAATGTAGCCTGCTGAACTGCAAACATTCGGATGACACCGGCATTGACAAAGCCGCCTTTCCAATCGCCCCAGCCGAGGCCACAGACAACTGTGGGAACAAGAACGCTATTGCCAGCAAGATGCCGCCATAGTAGCGACTTTGCCACCGGACCACAAAGTCATCGTTGATATCAGACATGTCTATTCCGTGGTAGATCCTGGCATCCCTCCTGAACAGCATCCATCCCATGTGGGAGTATAGAAGTCCTTTGTGGGCAGAGTATGGATCCTTGGCAGTGTCGGTATATCGATGATGCGTACGGTGACTGCGCACCCACCATTCGATCGGGCCCTGGCCGGCACTACCCGCTACAATGGCGAGGAATACTTTCAGTGGTGTGGTAGCACAGTAGGATGCATGGGCCCAGAGTCGATGATAACCTAGCATGTTTCACGCAGTGTCAGTAATGGTGATTCAAGCAATGATGTGGGATGTGTTACCTACCCGCAGTAATGCAAAATCCCGAAATATGGCCGAATACTACCGCAAAGATGAATGTCTTTGGGTGCAGAGGCGCCTTCCAGAACTGGTACCAGCCGTAGAGAGGAACGATCATTGTGAAGGTGATTCCCCACCAATCCAAATGTTTGTACCAGTTTAGTCTAGTCATCGGCTCCCTAGTGGGATCTCTCTTCTGATAATCATCGGGGACTGTGTTGGTTTCTTCCATACTTCCCACTGCAGTACTTGAGACAGAAGACAAAGTCAAAGTTAATGGTCGTCGAGGATGAGGAAGAATGGCATTCGATCATATCCATAGAGCTCTCACTCATCGTAATCAAATTGGCTGAAGACCTTCAATGAAAACAATCTGTCAGCTCTAAGAACTGATGACTGCCCAAAACACCACCCTATTTTGACCTGATGTGAAACAGCCGCTGGAGTTATTTCACGAACTTTGCTCATGTACCGCCTCGACACAGCAAATGAGAGTCCTCGTTGGATATAGAAAGCAACACCTATCAACAACGAATGTTCCGATTTGCTAGTGTAGAGAGTCATATTTGACGATCGTTGGCTCATCGATCAAGTATGGTAGGACGAAATCGATGTGTGTCCCGATGGACTTCTATGGGATTTATGCCTGTGTTCCTGAACCTGTGCCCTTAAGGTAGCCAATGGTAGCTCCAGAACAAGCCCGGGAGCTCTTCACTCAGCTTTGATGGTCAAGTGTTAGTCGAATTCTAGCCGTGTTTGTCTTCGAGAGGACATACCACCTACCACATTGAAAAATCATCTTTTAGGCGCAATGCCGGTGTCGCGAGTATTGGCTTTCATATGCAAGCTTTCGCCGTATAGGGCCATAATGAAGGAAATCAACTTGTATGCAGTAGAGTGTAGACCTAGAACTGTGAGTTTGCTCCCAAGGCACTGTGGTGACGAATCAGCAGTCACCTGAAGTCTTGCCAAGGCATGAGATGAACATTCGGTCGAAAGTCCGGGGTCAGCTTCCGGTTCGGGCGGACTTCAACTCCCAACAAACAATCCCTGATTCCTCCTCCCAGAACGCGATTGAGGTCTTGCCTTGATGGTGCCCAACAGCAATTCATAAGCTCTTGAGGTATCTTGTCTCTTTTAGCACAGAGGGTTGGTTTCAATACAGAATGAGCGATCATCAACCAACTCCGACTTTGGTGCATCCGGCCTGCGCATCAAGGGGCTCTTGATTGCGAAGCACGTATGTGCTGAGCTCTACAAGGGACTGGCCATCGGGTGACGAGTGATCAGCTGCGCTGATTGGTGGATGTTAACAGCTTTCTAGCAATATAATTGGTCGGCCGGCTAGTGTGCAGAAGACAGATCATGTGATCTGTTTTAGATTCTACTGCTATATACCGCCCGCGAGAACCACCTAGCCCGCGAGGACTGCCTTTCTCGCGAGGACTGCCTCGCGCGATTCCTCGCAAGAACCACCTCGCCCACAAGAACCACCTCGCCCATAAGGACCGCCTCGCGCGATTCCTTGCATAATTCCTCGCATGAACCACCTCGCCCGCGAGAACCACCTTGCCCGCGAGGACTGCCTCGCGCGATTCCTTGTGACAGGAATCCGAGGATCCTTTGGAGCAGACGATCAGCCAGATCAGCGTCTCGACACTCTTTTGGCCGAGCGGTCTCTCGTCACCTTGCATGAACCACCTCGCCCGCAAGAACCACCTCACCCATAAGGACCGCCTCGCGCGATTCCTTGCATATATAAACAGCCTGCCTTACATAGTCTTTCGCGTAATTTCAATTATATAAATACGTTTTAGTTGATTTTAATTTATATATCATATAGGCCCAATCACATAAATTTGGCGTGCTTCGCATGCCTTGGCCGAGGCTGATCAGGAGTCACCCGATGGCCAGGACCTCGGATCACTAAGACTACCACGCTCGCTCTTTGATCTGTGTTGATTTCGTTCAAGTGTCTGCTGCCATGCTGACACAACGGGCTCTTCGACTGACCCTACCACCTTCCACCCTATTTAAGTATCCTGACGCTCTTGGCTCAAGCCATTCCCTTCCATTTCCCGAATCGGCACTCTCCTTCGGAAATTACCAGCTTTCTCCATCCTTATACACAGTCTCTACAGACTTGCGGTTTGCAACCACGATAAGTATATTGTACATTCTGGTTGTAATATGTTTCAACAAGATCAATGCCAGAGAACGGAAACCGTGGGCAATCAGTCGCACAAAAGTCTTCCCTAACATAGTGATACTACACAATCTAATTCTAACAGCTTTCTCGGCCTGGACATTCGCCGCTATGCTGAACACACTCTTTTCCGCATGGCCGGACAAGCAAGACAAATTGTACCTGAGCCGGGCGGCGGACATTGTATGCCATGGGGGTCAGTTTCCGGAGTACGAATCATATGCGTCGAGGTTGAAGTTGATCTCCTGGCTGTTCTATTTGTCGAAGTTGTATGAACCACTCGACACCGTGATCATACTTGCCAAAGGTCGCCAGGCTTCGACATTGCACATATACCACCATGCTGGCGTCATCTTCTGGGGTTGTGTGGGAATGCGGTTTATCGCTTCAGCCACGATAATCGCCATCCTCTTCAACTCGGCTGTGCACACCGTGATGGTCAGTACTGTCACGTTGAATCATTCTAATACCATGCCACATATGCTAATATGGCGACGCAAAGTATACATATTACAGCATGACCGCGTTGCGCATCCCCGTTCTCCTCTCGACCAAAGCTTCATTGACGCAGCTTCAAATCATGCAATTCTTCGTCGGTAGCATATTAGGCTTATCGTCCGTCCACGTTGAATATGATGTTCCCTTTTCTGGCTCTCATCCTGAGCAACGTGATCAACCTCAGAACACCCCTTTCAACATAACAGCACAACGCTCAAAAGAACAGCAGTCTCGGGGCATGAAGACACAAAGATGCATTAGAGACAGTACTGAGGCTTATGCGCTGTGCCTTGGATGTGCGTTTGTTCTGTTACTGATGCTATTGTTTTTGAAGTTCTACGTGCAGTCTTACCTTCAGCACTTGCGACCTCATAAGAGGGCAGTACTATGAGACTTGGAGGTTATGGAATGAGTCGTGCAGTAGGGCGGAGGAAGAAAAGTCTGACTTGGGTGTTAAGCATTGTTGTTTTGGCATCACCCCGCAGGCATTATGGATATTGAGATTAGCCGATCAGGACAAATGATCCTACCGATTGTCTTTACTGCTCTTTGTGTGTGTTATGGACTTGAATACTCAAAGTCTCAGTGCTTCTTGCTGGAGGAGGCCATGATTCAATCTGCTTAAGCCTCAGCCCCCACTAGATTGTGTCTCCCTTCGCTGCCTGCTCACGAGGCTGAGTCGGGGTCCCGAACAGTGCTAACTTTTAAGCCTCGCTTGAGGGTCATTATTCAAGTTGACTCTGCCCCTTACGCCATGAGTTTTTCAAAGTTTCTCCAATCGACTCTATATAATCTAGACCCATACCTCGAGTTCACTTCAAGAGACCACCAAAAATCTTCTGCGCCGAACTCGTTATGGCTTGGCGAACAAAGGCGGAATTCCTCCCCGCACAACCCCCGGCCAACGCTCAATGCCACCGCATCGACTTTACCCAATCCAACCCACCGCTGCCCGAATACAAAGACCTCTGCGCTGCAGTCATTGACAATGCATTCACCAAGGAGGAATGCGACGAGCTTCTTCGTCTAGCCGAGGCCAGCACCATCCCGTCAACGAAGCCCGGGGACCGGACCGCCGCCGCCGCCGCCGCCGCCGCCCGCGAACCCACCTGGGAGCGCGCCATGATCAACCTAGGGAACGGCAAGCAGGCGCTCGCGGTAGACACACGCAACTGCGGGCGGATTATCTACGACTCGCCTGAACTGGCGAACAAGCTGCTGGCCCGGCTGCGGCCCTTCTTGCAAGAGCTGGGGGGCATCGAGGTGATCGACCACCAGCCCCGGGTGACAGGCCTGGCCGGTCGCAACGCCGTCTACCGGCTCACCCGCCTCAACGAGCGACTGCGCTTCCTGAAATACGAAGGGGGGGAATACTTCCGGCCGCACTGGGATGGCCGCTACCGGACGCCGGACGGGCGCGAGACCTCGTACTACACGGTCCATCTCTATCTGAATGGGGATGGAGAGCAGGATCGCGCGGAGCTGATGCGGGAGATGAAGCGGGTGGAGAAAGGCGAGGGTGTGGTGAATATGGACACGCAGGGACCTCTGCTGGGCGGTGCGACCTCCTTTCTGCCTCGGTTCGAGGAGAAGGAGCGCCATCTGCGCATCTTTCCCCGGACGGGGTCGGTGCTGGTGTTTCAGCAAAATGATTTGTTGCATGGTGGAGATCCGGTGATACGCGGGGTCAAGTATACGATGAGGACGGATATTATGTATCGACGGGATTGATTGAGGGGGAGAGACTGGAAATCATGGATGGAACTGCGAGGCCAGTCATGGCTAGTGGGACGTGTGATGGATAGGTAGCTCAGCTGGGGCTTTCGAGGGCCTGAGTGGAAAGGTTAATGAATTATGATGATCTCATATTAGATATGCTTGCGAGTAATGCAGACGTGGCTTTGTTCGGGGGGGAGGGGGTCATCCATGCTTGAAAAGTAACAAAGTAACACGAGAAGAGATGGAAGCAGTCGAACACGAAGCAAAGGCGGAGGAATGCCGGGGTTGGCCTGAAGTTTCTGGGGGGCGGGGTTGCGTCAACCTACCCGAGCCGTCAGTCAATCTGGAGCCCTCCATCGCCTGCCGATCCAGGGTCTTCCCTTCAAGATTGATCGACCACCTCCTATGCATCACATTATTATTTATTATTTAGTGAATCATTAGTCGGATTGCTCTTGTCAGTGAAGTTGAAGCCACACTTAGCCAAAATGCGCCAGCCTAATTGCCAGTGACGAGGGCGAGCTCCTCCGACCCAAGCCCAGAAGCTGTCTGCCGCAGTCCGAACCACAAACGCCCATTGACCCCGAGTAGCTTTTGCTTCACCATGAACCATGGTTCATAGCTGCTCGAGCTCAGCCACGGCCGAGTGCGTCGATTACCTAGTATAGCACATTCACTATTGTGCCGCGTTCCATCTCTAGACACACCAATGAGCAGCCGTGGCTCTTCAGGCTGCCTGCCAGCTGTGCCGGACCCCATGTTCATCGGTGAATCGGTGAATACAAATACTTGGCTGACCTCGGGCTTCATTAACAGCCAAAACCTCCTGCCCAACGGCAGCTCAGCGCTTTGGTTTATGCTCTGGGTCTGGTATTGCAGCGATTTCGACATCTTCCACACGAGCTTTGCAGCTGTTGGTTGCAGGCGGCTTGACGGTGACAGTCAATATGGAGTTCACGGCGATAGTTCTCATTTTGGCGGGCTTGCTGTTTGGTATGTTGATGTTCTTCTGTGACTGTCCTCTTTCCTAACTGATTGTTGAACAGGAGCGACGACTAGCGCAGAAGATGGGGACCGGAAACACCTCATGCTACAGCGCGCGCTACCCAACGCCCCCGACGGCTACACCCCGGACAATGTGAGTTGTTCGGCTACTCGACCTACAGTGCGCAGTGCATCGACTCTTTCCTCGAACGAGACCTCGTGGCTCAAGACTCGCCGGGGAAAGACTGAGTCCGCCCTCAAAGACTTCTTCGGCCATGTCACCATTGCAGACTTCAACGCAACGGAATATATCGATCGAGTATCCGGAAACACATCGGATCTGCCCAATATCGGAATTGCGGTGTCCGGAGGCGGCTATCGAGCCCTTATGAACGGTGCAGGGGCCATCAAGGCTTTCGATAGCCGGACGAACAACTCCACCAGTGATGGTCAGCTTGGTGGCTTGCTGCAGTCGGCGACATACCTGGCTGGCTTGAGCGGCGGTGGCTGGTTGGTTGGTTCGCTTTATATGAACAACTTCAGTACCATTTCCGATTTGCAGACGTACGACGACGGTGACATTTGGCAGTTCCAGAATTCCATCTTTGAGGGGCCAGAAGGGAATGGCATTCAGCTTTTCAACTCTGCCTCTTACTATAGGGATATCTATGATGCTGTGCAGGGAAAGTCGCGTGCGGGGTTCAACACTTCCATTACCGATTATTGGTAAGTGTACGCTCCACAGGCTGAGATTTGAGATTCGCTGACCTTGATGTGCCAGGGGTCGTGCCCTTTCTTATCAGCTGATCAATGCTTCCAGCGGGGGGATCGACTACACCTGGTCATCAATTGCTTTGACCGATTCCTTCAAAAAGGCTGATATGCCGATACCGATACTGGTTGCTGACGGTCGGTATCCGGATGAGCTACTTGTGAGCAGCAATGCTACCGTCTACGAATTCAATCCCTGGGAATTCGGCACCTTTGACCCTACCGTCTATGGGTTTGCGCCTGTTGAGTATCTCGGGTCTCGTTTTGTGGCCGGGTCACTTCCTAAGAATGAAAGCTGTGTTAGGGGATTTGACAACGCGGGCTTTGTCATGGGGACTTCATCCAGTCTTTTCAATCAGTTTCTCCTACAGGTTAACTCTACAGCTCTCCCGGACTTTTTGAAGTCAGCTTTCACCAGCGTTTTGGAGGACATTGGGCAAGAGAATTATGACATTGCGCTCTATACACCAAATCCTTTCTACCATTGGGCCAACAACTCATCGCCAGCTGCAAACGCAACCATGCTCGACCTAGTAGATGGTGGTGAAGATCTCCAGAATATCCCACTCCATCCTTTGATTCAGCCCGAGCGCCATGTTGACGTGATCTTCGCGGTGGACTCGTCTGCTGACACTGATAACAATTGGCCGAATGGTACTGCTATGGTTGCTACCTACGAACGGAGCTTGAACTCCACAGGCATCGGAAACGGAACTGCTTTCCCAGCGGTTCCAGACCAGAATACCTTCGTCAACCTGGGTCTTAATACACGGCCGACCTTTTTTGGCTGCAACTCGTCAAATCTGACGGGACCAGCGCCGCTGATTGTCTACCTTCCCAATTACCCGTATGTGTCTTACTCAAACGTTTCCACCTTCAAACCGGAATACGAAGAGTCGCAGAGAGATCAGATCATCCAGAACGGGTACGACGTGGCGACAATGGGTAACAACAGCCGTGACACGGACTGGTCGACATGTGTGGGGTGCGCGATTCTGAGTCGATCGCTCGAACGCACCAACACCAGTGTCCCGGATATCTGTAATCGGTGTTTTGACAAGTACTGCTGGAACGGCACGACGGACTCTAGTACACCGAGCGAGTATAAGCCGGCTGTTGTGTTCAGCAGTGAAGGCGCTATTGTGTCGCGTGCTGTATTTCTCGGTGCCTTGGCTGCAACAGTGACTGCGGGCGCTTTGCTGTAAAAGTTTTCAGGCTATTCCCTTTCAAGGAGTGGTTTTGGTGTTTTTTTGATCATGTAAATCTATTGGAACAGTACTAAGCATAGTAAAAGTGTTCAAGGAGCAGCGTTGTGCATACATACTAGGTAGATCTCTGTAGATGATCGACGCGGAGTGGGCTGCCATCACGTGCCACGTTGTCAGGACAACCGCCCCCGTCGACTTCCCAAACAAGCAAGGTCGACAACACGCGGCGGGCAGTCTTGGTTGGTTGTTTCCACCCAAGCTTCGAACTCTGACGAAACGCCCAACGCTCGCTCGCCGCCAAAAGCTGCAAGCTTATTCCACCACAACCTTAACCCACCCAACACCCAACGCCCCCCCCCCTGCCCTGCTTGCTACGACCATCTTACATACCGAAACATCGGGGCAATCCGACATAGTGGCCATTGGTTTTGTCACTACAAGCAGTCACACAATGAGAGCAGAGTGAATTCGTCGATACTAACCCGGCTCCCTCCTCCCCGCGCGCGCGACACATTTGACGAAAAACAGCAACAGTGAGCGGGAGGAAACCAACAAACACGGACGGCAACTCTTCGATCTTCGACGCGTGAAGGCACGAATAACAGGCAGCATGGCTCGCGCAGCAGTCATCCCACAGTCCCCGCCCAAGCGGGCAACGCGCACCCGCACCAAGGGAACGACAACCACGACGACGGCCAGCAGCAGAACCGCGCCGAAGACCACGAAGGCCAAGGCACCTAGTTCCGCCACGGAGGCCCGGAAGCGAGGCGTCCGGACCGCGTCAGTCACGACGACGACAACGACCACCACCACCAAGCGACCCGTCGACGAGGAGGATGCGGACGCGACGACGGACGATGAGATCGATATGTTCGCCGGGAGTAAGAGAGGGAAAGGCACGGCCACGGCGAAGCCCAAAGGGAGGCCGCCCGCAGCGAAGGCGGGGGCCAGTACCGTAGCCGCGCGCACACGAAAGACCCCGGTGGTCGCGACGCCGCCGGCCGCGGCGGAATCGGACAGTGACAACGACGACGAGCTGGCTCAGTCGGAGGTGGTCCCGAAGAAGCGCGCTGGAAGGCCGAAGGCGAAGCCCGCCGCCGCCGCTGTCACCAAGGAGGCGGACAAGCCTGCTGCGGCGCCCAAGACCCGAGGTCGACCGAAGGGGACCGCGGCTGCGAAGCCGAAGGTGGTCGACGAATTGAAGGAAAACACGCGGTTGAACGCCAAAGGGTTTACGGATATCGACTTCTCCTCGTCGCAGGAGGCCCCGAGGCAAGTGTACATCACCACCCACTCTTCGTCCGTGAGGTCGAACATGCTGCGCGGACCGGCCAAGAAGAAGAAAGTCACCTTCCAGGATCCCACGGATACGGATGCGGATGAATTGAATGAGCCGTCTCCTCCGCCGGCTGGCAGGAGAAGGGGCGCCGCCTCCGCCTCAGGGCGCCAGGGAGGTCTTGCGTCCAAGCCGGTGCGGAAACCCGCGGCCACCTCCGGTAGGGGCCGCAAGCCTGCGGCAGCGAAGAAGGACGACTCGTCGAAACCGCTCTCGCCGAAGAAGGCGACGCAAGTCGCCAAGGGGCTTTCTTCCTACGCCAGCTCGGATGGCGAGGATGACGAGTTAAGTGCGGACAAGGATCAGATGAAAGCAATCCTCCAATCGCCTCCCAAACACGGATCAGAAAAAATCGGACTCAGCTCCCCAGTCAAGAAGATCAATCTTACTGGACGACACTTCCGCAAGTCCCTCGATGAAAATGGCGACCCACTGCCCGGTCCTCGACGTTCGGTCGACTTCAACGATAACAACCTTCTCCTGTCGAGCCCCGCCCGCCGACCACCCCCTTCGCCATTCAATTTCACAATGAGAGAAACGCCCAGACGAGGTGGCGGTCTGACTCTCCGCAGTGACATTAATCCCTTGTCGCAACCGACGTTGTCGCCCACGCTCAATTCTCCGCTCAGGCTATCTCCGAAGAAAGCGTCCCTAGAAACCCCCCGACGCGGCAATCTCTTTGGCACCAGTACCGGCTCGGTGTCTCAACCAAACTTCACCCCGGGACGCAACTCCCCCCTGAAATCGTCGCCCAGAAAAGGTCTCTTTGGCGCGTCCTTCATGTCTCAACCTCAGCCAGAGCCTTCCGCCACTCCCTTGAGACATAGCACGTCCCTCCTTCAAAGTCCCGCGAAGAAGGTCGCCACTCCGTTCAAAGCTTCTCTGTCCGTCATGAAGAGCCCAGGACCTGAAGAGTCGGAGCACGAGGATGATAATGAAGAAGAACCGGGAGAGAACGATACTTTTGACGATTCTCACCTTGAGGAATCCCCTCTTCGACTCATGCAAACCAGGGTAGAGACCCAGGCCGATGAGGAGAATGAAGCGACTCAGGACGTGGCATCAGAGGAGAATGACGAACTCGACCCTGTCAGCACAACCCCGCCTCATTCGCCTTCGGTAGCACGCCACTATGAGAACAGTGCGGCGAATGGGGAGACCGCTGAACATGATTCTGAGGAGACTGTTGAGTACGTTGACGATGATGCTAGTACAATTGCCGAAGACGTCGCCGAAGTTGTCGGAGAAAACGTTGAGGAAGAGGGTGATCAGAGCGAAGATCAGGCCATGGAAGACGATGCTGGAAGCATGGCAGAGGAATCAGACATTGACGACATGGAAGAGGTCGACCCTCCCCCTGAGTATGTGGATGTGTCTATGGAGGAGACTGGCGAGGAAGTGACCCAGGGGGCAGCTGAAGAGTTCGAAGAGAACCAAAATGCGGAGCCCAGTGAGGATGTCAACGATGAGAATGTTGAGAAGTTGAATGAAGGCTCCCTAGGAGAGCCTGTTGCCGAGGATATTCCCGAGTCTCAACATCATGCTGACAAGGAAAGGGATGATCTGCAGGTTGGTATAGAGTCTGATGACGATGCAGAAGAACATAATGATGATTTTGTTGTTCGCGAAATTTCAGTGGATGCGACACTGGACGATGCTTCTGATGGAGACAATCAGGACCAGAATGATGACCGTGTCAATCTGGACCAAGATATGCCCGATACAGTATCTGATGCTGAAGACGACCATCGGGATGCAATTGGCCAGGAACGCGCGGCAACACCTGGCTCAGCTGTAGAAGAGGAGATCGACCAACCAACTACAGAGGAACAACACACACCCATCCCCAACATCCGAAACAGCTTAGCTAAGGACCTTAGCGATGTCTTTGTCGAAGAACCCACACTACCTGCACAGGCGGACCAGCGTCTCGACTCCTCGGATACCGAAGATGACCCTGACATGATGGAGACTGATGAGGACGTTGACGCTGCAGAGGAAGACTTGTCCCGTAGTCAGCAAGAAGATATCGTTGAGGATAGTGTCTTCGAAGAAAATGAGCCCACCATTGTTGTTGCTGAACCAACAGAGATCGTTCCGCGCAGTCGTGTCCCCATCCTGCCATACGAGGTTGAAGAGCCAGAAAATCCTTGGAGTCCAATTCGCGAAGCCTACTACAGAGCGATGAAGAACATTTCACCGGTCCGCGTTTTACCAGACAGCCCTGTACGGCGGAATATGAGCTTCGAGTCCACCGCTGACAGCCCAAGTCCGATTCGGCAGGGCTTCACGGTAGACACCAGTGGCAACCAAGACCCGTTTGTCGACTCCAATTCCGCGACACCACTTCTCAGACGGTCTATAAAGCGTTCGATATTTGATAACGCTCCGCGTTTCACACCTCTAGCACAGCAATTCAGCCAATGGAAGGCCAGCAGTCCCGCGCGATCCCAGCCTCGGCGTTCGCAACGCCCACGCAAAGGTATATTCTCCTTAGGTGGCAGCCGCAGGTCGTCCAGCAACATACTTCCCACCCCAGAAAAGGTCACATATCCTCAAATCGACAGTCAAGCGGAAGATGCTGTGTCGGAAAAGCCTGCGCAGTCAGAAGCGGCCGAGGCCGACGCTGAAATTGTCGAGGACGACGATCCTCAGAGTCACGAGGATGTTAGCCATAGCGTGCAATCGGAAGTGATTGACGCAAGTGAGACTACGGAGGCTGAACCAGAAGTTGCTGACGAGAACGTGGATCCCCAAAACTACGAAGAGTCCAGCCAGGACTCGCAGGTTGAAGACACTGAGGCTGCTGAGGCTGTAGAGTCTGCAGACACTGCTGAGCAGGACACAGAGGCGACTGAGGGCCCCGAGGACTACGAAGATTTCAGCCGGACCCCTGCCTTCGAAGAGCCTGGCACTACTGAGGACGCTGAGCAGATGTCTGAGGAGGACGAGTCGGAAATCTACGAAGGCCTTAGCCAGAGCCCTCGTCCGTCAGGGACCAACAACACCGAAACTACCGAGCCTGCTGAACCTGTTGAGCAAACTACTGAAGTTATCGATGGTCCTCAAATATCCGAAGATCTCAACCAGCAATCTCAGGCGGAAGAGATTATTCTTGCTGAGACTGAAGAGCCTGTCACTCAAGAAGTGGACGGCCCTCAGATCTATGAGGACCCTAGTCAGGACTCCCTACTAGAGGCCTATCCCTCTGAAGATATCCAAGAGACGGAAGGCCCTGTGGTTGACATGCCAAATGGAACAGAGGTTAAGTCTGCCCTTGACAACTATACCGAGGAAGTTCCCAGCGAGGAATTAGTGACGGAGATCGCCTCTGCGTCGAAGAGCCCGGTTTCTGCAATTGACGCATTTGATGATAACAAGGAGAATGAGGTCTTTTCCAACATTCCTCTCTTCACCCCTGTCAAGAACCGAATTCCTCAGATGCAAACAGTACACACTGTTTCCAAGGTGCCTCTCAAACCTGAAGGTCAAATTTCGCCGCTGAAGATCTCACGCAAGAGAGGTCTCTCGCTCTCAGGTGCTTCGCCTATTCGTGCCTCCACCCGAATTCGCACTTCGACTTTCGCTCCTACCCAGCAGACTGTTCCACCATTGTCGCCTCGGAAATCACCGAGACTTCAGAGAGTCTCCATGTCCAGGCCCGTCGCCCCGGTGACACACCCCGCCGAGTCTAAGAATGAGAGATCGACGCCTGCCAAGCGCCCTCCGCAATCTCCAAGCCCGACCAAGAGCGCAAAGGTCCCGAGAAGGAGCATGAGCGCACCGGCGCCTAAGCTGGCTTTGCAAGGAGCGGTTGTCTATGTGGATGTGCACACCACGGAGGGAGAAGATGCTAGTGGTATTTTCATCGAGCTGCTTCAACAAATGGGAGCCCGGTGCATCAAGAACTGGTGCTGGAACCCGCGCGCGAGCCTGGCCCCGGAGGAAGGGGTGGAACCCAAGGAGGGCAAAGTGGGCGTCACCCACGTGGTCTTCAAGGACGGCAGTGCTCGGACGCTGGAGAAGATCCGCCATGCGCGTGGCCTGGTCAAGTGTGTTGGTGTCGGTTGGGTTCTCGACTGCGAGCGGGAGAACAAATGGCTCGACGAAACCCCCTACACCGTCGACAGCTCCATCGTCCCCCGCGGCGGTGCCAAGCGCCGCAAGAGCATGGAACCGCGTGCGCTGAGCAACGTCAACGGCACGCTGGTCCGGGCCACCGCAACCGCCACCGCCATGGATCGCCGCCGCTCCGGCGCCATCAGCCGAGACACCGTGGAGAGCTTCACCCGGGACCACAGCACGCCGCCTCTTTCTACCCGGGAGGAGGAGCAGGCGGAGTCCTCGACCGCTACGCCGCCCGACCAGGTCGAGTACACAGTGGGTCACACCGAGCCCGACCAGCGGTACTGCCACACGCCCCAAACCCCCGGCTCCTCCGCCTACGCCTTCGACATGGACGCCATCGGCATGTCCCCCACCACCCCGTTCTACCTCTCCCAGCGCACGAAGCTCGTCCAGCAGACCTGTCCGCCCAAGCAGACCCGCCAGGGTCTCTTCAACACCCCGGGCCCCGTGCGCGAGCCGAACCAGAAGCTGCGCTCCAAGCTCGAGGCCGCGCGCCGGAAGAGCATGGCTTACAAGCCCCGGGTGGGCAGTCCCCTCGTGGAGTGATCTTCCACTTTACTCTTTTCTTATTTCATTCTAGTTGTCACTAGCTGGGTAGGGTCTTGTTTAGGAGTTGACTTTGGGGTGTTGTTGTTTTCTTGTTTGTTTTTTGGCTGGGTCTGGTTCTTGTTTTCCCCTGGTTTATTATGTGTATTGGGACACCTACAT